GTGATTTGAAGCAATGTCCATCCTGTGGTAGCAAAAATTCTTTTGATTACTAAAATACCCTATTTAATGAAGAAATAGCGTGCGTGCTCTTCTATTGCATTAAATGGTCCAGTTGCTTAATAAAAATGGCTCCTTCTCCAACAAATCTTGTTTATATCTTTAGGCCATTATGGATACAACACTCTTGCTACTTAAATTAGTCATTTTGAGTTGTGCAATTATAGACAGAGGGATTTTTTTTAAGGTAACTACTTATTATTACCAGAAAGTTAATTTTAAAATTAAAAATAGTCTCCTTTTAATGGTAGTTCTGCAACACAATTTTACTGTGGGCTGGTCAATCAGCATAAAGGAAGAGCAAACCTCCCAAATGTGTTGTAAATCTAGGCAAAAACTCACAGACGTGCAATAAAACTCACCTACCAGACCTGTCCCTTAAGCTCTGAATCCAGCTGAAAAGCAGCCAGTGCCTGACAACTCAGAAAAATGCAAAATATAAACGCTTTTTTTGCCTTGCAATTGCAACCTAATTAATTGTGTACAACTGTGCAAAGGAAGGGAGTAAGGAAATTCCTTTCTTGACCCTTCCAGCAATTGACTTGTACCCTGAAGCATAAGATTTGATTACTCATGTAACTCATTTTCCCCAGGCAGTTTCTTCTTGATAGCTCTTGTGTGACAGTTCAAGAAAGTTTCAGAACGAGTCACAAGAACACTGCTCTGGTTGAACCTCAGCTTCTTTTATTATGGATATACTTCTACTGTGTGCTGCATTAAGAGATTTTTAGATTTTTATCTAGGATGACCAGTGCAACTACAGGGTGTGGGGTTTTTTCACCAGAATGGTACTGATAAACGCAGTCATCCTCCACATTACCTTTTGATTTTGCAGAGATTCCCAACAAGTTTTAAAAATCAAGATTTTTTTCATAACCTAGAATCCAGCCTGCTACGCTGCCTCAAAATGTTTTTGAGGAAGTTACAGCAGAGGAATCACTGCTTGCTTTGAAGTTTCACCCAAAGTTCTGGTATTCAAGTTATAAACAAGTGCTTCAAAATGCTCTGGTTACATGCTGGAGAGCATTGAATCCTTACTACTTCCTTTGTTGTGACAGATTTGTTCAAAAAGGGTGCAACTTAATAATCCATTGGTGTGTTGGTGATGCTGGTTCAAGAAACAGGTTCAGTCTCAAGCACAACTGCTCAGATCTATTTGTTTCTCTTCTCATCAATCATTCAATGCAAGTTCTTTTTGGACCTTTTTCAGACAAAGTTTCACCTGGGTCATTTTCTTGATCTGGTTTTCATAAATAATTGCATCATCCCACCAAAGAATGTAACAAATCACAGACTGTGAATCCAAATGAATAGTTATGGCACAAAACGGAAGACACCAGACCAGTTTTGCCACCAAAGAAAAGGCTGGGTGTAACAGCACCCAGTCATCAATGGGAAGCTTATCTCAACCGATTCTGTCAGGCTGGGAATCTCCTCTCCTCCTGCAGGTAACATAAAGCCTGAACCAACTCCCAGCTGTGGGCTCTGGCTCATTTGACAGAAATGCAGTCATGTCCACACCTGATGTGGATAAAATCTGTGAAGGTAAGGGACCAGGTAACACAGAGGTTGTGACTGTGGGTGCCTGATCAGAGATAACTTCAGCAGCTGAAGTGATCTCTCATATCTTATAGGAACATGGCATTGAAGTATGGTTACAAAATGCCATTTTATTACCATTTTCAATGCTCCCGATTAAAGCATGTTTTTTTTGTAAACATTCCAACATTTGATTTCTACTTATATGAATTACCATGGAAACCAAACTTTTATTGGGCATGCTTGCATACTGAAGGGTGAAGAATTTTAAAAGCCTCTGTGATATGCAGTACAGTTGATGTTGAAGTGCAATTGCCATGAAAACTGTTAATGCTAGCTAGATGGATCACTGAACCCCTCTATGACTTGTAGCTCTCGTGCAAGTTTCCATTTACTTTTTCCTGACTTGTTTTTAATAGAAGCATTGCTTCTTTTGTTCCAACAGGAGTTTTCAGCTCTTTAGTTTATGGAAGTTTACTTGCTTTCTAATTTTTAAATATTTCCTACTCATAAAATGTATGACAGGGGGTTTTTGTTCCTGTTAAACACTACAACTTACCAAGTTATTTTAGAGCCTCAGCTCTGTCTGCTTTTGAGTACTTATTAATATTTTAGAAATAAGTCCTATTCTGTATTTTTATTTCTCTTGCTGAAGAGAAACAGATGACACCGATTTAGACAAAGTTTTCCCAGCATACAGGTATCAAGGGAAACATATGGTCTGCCTTACCCAGCTTTGCTGCCTCCTCACCTACTGGGTAGGAACTAAGTGAGGGAACATTTCATCTGACATATCATGCGTCCTTTATAGCAATAGTTTGACCGCAAGAGAAAAGTTTGTAGCTTTCTGTACTCCTAGGCTTCATGTTCTCTAGGGAGATTTTTGCAGACTATTACTTACAGTTTTTCCCACTTAAAAGGAAAAGGAAGATCATGTGAGATGAAGGGAAGGCTGGCTGCTTTTGGTTCTGGCTGTGGCAGGATTAAAAGTAATTTTCAGTTCTACCAACTGTGAGCATGTCCTTAACTCTGCATTTATTACAGGCATATGCCTTTATTTTTTATGTGTGTGTACTTCTCCTTGCTTGCTAAGTGAACAAAACAGAAGGGCCAGGTTCAATCCTAGTGGAAAATGAAACACTGGGATGTCTGTGGAGGCATCACAGAAGAGACCATCTAGGTTCTGGCCCGTTTAGAGTAATTAGTCTCAAAGCTTGTCTTTTTATAGCAAACTGGAGTAGACCTCAGGACAGTCAAGGGCGCGTTTAAAAAATGTTCTCTAGTATTGTGGGTGTCACTATACAGATTCCAGGTATTAACGAGTTATTGCCAAGTTTATATTGCAGTAAAGTTATGGTTCTAGCCAAGTAAAATATCCCCTGGAATATGTAAGGCAGGAAGTGTATCACAGCAGCTCCGTTTCCTCGTGGCACACGGGAACAGCGGCAGCAGTGGCAGCAGTGGCAGCAGTGGCAGCAGTGACTGACCTGGCCGAGCGCTGGGTGAGCTTTGACCCAGCCCGCAGGAGCCCTGCACAGCAGGTAAGTGCTGCTATTCCCGAATTCCCTCGTGGGGAAACGTAGAGTGCCGAGGCCACACAGCACGAAACAAGATCGCCGTGCAGGATACTCTGGCTCCCTGCCCCGAGTCCTGCAGGCTGGCTCGCATCTCTCAGCGCCGGGCTTTCCTTACCCAGCCTAACGCTGCACAGGCGCTCGGGAAGCGAAGCTTGGTTATGCTGGGCTGCCAGCACCGGTGATCCCAGGCGAGGGACGATCCATTCCCGGAGGCTCTGTCCCCGTTTTTTCCCCTTGTAAGAGCTCCAGCCCCGCCTCACTGCCCGTGTCACCGAGCAGCCTCCTGAGCCGGGACCTCTGAAGAGTCCGGGCTGGCACCTCCAGCCGCTTGCCAAACACGGGGCGGGCTGCTGTGGCAAACAGGCTTTGCCGAGCTGGTGCTGGTTTGTAGGATTGCTTTGGTGTGAAAAGCCCTCCAGCGAGGGCTCACCAGCCCGTTCCGTGCTTTGGGAACAGCAAAATGCTGCTGGCGGCAGCTGCATCCTCCGGTGATGCATGGGATGGGGCTCTTTCTGGGAGCCCCGTGTGTGTATATACACCATGGTATCTATGTATTACGCACATACTTTCACGGGTGTATTTCTCTCAGGTAAGAGAAAATCTTGAATTTCAGGACACCTCAGGCAGAGGCAACAGCAGGGTGTGACCCCGGGCTGGGTGAATGGCAGGGGCGCCCAGGGAACGGAGACAAGCCGGCTCCGCTCCGGGATCGGGAGGGCGGAGGGCAGCCCCCCGGAAACGCGGCTTCCCTAGTGATGAGGAGGAGGAGGAGGAGGAAGATGAGGTGGGGGGCGGGCGCAGGTAAAGCGCACCCCAGCCCCAGGCACGGAAAACGGGGCCCGCGCCCTGCCAGCGCCGCCCTGTTTGCTCAGCTAATCTCGCGGGCAGGAAATTGCCTGGCGACTCATATTTATGGATCGTGAAGAGCTCCACGGCGGCCCCTCCGGGGATATCCCCGTGCCCGTTTCCCCGTTCTCACCCGTGCACCCCTTGCTCCGTCCCCTCCCCCCCCATCCCGGCTGCCCTTTGCCCGCCCCGCTCCCGCGACCCCGGCCTGAGGGGAGCGAACCATTCGGCCCGCGGGGGTGCCCCGGCCCCGCCGGGGGGCGGGCGCTGCGGCGGGGGGCGGCTCCCGGGGGCGGCGGCGCTCCTGCAGCCGGGCGGGCGGCAGGGACCGGGATGCGCGGGGAGCGGCGGCGGGAGGCGGCGGTGAGTGCCGGGGAAGCGCCGTCCCGCGGGGTGGGGGAAGCCCTCCCGGGCCGCCAGGATGGGAAGAGGCGGCGGGGCCCCGCGGGGATGGGAAGAGGGTCCCTCTAGGGCACGCAGAGCCTGGGCTGACGCCGGCTCAGCTGCTCGCAACCGTCCCTGGTTTTTGGGTTACTTTTAAGGGAGTTTGTGCCACCACCACCCCCATCCACTCTCCCGCCTCCGGTCCCTTCGCACGTCTGACTGGTGGGGGCGATGGGGTCCCCCCTTGCCGCCCGGCTCGGCAGGGACCCCGCAGCTGAAAGAGACGGGGCTCCCTCCCTGTCTTATCCCTTCCGTCGCCAGACGCTTCTCCCTCTTTGTCCGGGTGTTCGCCCCGGTTCTGCCGCGTCCCCGCGGGCGAACAAAGCCTCTGCCCCGGGGGCGCCGGGGACATCCGTCCGAGGAAGCGAGGGAGGAACGGCGGGGCTTGGCTTTGCTTGGTTTGATTTTCCGCCGTAAATAATCTACCTGGTGGAGGGGAAGACGTGGGACGAGGTTCTTTGTCCGCGATCCTTTGTTCGGCTGGTGGCTTCGGAAGGCTCCTGCGGCTGTGCGAGGGCTGCCGTGCCCGGCGGGGATGGGTTCCCGGCGGGGATGGATGGGTTCCCGGCGCTGAGCCGGCGATGGATGGATGCCGTCTCGGCATCGCTGGAGTTTAGCGACAGGACCCCGGCGGATCGGCTTGCGGACGGAAATCGGGGGTTTGGGCTCCATCTCCGCTGACAGATTCAGGGCTCCCGAGTCCCCCCTCATCTCCCTGTCAGCAGCCGGGTGGGATTCGGCGGCGCCCGCAGCCCCGCGCTCGGTGGTGAGTTCAGCTTGGAGATCTGAGCTTTTCTCGGGAACGTACCTGCTCCCCAAAGGGAGGAAGGAACAACGGGCTGGAAACTACGGTCCCCGCTCCTTCTCCTGCCCCAAAGCTGCCTGAGAAATTTACCCATGTGCAGAAGTGTAAATAGACTGTCTGCGCTTACATAAAGACTCGAGAGATGGGCTTTCTGCTCCTGCCACTGAGTGCTTGCTTGATCTCACACGCATGGCTTTTGTCACCAGTTCCTTTTCCCCCAAATGCTCATCCTGTCAACCTGTCATCTTGTCTCTGTGCCTTGACTCTGCACGTGCCCGAATCCTCCGTGTCTGCATCTTCAGGGCATCTGGGTGAACATGTTGCCAGTCAGAACATAGTGAATATTTCATTTTTGTGCCACACCTTCCCTCTTTTTCGGAGGAAGAGGGACACAAGAGCAGCCTTCATTGCAAATTTTCATGTTTAGTGAACTTTTTAGTTTTTGCATTCTCTCTATTCTTGCGGATAATGTCCTGAAAAATAATTTAGTAACCTGGGAAAGGATCAGAGATGGGAGGAAGAAAGGCATGATAGAATGGAATTGCAAAGGGTGAGGATAGGCTTGCTTTCCCAGCAGAAGGAAGCAGTGTAGGAAAGAAAGGAGATTAAGTGATCAGAAGATGGGAGAGTGCCTACCTTTGCTGTCATGGGCAAGGGGTAGCCTGAACTAAGAGAATTAAAGACATACCTTAGGGCTGTCAAGCAGTAACATCCTACCATTTCTGTATAGTTCATTTTACACAGTTCCTTTTCTACACCAGCAATTTATTCTGCTTCCATTTTGACAAATGCTAAATCGACTCATTAGTGTGTCTCTTTTTACTGAGGAAATGGAAATCTTTGCCATCAGCCAGGGCAGGAAGAGTGGTCATTTTTTTCCATATCAGTTACTGTCTATGCTTATTAGGTACAATTATCAACCATATCCTTGGAAGTAGTCAAAGGCATCAGTTGACTATTGCTGAGAAGGAACAAAGCCCATCAGGAAAAAATTAAAGTATTTTGGATTTAGATGGGAAATGGAGATTGAGTGAGCTAAAGGTTGCAGATCCATCTTGAGGCTGGAGTTGGATCAGAAGTACTGGAGATGTTTTAATGGGAAGATCTTTTTTGTCTTTTCCACTTGAAGATCCAGAGAATAGCTGAAATAATCAAAGTAGGCGTGGGCAAGTGCTGGTGGTTGTTAATGAAGAGGTTAATGCTGTCTTCACTGCACATGTAGTGTATTATTTCCATTTTAATTTGTTAAAATGAATGGTTAATTCTGGTGTGTAGCAACTGCCGGCTAGGCAAACAGTGTTTCCCACTGAATTAAACAAGCAGCTATAAAACGGTGTTCTGGGTGTTTTGAGCAGGTGCAGTTCATTTAGGATTTGTTTTAGACTGGTGGAGCACATCCAAGATGCCACAGAAATCCAAGGGGAGTTTTCCTTTGTAGAAAGAAGGTCAACCAGAGACTACAGTGTAGAGTGAACTGCATAAACATGCCCAAGTTTGGGGCTTTTTTCTTACTCAGGTCTCGTTCAGGTGGAGTCAGATTTTAAGTGAACCACTTAATTTAACCTCCTTTATTGTAGTAAATGGTGTAACTGCATGTGTAGCACTTGTCTTCCTCACCTGAGGGAACACAGTCCTGGGACCTGCTGGTAACTGCTGCCCCATGTTGGCCCAGGCAGACCCATGGCTTGGTAGCCCAGCAGCCAGGGCAGGTGCCACTGCAGCTGTCACTGCCAGGGTGAGGTTTGCCAGACACATGTGATGAGAAGCATTCAGTCTGGGGGCATGCTTGCTGCCCGGACAGTGCTGGGGAAGAAGGAGTGGTACAGAGCCAGAGGGGATGTTTGGAAATATGGGGCAAGCATCCCAGGAAGGAGACAAATTGAGGAGAAATGGACAAGTGAAACAGGAGAGACACAAGCTGTCAGAGTAAGTGGGCACTGGAGAGAACTGATTAATGGAAGGAAGTGACAGGCACAAAGTGGCAGTGAAAGAAATCAGCACAGAGGAAAGCAGATTGTGGGCAAAGGTTGCCTGAGAGTGGGAAAATGCAGTAGATAGGAGAAAAATTGTAAGGACATCCAAGGAAAACAAAACAAAACAAAACAAGAGTGGATGAAGCTGTTTTGATCGGTTTTTCTATCTGCTTAGATTTTCTGGGCCTTACCTACCTGTTCTCATTGAATTTGTCAGGGGTGCCCTAGGGGCAAGTTTGTCACAAGTAGGATGGGAACAGAGAAACTTCTCTTTAAGGTCCTTCTGCTCTTATACAGACATAATTTCCGTTCCTGTATGATATGAATTTGGATACATAATTGTTTTGCTCTCAATCCCCTTCCTAGAATTTTAGGTGAAGAAAATCTGTATTTATTTGGCTTCAGGAATGAGAATTATGTTGGTCTAGAGTATTTAAGTGTATTTATTTGTACCAGCTATGTTGTTTGGTTTGGGTTTTCTTAGTCTGCAGAGTAAGCAGTCACAGCCCACCAGCAGAGCTTTCTATTTGCCATCTCTGTGTGAAACTTTAGAGTTTCAGTTTGCAAATCTTTTGAGCATACTCAACTTTTCAATAGGAAAGGAGTTAATGAAATAGCTTCAGAATGATACCAGGGAGCTTGTCACTGCTGTCATGAGATGATACAGTCATTGGGTCAGATAATTGACTCTGCAGCTTAACTACCAGAAAGGTACCAAAATAGAAAAGATGAGTATGACTGGAGTTTGGCTTGTCCTCTGTCAACCCTGTTTTTCTGCATGATGAAAGGAGTTCATTGTTTTAAGAGAAATCTCTTCAAGTATGTTTCTACCTGTCCGTGGCTTTTGTTTGAGCAGAAAAGAATTAACTCTCCTTCCTTCAGCTTATCTCAGTGAACTTCTCCAGATGAAACAGTGGTTGGTGTGACTGTAAGGTAAGGAGGAGGCAGTGATGTCTGCTAAAGAAATGCTGATTGAGTAGGTGGTCTAGGATCTTGTCTTACATAATAGGAATTAGTTTAGATTCATTGAAATCAGTGCTTTAACAGTTTCCCTTTCAGGTAAGAGTAGCTGTTACGGCACAAAAGTTATAAAGCTTCAACATTTTCCCCAGCATTTTAATTTGTGTCTCATATGTCAATGGCTTGACCCTCAGTTTGTAGTCACCCAGCTGCAGTATTTGCATGGTAATGAATGTTTTCATTCTTGATGCACATTTAAAATTGTCAGCTGTTGTGACCTGATTAAAATGATTATGTCCATCTATTGGAAAGAGCAATTGATGTGACAAAGTCTGCAACATCAATCCTTATCAAATAGGAGAGAATCATGTTTTATCAGTAAGATAGAGTAATTAAAAATGTCATATTTAAGTGCAATTTTTGGGGTAGTCAGGTGGGTTATTACATACAGTAAAATATATGTGGTCTACGAGGGGGATAATGTTACTTAGGGTTTTTTCTGTTGTACTGTTTTTTATTTCTCCTCCTTCTCCAGTATCCAATGTGATAATTTCTCAGAGGAAGAGGTAAGCCATAAGTGACTTCCTCTGCCACTCCCTCTTCCACATCGGAAGCCTGCAGGATTGCAAGGGAGTGACTTAGTCAAATATGATTCACAGATATTTGACTTAATTTATTTCGTGCTCCTGAAAGTGCCAAGCTGTGAGTTTTAAGAACTAAAACACTCTTTGTCTGTAACCAGACCTTATGCTCACTTGCATGCAAGGACCTATGTGTTGCAGGATTTACATCTGGAAAAGACAAGGACTGAGCAGATTTCAGGGCTATGCTGGCAAGAAATTTGGTGTAGTTTGGGGTCTAGTGTATTACGGTGTGGGGGAGGAGTCCAGTTTTTGGCAGAGATGAATTTCCTGTCCCTTAAGGATGTGTCCATTCATGGGTACAGAATCTCCACCAAATTATGCAGATGCCTTTCTGTGAATATATTGTTTTAAAATGACAGTGGGCTTGGGGAAAGGTGGATTTCCACCTAAGTGTTTTGGAGGTAAACAGTGGATTCCAGTGAGTTTTCCATTGCCATCAGATTGAGCCTATCAAGGCTTTTGTTTGTAAATAAACAGAGTAAGTCAGGAATAAAACCAGGTCTGATTTAATCAGGAGTAAGTACATTGTCCTCAGATTATGCAGGAAAAAGGTAAATGAGCTTGGTGATGGAACAGTCTGTTTATGCACGTAGGCATGCTGTACTGTGGGAAAATGAAATCTCCAGACACTGAAGCCATCAGCACTCATTCACCAAATTTTGTTCAGAGTGTGAAAATTCAAGAGGCTTTCTTGGTTCCAAGACAGTGTGTGTTTTATTGAAATAGTTGAAACAGACCCCAATCATTTGAAGATCTCGTTGCAGAACAAATGAAACTCTAATGATGTGCAGACAGTGCCAGTGATGGGTTTTTGTCCTCACCCTCCATCAGCTGGGGTTTCATCTGTTTTCCAAAAGTGGTGATCCACTGCTGTGGGAGCTTCTGAAGAGAAGTGTCAGAGATAGTTGAGGTGCCAGGAGCTGTAGGGAGCCACTGTTAATGTTCAGCGAGAAACTGAAAATGAAAAAACAATGAAGAGCAGAAAAGCCTTAAAAGATAGATGGCCAAGTTTGAGAGTTTTGTTTAAAACTGTTTATTTTCAGTCAGAGAAGCGCCTTGGCAATGCCCGAGGCACTGCAACCCTCTTGTTTGGTAACATAAGGGCAAAGTGGGTGCCAGAGCAGGCTCTGCTGAAGGGAGGTGGGTACCAGCCCAGGCAGAAGTGAAGAAGAGGCGAGAAGCTTCTGTGCTGGGAAAAAAACTTTGCCCTAAATCTATGGATGAAATGCTGGGAAGTGCTGTGTACACAGGTAGTGTACTTGTGGCTTGATTGAGCTGCAGGTTTTGGCTCCTACACTAAAGTGTCCTGGTTTTGGCTGGGGTACAGTTCATTTCTTCCTGGTAGCTGTTAGAGCATTGTGCTTTAGTGATTTTTGTGTTTTAGTGATTTAGTGTGAGAATAATGTTGATAACACACTGGTGTTTTCAGTTGTTGCTGTGTAGTGTTTCTGTTGAGTCAAGGACTGTCCACCTTTTTATGCCACACCAGTGAGGAGGCTGGGGGGGCTTGGGAAGTTTGGAGGGGTCACAGCTGGGACAGCTGACCCAAGGGATAGCCCACATCCATCGTATGGCATCATAATCAGCATATAAAGCTGGGAGAAGAAGGAAAAAGGGTCTCAAACATTCAGAGTGATGGAACCCTACTTTCCTAGGGGTTTAATTCCTTATTTTGCTTTGCTTTGTACATGACTTCTGCTTTATCTATCAAACTGTCATTAATTTAATACATGTTTTCCCTCTTTCATGATTCCCTCCCCCATCCTGGGTGGGAGTTAGCAAGCAACTGGGGGGCCTGAGTTGCCAGCTGGGGTTAAACCACTGCACAAGGGAAAGGAGTTCTTACTGTAAAGCCACCCAGTGTTATAATATCTTAAAATTGGAATCCTTTGTTTGACTCTCTGCTTGAGTTGTGAATCACTGTTTCTTCTGGTCGTTAGTGAAACAAAACTTAATTTGGCCTGGGCACTGTAGGGATGAAACATGATTGGTAATGCTGTATACATTCACTTCAGATGACTTTATAAATCCCAGATGAAATCATTTTGCTTTGTTCCAGACAAGGCAGAGCGTGGCATGTGCTCTGTAACGAGAGTCAGCCTTGCTGGAGGCCGTGCATAACCTCATCTGAAAGGATATGATTTCAAGAGAGGAGATTCACTGTGGATTTTGAGCTGTTTGTTACGTTAGCCCATTAATTCATTGATTGTTTCTTGGCTTTGCACACAGTGGAAAGTTTTTTTAAAAGTTCTTTTCCCCTTCAAATCCAATTATTACTAAGTGATGACTTCTCTGATCTCTCATCCTCTAGGAAGGGAAATGCGTAATGAGTTCTCAAACCTGAAATAAAACCATATAAATATTTAACCTTAAAAAAGGTTATTAACTAACCCAGGTATTCACCAGATTGAATAAAAGATTGAATTTGTAATTGCATAGAAACCCTTCCCATTCAGCTGTGCTCTCTTTAATGTTTGTCACATTGATTAAGTGGTAGCTATCACCTCATGAGATAGGAAGGACGGGGCTCCTGGTGATCTTAACCATAAATCAGTAATATTAGAGACATGGGAAATGCAATGAATCTTCCTATCTTTTTAACCAACCCCTTTGTTCTAATTCCAAGTTGTCCATGTTTTGTTTTTCTGTTCAATGATACGGTGACATCTTTGTTGCAGACAACTGTGAAATGTTGAGTGTCACTAGTTTTCTGTGTCAAGTTGAACATGGCCTGAAAAGTTAAAATTTTGGTCCTTTCCTGGGGACCTCTGAGCACAAAGTGCAGTATTTTTAGTAGAGATGGCACAAGCAATATGCCAAGATGTCAATAGTGGCAGTATTAACTGGATTTGTGGCTGACCCTTCGGTGTTTGGTCTGCAGACAAGTGGGAGAGCTGCTGTCACTTCTTGCTGGGGTCAGCTGCCTGTAGCTGCTGCTGTGCCAGGGCTCCGGGGCAGTCCCCAGCCCCAGTCCACCAAACCTGGGTGCCTGGGATGCTATGGACAACCTGAGGCAAGCTGGAATGAGCTAAGAAAGGGGTGTGACCATGGGTTGGAAGACGAATGAGATAAAAAGGGTGGTACATGTTTCGTGTCAATAAAATAACCTTTTGAGGATGAAAAGCTCTCTGCTGCCTAGGTCTTTCTCTGGAGAATTTCAGAATTTCAGCCTGGACATGCGGGTGAGTCCCTTCAGGAGCTGCAGTGCTCTGGGGTGTCTCCTGTTCTCTGGCTCCTTGGAGAGTAGTGCCATTTTCAGGGAACAGTGGATTATGTGACCTTGGAGCAAGCTGCATCTTGCTGTGAGGAGCCGAATGTGCACAGTGGGGTAAAAACTTACCTTAGGATTGAGAAGTGACCTCTACAGAGAAAGAAAAAGCGCTGCAAAGTGAGGCCAGCACAGGGGGATTCCTGGGGGAACAGAGTGGCCCCCAGGACTTGCCCCCTTGGGGGAGCAGCTTGGGGAGGGCAGGAGAGGCAGAAGCCAGAGGTCAGAGAGAAGGAGCCTCTCTCTGCAAGGATCAGCTGCCAGCTCCCTTCTCCCAGGGCTGTCCTCCCAGGAGAATAACATGAAAAAGCATGGCACGGAAAGTCTGTGCTCCACAGACCTGCAACCTTGGGGCTGTGATGACTGCAGTTAATTAAATAGGTGGCTTGTCTCTAGACAGCCCCAGACATCTGTCTCCATTCTTCACTTGTTTTTCTGACACATTTCTATTTGCTTGTCCAGAGCTAAGCCCAGAGGACCTACAGATGGTCGCCATTAATTTTGTCACTTGATGCAATTTAATTTTTTTTCTCAACCTTTTAAAAACAGATGTGTATAAAAAATAAATCTTTTAATAGAGCAACTCACTAGAGGTCTTCTATTTACATTTAGATTTAATTTTAGTTTTTAGTGGCTGGGATTCAATTTTGGCATTTCTTTTAAACCAAGTCTCTCTTGTAGCCATATCAGTTTCTAATTTGATCTTAAATAAACTTTCAAGATTCCCTTTGCATTCCTAGTCTGGCTTCTTTGGAAACTCAGAAGTCATTGCATGCCAAAACATTTTCTTTGTTTTGGATCACATACCTGGTTTTGCATAGGTTTATTCACGATTGCAGGATGCTGGTGTTGCGTGGGCTGAACTTGGGCTATGGGCTTTCCAAATAAAGTCTTCAGCAGCAAAGTGCAGCCTTGTTAGTGACTTCTTAAGGAAGCCACAGGATTACAGACACAACTCAGGAGCTGAGTAGTAACAGCCTGTACAGAGTCGGGATCATAGATAACGGCTTGTTATCAAAACTAATGATATGTACTTTTAAACAGATAAACCAGCCGCACACAGGTTTGGCACTTTTTTTTTTCCACAGTCACCATATTAAACATGGAGTGTTCTTTCCAAATATCTTTTAACATATTTCTCTTTGAATTGTCTCTGGAAATTTTACCATAAAAAAAGTTCTAGATTATGCACTCGAAAAATGTTCCCAAGGTACTCTTAACACAATACTATTTTTTTTTTCCTTTTTTTTTGCTTTATTTGCAGGTCAAAATTTATCTGGTTCACTCAAATTAGTGTCATTTTAACCATCCCGTAGAAGAGAAATATGATACCAAACAGAAGTAACCTCTCCTCCTTCCAGAATGTTGGATCAGGTAATCAATTAAAATGAAGTTTGTTTGTAATGCACTGAGATCTTTCAGAATTTTTAATTGACTTTGGCCCTTTAATTCTCCTGACATGTGGATAAGATCAGTGCTCTGTTCTTATTCCATGTCTAACTCCATTTACCAGGCAGAACAAGGCCACAGCTGGATATGCTGCAGACAGCCAACCCTCCCCCATCACTTCAGTGCCTGTCTGGAATAGATATCAGTGACCCCCAGCTAAACAACTCAGGAAAAGGAATGAGGGAGGGAAAATAAAATAAAAATAAAAAAAGGAAGAATTTCCTTCTGTAGCTCCAGGCAGCAAATACTTTGCTAGACAGAGGACCCTTGTGCTGAGCATGAAAGCTGGGTCTGACCTGGATGCAGGATGGGTTCAGGGCACATCACGAGCTGAAGCTCCCATCCTCAGTCTCTACAGCTGCATGCAGTTTCTACTCAAACGTTACCCTAAAAATAAACAAAACAAACAGGATCTGGTTGGTGGGAAGCAGCTATGGTTTATTTAAAAGTGTGCTGTCGTCCAGTTGAGATTTAACTGTATGAGTGTGATGCTGGAAGCAGAAACACAGAAGAACTGGCACATGGGACACTAGACAAAAGCTGAACTGGAATGGTTACGTGAAGGTATCATGACCTTTTCTTACTGTACTTGCTTGGATTTCAAGTACAATGAACCCTTCACTGCTGTGGTGAACAGGCATGAAAGTTTCCATGAGCTAACTTGTTTTTTGGCAAATGCACCCAGTCTTTGAAGGATTAAATGTGCCCTACTGCTGTTGCAAGGGAGTAATGAACAATTATTAATGTCCCATTAATATGTCTGCCAAGCTATTTATAGAGGAGCCAGTGAAATTTATGCAAAAATATTTGAACTTAGCTGTGTTAGTTAAGGTTTGGACAGTACAATTTTCATATGAAATTAGATTTCAGTTTTAAGAGAGATTTGGAAGAGGGAAGGAGAAAGGGAGACTGAGATGGAAATTAGGGTCAGTTCCACAGTGAAAGGTTAAGTATAAAAGGCATATGCATTGTGCTTTACATCTGGGATCTGAAATAACTTCTACATCTTATTCTCCTTCCTTAAAACACCACTAATATGATGAATGCTTGATTTACCCAGATGATGTTTTCTTGTCCTGACAAGAGTTCTTTTGAATCTGGGTCACATTTATTCTTTTGTTCATTTGGACTTCATCATTGCTGTTATCAAAATTCATGAATATAGTTAAAAAATGTCAAGTAAAATATCACAATATGAGAAGCTGCAGTTTCACTGCTCAAAGTGGTGATGATGTGATGGAGAACTCTGTGAACTCGCTGGTTCAAAGGCAACTTAGATAGTTGTATCATCATAATAAGTGTGTTAAAATTATAAATATAATATAAATCACATAATTACAGCCAGCATAAAAATATTAAATTCTGTGTAGTGGTTGACTTGAGGTTTAGTTTTGAAGGTGCAAGTTCATGCTTTTGGCCACTGCCAGAGTTTGTAATTAACAGCTGCTTAACTTGATCCACTATAGTCAAGAAGGTGTTGTATTTTACTTCGATTTTTGTGTGTGTCCCCTAATGCTGGCACCTTTTATTTTCTGCCTGTCAATTCCATTAGTAATGATGGTTACCTTTGTTCTCAAACTCATGGCTTTTTTCCTTAATAACCGAGGAGAGCCTGTTGTTGCATGCCTGGGTTGCAGCAGAGGATTGCTGATGCCCTGGGCAGTGGTGAATTCCATGGCATTGTGCCTTATCAGCAAGGAAGGTCCCAAAATCCAGGAGCCCTGTGAAGAATGGATTGCCACCTTCCACAAGATCTGAACCTAGTGATTCTCAGTGAAACCAGGTCATGTGAGCTCTGGTGATGGACAGGAATCCCAAATTCTGTCTCTTGGTTCATAGAATTGCCTGGAGCAGTACTTGGACCAAAGTATTACCCCTGAGGATGTTAAGGGCACTTTACACATTAGATTAGCCCACTGAGACAAGCTGAAGCTCAGTTTCTCATGAGGATGCTGAAGTCGCAGGTGAAATGTGACTGAGCCAAGAGTAAATTCCAGGTTTGACCCTTATTTTCAGAAACACCATTTGCTGGCACTGCAGTAGCTTACTCTCAGGAGTGCTTTATTAGTTCAAAGTGTAGACTAGCACATCCCAGGAGCTGCTGTGAATGTTAATGGTGTCATTTCTACATCAGCTGAGGTGTAAGTGTAAGCCTGCTGGGGGTCCTGTTTATGTTCTGCAGTAACTGGCACTGTCAGAAGCTGAATTCCTTTCTTTGCTTTTGGCAAAGTGGAGCTCAGAACTGTATGCTAGAGCTTCATACATTGTAGAACAGTGACATCCACCACAGCAAAGGCTTTTTTGGTCTGTGCTCTCTTCCCGAGTAGATTTCTGAAAAAGCATAAGGATCTGTAACCTTCCCCCAGCAGTATTTTTAAGTCATGGGTTTTTGTTGTTTTGAATGAAGTCGTGCAACCTAGCATTCTTAAGGTTATCTTTTAACCAAAGTGCTCTTTGCTGATGCAGTTATAGCCTTGCATTTTTAGAGCAGTGAGCTGAAACACCTTGAAAAATATGCCTTGGTTTTGTACTTTACTACTAAGCTTTGCAGGACTATCCACAAAGTAAGCAGAAAGATGACAAACTCCTACTGAGCTTTAAATTGAGCTCCCTAGTGTGTCGGGGCTCAGATCCACTAGCAGCTGATTAAAGGAGGAGATGGTCCAGAGCAGTATCCGATGTCTTTGGCCTTGGGAGACCTGAGTTGGGTTCTTTACTCTGCTGTCTGTGTTGCATATTTTCCCTGTGCCTGGGTTCCTCAGCTGTAAAACATCAGGACAATAATTCTTCCTTACTTCATGGGTATCTCGAGAGGCCACAGGCTCCTGCAATGGATAGGATAGCAAAGAAAGGGTCTAGCCTCTTTCCAGTTGTGTTGCTGATTTTAGTATGGTTTTCTGCCTCTACCTCTTCTTTTTCAGTCTCCCATCTTTTGCAGAAACAGATGGGAAAATTATGATCTGAGACACATTTACTACAAGCACAGTAATTATTGCAAAAAGTGTTCACGTTATTTTGCAGGCATGCACGTGCAAGAGGCTTCTTACTTGCTAAATTATTTTTCTTGTTTTGTCTTCTTTACAGATTCCAGTAAGATTATGGCAGACTATAGCCACTCACAAAAACAGATGGAATTACAAAATGCTAGTTTGGGAAAGGGTTCTGTGGCGAATTCCCTTGAAAATGGTCTCCAGGATATTATGGAAAACCTCAACACGAAGAAATATTCATCAACTCTTAAATTTAAAACAAATGGGGACTATGCTGGCTCTTATTTAACCCTTTCACAACCTATGCCAATTAAACCCAATCCTTCTACCAGTGTTAAAAATGCACACTCTATTAACAAAATACAAGGAGGCAAGCAGTTCCCCTGTGAAAGCCCATATCTTCCAGATAAAAGCATCTCTGTAAAGCATTTGGGTTCCATATCAGGCGTGTCTCCATCCCTCAGCGGGTATAGTTCAGGAAGGACGGATTTTGACATTCATGCCAGCAGAGAAAATGAAAAATCCCTTGGACACATGGATAAGTTTCACTACTCAAAGTACAGTCAGAGAAATAAATCTTATGACAACATCTACTTCCCAGGAATGCTGGAGTCAAAGAAGATCTCAGGCTCTCTTCTGACTATGTGGAATGGAAGCTCGGGGAACGAGCTGGTGCTTTCACCTGGCAGCAGTTCAGGGGCAGCCAGCATGCCTTCTAGCCCAAAGCAAGGCAGGAGAATGACTGCTGAAAACAGTCTGGCCCTTCACATAAAGCCAGTGAAGTACAAGGATGGGATGATGGAAACCCTGGGTTCACGGCCTAGGAAATACTCTGGTGGATCTCTAAGTCATATGGGAATGTACAGTCGTTCCCTACCCAGACTTTATAAATCAACAGAAAACCAGCTGGTGCCATTAAGTTTGCCCCCCAGAAGCTCTCTGGGTAATAGTAAAAGGAAAAAACTTGGAGAAAAAGATCTACCTCAGAATGCTTTCGATGCTGATAATTACCTGAATTTTTCTTCTTGCAGCTCAGGGGTTTCACCACATGCAAACTCTGTCTCTGGGAGTAATCCCTATGTCAGTTCAACTCTTAGTGTTCCTGCAAGCCCTCGTGTTGCTAAAAAAATGCTTTTAGCACCTTCTTCCCCATATCTCCCTGATGATTTTGATAGACTTGGACTCTCAGGAACAAGTCCCAGTAGTTCTTTCTCCCCAGTGGACTTTGACAGGTCGTTCTCTGTCCGAAGAAACCTTTCCACCAGTTCCATGGAACTTGATGATCCAGATCTGGAAAGTTACAGGCAGACGCCAAATTCTCTGCAAACATCCATGCGAGAGCGGAAGAACAGCATCAGCTCCATTTCAGGGAGGGAAGATCTCATGGACTATCACAGGAGGCAGAGGGAAGAGAGGCTTCGGGAGCAGGAGATGGAACGCCTGGTAATTTGTTCTCTTCCTCTTAGTGTGATTATTTGTAAATACCTGTGATATTTAGCATTGGTGAAACACCCATCCCGGTCTAGCCATCAGGAAGGTACAGCAAAGAATAATAAGCTGATCTGTTTTGAAATTCAAATGCAGCCTGCTCCAGATACCTTGTTTATTATCACAGTCCATTAAGCCACCCTGAAAAAATGTTGGAACCCATGTAAATTGTGCTCAGTTATCCTGCAGGCTGTATTAAAATGTCTGCATACATAAAACCCACAAATTACACTGCAGGGATCCTGCAGGACTTTTTGGTTTAGATGATGGCACTGTTTTGTGATAAGTGGGCAAAGAAAAAGACATTCTGCTGTAAACTGCTCAGCCTTGTGTGCTGCAGAGTCAGGTATACATTGGTGTGGGCTAAAGTTTCTTCTGATTAGTTTTCATTTTTTCCTTCTGAGCACATTCATTAAAATAGAGGCCTCTTGCTTCTCCCCCTCCCAGGATGGAGAGTAGCAGAGGGAGACAGTTTCATTCTTTGTCTCAGTCAGTGTAAAGCAATGCATGCTGCCTCAGCTTGGGATTATCTAGGTAGTAAAATGTAATTTATGTATTACTGAAACAGCTCGTGGGTAGGAAAAGTAAAAAAAGTCTTCAGCACCCACAGAGATTTTTGAAACAGTTTTGTATTGCAGCTGTCTCTGGAAGAACACCTAACAATTCTTCCAAAGGGTTTTCAAAGTAGCTTTGGGACTCTCTGACCGTATTAACATGCATTCATATTTTATCATCCACACAGAAACAGAGGTCATTAGATGGGCCAGCTGGTATTCCCAAGTCTTAAATTTGAGATGTTAACTTTACATTTGTGTGCTTTAATGCACATATTATGAATTTGACTAAAGTGGCAATAGGATATTCTTAAAGCTGTCTAGTTTGCATACAGGCAGCAAGCCTGCAGGAAAATTCACTTTCTGGGCAGGTTGGGATGAAGAGCCATGGGGAGGATGGATGCAGGGGTAGTGGGAATGTGGGAGAAGGGAATGCCTGTCAACAACCACGAACAATGACCTGGTGCCACAGTTCCCATCCTGAACTGAATGAGCGAGCAGGCTCAGGATAAAGAATTGTAACCCAGTGAGAAGTCTCCCCTCTCCCCATCTCTGTGCCCTTGATGCAGGTTGGTGAGGAGCCTGTTTCACAGACAGGAGTCTGCCTTTCCCCCCATTCACTGATCTCTGTAGTTTAAAAGATACACATTGCTGTTTGCAAGATGTGAAAAAGTCTTTGCCTGCTCAAAGGCTGTAGAGTCGAGGCTGAGGTGTGAGAGGGGGGCAGGCACTGCCCCCTCCCCACTCCATGAGTGTCAGGGCAGGTCCACCCCTGCCCTGTTTTGCTCCCCAAAAACTCTGCTGGCTCCCCTTGAAGCTGCAGCCTCTTGGGAGCAGGGACTGGGCTCCCCAAGGCAAAAGGACCAGCTGTGAGTGAAATGGCTGGGTGGCTTAGGACAAAGGTTTTGGGAAACATAAGAAGAAATGTTGTTTCTCCCTCTTCTTGCTGTCTTTGTCTTGCCATTCCTCTGCTCCTTTCAGTAATCTTCTCCGTGGTCCTGGTGTGTTGTGTGTGCAGTGGTGATTGCTTCTTTGCTTCTTATCAGAAGGTTTTGCAGGCAGTCATGCTGTAAAACCTGAGATAATCAGTCATAAAAGCAACGTATTTGTATTTCAAAGAGAACAGCCTTTCTTTTTTTGCTGTTTTAATTATTATTTGTAGTGAGTTACGAAAGATACTGGGTTGTTTCAACATTCAGTGATGCTGATAATCATTCTGATTTTATATTTGGATGAAATGGCTACATTCCCATCCCTCAATATTTCCTCTTGCTCAACAACACTTCCTTCAACTCCCAATTCTTCAGAAAGAGAATTTGCTTACTGTTTTTCCAAAGCTTTTGAAAACAAGATTATGTTTTGTATATTGCATGTAATTTGAATGTGAAGAATTTTCCTCTTGCTTGAGTTCATCTTTATACTCAACATACTGCTTCATACCTGCTCCATTCTCCATTTGCTAGAGCTGTCTGGTAGAAGAGTGAAATATTAGGATAGTGCCTCCTTCCAGTGGTTTGAGTCTGAAAAATGCCATAAGCAAGTTTCTAGATTTCTGAGAAGTAGAAAGATATATATTAAAAAGTCCACACATCGGTTCTTTGTATGTTAGAGCCTTTCCTGTTCTGGTGTTATTTTATTTTGTCGTTCTGTGTGGATCCCTGTCTAAAGGATAGTCAAGGATCTGTTCAAACAGGGTCTCGATATATCCAGCCAGATCTTCCAAAGAACAATTTTGTTTGCCTTTGTGTGCTGACATGGGCAAAGGATCCATTTCTGCTCAGGTCACTCTTTTTTGTGGGGTTGGGGAAGGTGTGAATAAAAAACCCCAACTGAAGAAGCACTCATGGATACCAAAACTGTGTGCTCTGAGCTTTCAGTGGTGTGTAAATGCACAGGCTGAGTAGCTGGTAGGTAAATGGCAGGGGAAATGAAGTCTCACTGTGCACAAGTGTCAGGATTTTCCAAACTGGGTTTTTGTAGCACACTAGGGAGAAGAGCAGTGTAGGAATACTCAAATAAGTCCATCAGAAAACTAACACCCTTTTTTAGAGGACTAGACTTCTCTGTGGCCCAGATAAGAAGTGGAGAGTGTCTTTCTTTGCACCAGCACTGCCCCTGTAGCTATTCTGCTGGCACAGAGTGGCTTGAAAATGTTACATTTGATAGCTGATACTTCCGGATTTTTTTTTTGTAGTAAAATCCATGCACTCATTGCAATCTGACCTAGTATCTGCCCTTGAACTCTTCTGTTTACTTTCACTTGTTTACTTTTTCTTTTCCATATAAATTATTCAATGAGTTTTACTTGTGTTTAGTTTGCTTTTGAGTGTCAGAGGCTTCTCTGGAAGTTTGTGTTTAGAGTTGCTGCTGCAGCCTGCATACGAAAATAAATGATCTGCTGTCATTGCCTTACAAAATAACCAGAGATTTTAAAAAAAAAGAAGTAGAAATAGTGAAAATATGCAAGTTGTTTTTTTCTTTAATTATTTAAAAGTCCAAGTGTCAATTTGTTCCACCAAATAAAAAAGATACATATGTACTTGTGTAGGATTTGGAGTTTTTCCATATCTATTTCTTTAGATCTGCTGTCTGTGGCTGGGTTCACATAAATTACCTGAAGACTGATGCCACTTCTGCTTTGCCAGACTTTTCCTGTGTGGCTTGAAGAGCAGGGGGAGCTGGCCTTGTCACTCCTGCCATCCCTCTGGGATGGGGGCTGGTGCTGGGGGCTGTGGGAGCAGGTGGGGCAGCACAGGGCTGCTCCTGGCACAGGAGCTGGGTCACGACCTGCTTCTGCTTCCTCTGCAGCCCAGCTGACCGGACACCACAGCCCGGCATGGGCTGCTCATGCCAGCTGCACACAAGGAGAAGCTGGAGCAGCTATTGCTGACACTAGCCCAGGGGCCTTATAAACAAGGGAGAAAGTTGCTGCTGGGATCTAATAATGTTCAATGTGGTTCAGCTAGCTTTTTTTTTTTTAATTATTATTTAAAGAGGAAATCTCATTCTTTTATTTTCCTATCTGAGATGAGAGCCCAATTATGATAGGTGCTGGAACTAAAAGGGACTCTTTTTCTTCAGCCGAGGGGGTGGTTGGGAGTGGAACTGCACAGGCAACATAGTTGGGTAGATATTAAGGGCCATCTGTTTTCTATGATAGCTGCTTGTTTAAATAGCACTAAAGTTTTCAGTTGCTGGTTTTTAGGCAGTTCAGTGTATTTCCTCTAGATGGTGGTAGGTACCTTAAAATTAGATGTGCACTAGGTTTGTGGTGCCTCCTGTTGCCCAGCTGTCTGTAGGGATTTGTGAACGTACATTAACATTGTTAATGAATTTCTACGAGATGCAGGATTTCTACTGGGAGAGGTTTCAATTTATCAGTGACTGAATGAGCAGTAATAAAATTCAAGGGTCTTATTCCATAGTCCACTTTGTCACAGTCAGAAGAGCACTGAATTTCATTAGTTTATTCAGAAGTAGGGAATAATACAGAATATCCCAGTGCCTGGTTTGTATTGATGCCTTGCAATTTAGTAAGATGTGCTTATGCAAAGGAAAAATGAAATGGAACTAGAGTTTATGTAAATCTTCTTATGGTTTGTGTGAAACCTCATATACATGTTTTGTAAATCTGTATTGGCACTGTGTCTTTCTATAGACCCTTTAAGCATAAAGTACCCAAGCTGTATGTAAAACTGTAAGTGATTAGCTCTTAAAGGAGCCTCAGCCAAGTAGACAAAGGCTAGCTTCAAAGTAATTTTTCCCTCTACTAGTATTTGACGGTCTCTATAGTGCTACAGAATGGCTACTTAACATCATTTAGTTTTGTAATTGAACAAGTGCTGTATAATTGGATAAAACCCCCTGCAGAATATAACTAATATTGATGACTCCATAACTTTCCAGGAGCATTCAGTTTCAATTGTGTTGTAAAACATTTCTGTGGGGTCTTTAATAAGCCAAAATCTGGATTACATGCGCTTAATTTTTGCAGCTGTATATATTATGAAAATTAACACTGCGGTCCAGGAAGAAATCAATTACAGGAGACCTGTTCTCATTTACAGAACTTAAGTACTGCTCTGTAACTCTGGTCTTCAGGCTCCTGCCCTCAGTGTGGTTCAAAAAGGAGCATCTGCATAGGTACTATAGGGAGAAAGGGGCTGAACAATGGTGTTATTTTGGCAGCCAGTGGCATTCCCTCAGGAGCAGGACACATGCCTCAGGTACGGGAGCTGATTCTTGGAAAGTCATCTGCTCAGCTCCTCCCTGCAGGCTGTCTGTGCTCTGTGCCACTGCTCTCTCCTGCTCTTACCAGTCCTTTTCTCCTGTGCCTGCTCTGGGGAGGAAAGGACCAGGCACAGCTGCTCCTCTGCTGTGACCTGTCCTCTCCACTGCTTCTCTGTGCAGGTGTCTCTGCTGTCACATCTGCCTCTGGGAGAGGGGCATGAAATACAGGTGCTGCTGCTGGTAACTCTGGAGCTTGAGCACTGACTATAGCAAAACAAGGACTGGCAATGAGAAAACAAACAAGTCTGGAGTGAGAAACTGGTGCAAACTGGAGGGAAGGGAAAAACACTTGGCAAACTCTTCTCAGTCCCAGTTCAAGTTTATTGCTGAAATAAGTTCCTAAGAAATGTAAGAAAGAAAGAGAAAGCTTTCTCCAGCCTCTCATCCATGAATGTACTTGTAAGAAAGAAAGTTTGGGGGTTTTCTGCAGCCCTTCCCCAGTCTCTCTGCCTCTTTCCCCACCATCCTTTTTGACTAGCTGCTATTCCCAGCTTTTACTGAGAAGGTGGTGGTTTGTCTGTCTGAGCAATAGCAGGAAAACACTGTTCTTTGGCAGCTGAAAAGTGCAACAGCTTCTTCAGGCAAAGGGAACCTGGCTGCATGGAATAGCCCTAATTCATGTTAGTCTTTGTCACAAGGGATAGACTGCATATATATTTTTAATGAAATTTGAGGTTAGCCAGTTCCTAATGGAACTTACCTGAAAAGCTTCCTGTTTACCACAGCTGATTAACCAAGGCTTGCCTTGGTATCCAGATATAGCAGCACTTCTACACATTTGTGAAATTCATAAATGTGATGTGTAGCAGATGAACAAATCTAGGAATCACCACATAGTTGCTGTTTAAAAAAGTGGGATATTAATCTCTGCTATTTTGGGATTTTTTTGCAGTGTACCTGGGATGTCTCTAAATGTCACTGATAAACAATAGCAATAGAGGTTATTATCTCCTTATCCCACCCTTGTCCTTACTTAAATTTGCAGCCAGCCATGGGTGATGTGTTGCTTTCTCAAAGCCAGGAGTAGTGAAGCTGCTCAGGCAGAAGCTGCACAAGACCTGTTACCTCTTTTTGTAGTGGGGAAAAGAATTACAGAAAATAAACAGAGATCTGTTAGAAAGAACATTTTATGGAGAAACACACTGACCAGCTTACAAGGCTTGATTCAACATCCCCCCTTCCCACCAGAGCCATTTCCTGCTTTTGACATACCTTTTTTTTTTTTCCTCTGCTGTATTCAGTGTCACAAATAACTTGTGTTGTATCTCGTGCAAAATTATTGACTGGATTTTCCACTCGTTATGTGTTTTTCATTGCAAGGGTGCTTTCCTAGCTTGCTTCTTCACTGAGAAATTAATTCTGGAAGCAGTTACATGCAGGTGTGCTGGAGCTGGAATGAGCTGGCTGAGATGAAATGATGAGAATAGAGTGTATAAAATAACCAGTGAGCTTCCTGTCCATAAGCCTCTCAGCTCATGTCAAAATAGAAGTGAGAAATATCAGTATTTCTGTAATGTGTCTGAAAGCTCATCAGGAATTTTTTGAAGACTGGTTTTCCTGCAATTTTTAAGCTTTTTCTGAGCAACTGAGACTTGATGGGGGGGGGGAAAAAGAATAATTTTTTTTCCTGACTGCTCAGCAAAGGGCTGGTTTGCAGCCAGAGCCCCTCACCTGAGCACTTAGGCTGGAATGAGCAGTGCCCTGCTTTGAAATTTGCCGTGTCCCAAGGGATGGAAGCTTGGCTGGGGTAACCCAATACAGCCTGTTGTTGCAGGAGGGGAGGGACCTCGTGTCCTGATGTCCATGTTTCCCATTAGGACAGGCCAGATGCTGTCACAGCAGGGAGAGCTGCATAATTACCAGCTGTCCCAGCCAGCCCTTGCACAGGGCTGTAGGAATTGGGTTGCCTGGCCAAAACACTTAGTGAAGGGGAGTTAGCAGCGTTGGAAGGGTAAGGGCAGAGCTTAGGGTCTGCCAGTGGTTGCCTGGAGGGAACAAGGCTTTGAGGAGTTATAATTATGTCGACTGTTTGGGGTTGGAGGATGTGTGAGAATCTGCTGGATGTATTTCGTGGAAAATAGAAGTTTGCTCCGTTATTTCAGCGGCTCATCTCGTACCGGGAGGATTCCGAGGGAAGCTGCAGTGGGGACCTGGGAATAAACCACCCAAAGGCAAAATTGCTCTCACAGCACTCTCTTGTTTGGGTAGTGCTTGGGAAGGGGTGGGTTCAGACAGGTTCTCCAGCTCAGAGGTTTTAGTATGCAGGTGATGTGCACGTGTGATGCTTACAGCCAGGTAATCTCTCAGCAGCCATATGAAACTCTGGGTGCCTGTAACCAGTGTTAAATTTTCATTCCATGCTTCATTTTCATTCCTTGCTGCAGGGAAAGCTGAGGCAGTGCATTGCCTGCCCTGTTTTGCTTGATCTTTGTTATCACTTGCTGTTGGGCATAGGAAATGCAGGGGCTGGCAGAAGTAGCTGCTGTGGAAAATCCTCTTTGCCAGGTGAAGGTAGTGCCAGGTGGAGCTGGGAAAGCAAATATGTCTCTAGGGGTTCCTGGGGAGGGAGGTTGAGGCCATTGGTTTTTTGGTCTTCTTTTTAAATACTACTGTAGAAGGATTTCCTAGATCATTAGTGCAGATATTAATGCCAGGTATGGAACTCTCACAGTGGTCTTTTTTCCAGCAAAATTTTCCATAGACTTATGGTAAGCAACTTTTTGTTTATTTTTTTTCTCTTTAACAAAAGTAACATGAAATTACATAAATGCTTTACCTCTTAAAAATGAAAAGGTATTAAAAAAATCCATCTGAATAGAAGTTACCAGAAGCTGTGCGTACAGTAAAATAAAGCAAATATATCTTGCTAACAGTTGATAAAAGGTATCATAGAGATCTAGAAATCCTTCAGAAATTAAATGTTTACCACAACTTCAAGCATATCAAGTCAAATGGCACAGCTACTCTGAATCTCAAGTTTAAAATGTTCTATAAATCCATAGAGAATTTGAGTAAACTGTAAAAAAATATTTCCTTCACTTCTGTGCATTTGACAGATGTTGTATTTTAGATGTGATGCCTCTTTTTTTCTGTTAATGCTTCTAAAACTGTTTTTCAAAATGTGGATTAATTTTCTCAAAAGGAGAAATCACAGTTAACGAAATGGAAAATCTAAAAAAGTCAGGAATAGGTGAGTTCATGGAAAATCTGTGCAATATTTTGCAGCTTGGTAGGAATATAGCGTAAGTGTGAAGTGGAATTAGTGATTTACGTAGTGAGATCACTGGACATGTGTACATACAAATGGGGTGTGGACACAAAAACTTCAATAAAAAAATTTAAAAGTACATTCATTTCACAGAAATGAATAGCTAGTTAAATTAGATGTCCTAACTCTTACTTATCTTTCCAATGTAGAAAACGTTAGTATTCTTAAAATCTTCTTTCATATTAATTTTGATTTTTCATCTTGCACTGTAATTTATCTATTACAGTTTATTATCTCTGAGTGGTAGACGGATTTCACATGGACTTCAGTCCTTCACTCTAAAATGAAAAAAACCAAACCCAAAGCAACGAACAACCCAAACAAACCATAAAAGCCCAGCAAACTTCTTTGTAACTTCATCTTACTCTATCTTTTTCTGAACTAGGAACGGCAGCGGCTTGAGACAATCCTCAATCTGTGTGCAGAGTACTCCAAATCTGACAGCGACCCTGCTGCAGCCACTACAGTTGCTGACGTTCAAAAAATCAACAAAGAGCTCGAAAAGCTCCAGCTCTCTGATGAGGATTCGGTGTTTGAAGAGTCCCAGATGAATCTGGAGACGAGGTTCAGAGGCCACTTGAAATCATCGGCGAGCGACTCGGATTTCTCGGAGCTGAGCAGCCACAGCCGTGGCACTGCTGCTTTCCTGCCCTCACGGGGGCTCAGGGCTGATGAGCACTTCAGTGAAAGCACCAAGCCTCCTCCTTTTGCTGCTCCCAGCTTCCTGAAGGATGCCACTGAGTCATCCTACCTGAGCATCACACCAAAGGTAATGTTCTGTAGGAGGAGACTGTGTAATCCAGGCTTGAAATCCTCCTCTAGGAGTTGGCTGTCCTGGTAGGGGCCACCATTAGGCTGGCTTAGGTATGAGAGTTAATCTCAGAACTCATACAGCTTTATAAGCCATCAAATGTAGAAAATACAGCCAGCAAAATGTAGCAGCCAGCAAATGTTTATTCCATATCTTGTGGAAGCTAATGGTTCTGGAAGTTGTTTTTTTTAGTGGGATGTACTGTTCATGAAGATAGATCTTCAAGATCTTCCAAGGGAGAAGGATTTGCTTGAACAATTATAGCTACTTAAATAAACCAAAACCCTGCTTAGCATCCTGCCGAGGTGTAGGAGGGAAGGGATGCTCTGCTGTTTTCTCCCTGAGGCTCTTGTAAGAGGAGTATGTTTTCTCACACTCACATGGGAGGTGAAGAGGAGTTGCCTGAGCTGAATTTACTGTCCTGTCTCCTTTCCTAGGGTTGGGCTTGAGGTACTTACCAGATCAGCTGTTGTCTCTTGGGGATGATGCCGTGGCAGCAAGCCTCCTGCCCCTCCAACCCAAGTGCTGCCTTCAAAAATAAGCTGCACCTCCTTTCCTGTGTGCTTCTCACTGCTGTTCCATTACCAAAAGGAAGTTGTTCTTTAATAAAGGAGCTGACAGCATCCCTAACCATTTCCTTGCTAGGGCAGCAGCAGCCTCCTCCAGGCTGTGCCAGAGCAGCAGTGTAGCAAATCCCAGTGACAGGCAGTGTGGTACATAACTGGATTCAAGAGCTGGAATCAGGAGCAAAATACAAACAAGCAAAGCCATAAAAAGAGGTTTCTGTTCAACAAGTTCACACCTTCAAATACTTAGTCTCTTCCATTTGCTGTTATTTACACACTGTATGATCATGGCTATGATGTCTGCATGGCTATATGTCTCAGGTGAATTGTATTTAACAACCCTGATACACTCACAACTTGAGAGTCAATAGTGTGTGTGTGTGTAGAAGAAGAGAGGGGTGTGATAGAAACACGTTTTCACTTCCAAAGGGTGATCTCTTTGGAAATCTGTCTGCTGAGTCTTCTGGTGTGAGATTGTGTTGAACAGAAACATGCTATTTATTATGGCTTGACTTGGTCTTTCCACGTTGAAAAGATGGTAACACATTTCACTTCCAAGCTGCTGTGGTCTTCCATTTCTTCCTCATTTGTTGCTTTCTTCATGCAAGTCAGGGATCCTATTTTAAATCCTTATTAGGAAGTTGAAATCAAAGATGTTAAGTCAGCATTATCCAAACAGGAGAGCAGACAAAAAGAGGCTTTGCTGCTAGGATTACTATTGCTAAATCAAGGAATACCATTCATTCATTCCTTGTAAAGGGAGTTCTGCTAAGCCCTGAGAAAAGCAGCAATAGCAAGCAACTGCGTCAATGAAGTGCAGCTTGTTTTAAAATACTCAGCTCAGATTTGTTCAGGATAAAATGCCTGCTCTCAGAGTAGCCATTCAGTAGCTGACCTGAGCCTCTCTTGAGCAAGGCTGTGTGGCCCAGAGGTGCCTGCAAAGCCCTGCACTCAGCTCACCTCTAATCCTGCTTGGGCATAATGAGCCAGCAGCCTTCCCAGAGGAAGTGGATTGCAAACCCCTGGGGTCAGGTGAATGTGAAGAATGCATGTCAAACTCAGTGCTGTTTGATCTAGTGTTGGATGCTGTAAGATCACAGGAATTTTCTTCATCATCTTGTTTAATTCTTAACACAGGTATCTAGTAAGGAAATGGCAGTGAAAAGAGAAGCATTAAGGGTGCTACTTCCTCAGTGCTACCTGGGGAGATGGAACCAACTTTTGTCCTTACTTTACAGAAGCAGCCAATCTTAGTGGCTGGTTACAAAAATGTCCTATCCTACCTCCTGGTCTCTATTAAACGAACAGCTGAAATTTACATAAAAAGCTTCTTCATCTATCTGTGTTATTTTTATAAAGGAAAAATGGGATTTTTACAACCTAAATAGCACAGCATGTAAAGCACTCTCAAAGGTTAAGTTTTAGTAATTCCTTTAGAATGAATAGTATTTACTGTTTAGTATTTACTTCCAATGCCTGGAAGTAAAGTATCATGTTTGTTTCTCTTGCACACCTCCTAAATATAGAAATAGCAATACAGTAGATAGGAAATATGCAAGGGTTCAAAACCAACAGTGCCATACTTGTCTAAAATGAAAACCATATGAAAGGAGGGAGGAAAAACAGTGTTTGCCTCTTTTTCTGATGAACCTCTTGTGATGTGCAACTGCAGATATCAGAATGCACCAGTGAAGAGCAGAGAAGGCAGGAGCTTGATCGACTGGAGGAGGAACGCATAGTAATACTGAATAACTTGGAAGAACTTGAGCAGAAGATCAAAGATTTAAATGACCAGATGGATGAATCCTCAAGAGAGGTATGAAACTACAGTTTTGGTTTTCAATGTCCTGTCTGTTACATGTGTCTACATAGCACAGGTCTGATGGGTTCAGCAAATACAACATGAGGGCACTTGTGGATGTGCATAGCCTTCATATTTCTGTGCTTTTTCACCAGAATGACAAACCTGGCAGTCTCCTGTTATGAAGGGTATTTTTCTCCAGCTGGGGGATGCTTATGATGCTTGGATTAGCCTTTCCCAGCTGTAACCATTACACTCTGAAGTGGAATTGGAACAATCTTGCTTGTTTAATGGTCACTCAGTTGATCCAAATACCTTGTGTCACTTGGGAGTTTTATGGTGGCATCTCCTGTGACTGTATAAAGAGAAAGGAAGTGAGACAACTTCCTTTCAATCCTCCTTGGCCTCACAGTGGCAAGGGTATGCTGGCACCCTCTTGGCTTCTGGAATCTCACAGTTGCAAACTAAGCTGGCCAGGCATTTGGGCTGTGCCTGCTCCAATTATCAGCAACAGGAAAGAAACAGCTGTTCCAGAAGGGTTTCCTACAGAGCCTGGGCACAGAGACAGTATCATAACAGGAGGAAGCACAGAGAAGAGTTAGAAAACAAAAAGTTTTGGAAAAAAGAATCTTCAAGCTAAAGTTGGTTTGGACTTTATTTTGCAGTGTTCTATGTTGCAGTTTTGCTTTTTCTCAAATTTGTGACCTCTTTTTAACTTTTGTGACAAAAAAAACCTATGGAGTTATTTTTTCCCCCCTCCCCTTTTTAAAAAATATTTCTCTCTTGTGAACCAACTCATTCCCCTCCCCCCAGAAAATAATGTGTATCAAGATTTCTTCTGAGTCTGGACTGCCTCTGAAAGATGTTTTGTGTTCCTAGTTGGATATGGAATGTGCCCTTTTGGATGGGGAACAGAAATCTGAAACAACAGAGCTGCTGAAAGAGAAGGAAATATTGGATCATCTAAACAGAAAAATAGCTGAACTGGAGAGAAATGTTATTGGTGAAAAGACAAAGGTAATTCAGTTATTGTAGCCTGCTATGTGCTCTATTCCCCTTGATTTTCAAAATATATTTATATGGTTAATATTAATGGAGCTTATTTGATGAAATACTGCCTGTAAGTAAATTTGCTTGATAAATATGGAAGAAAAAAATAATTGTTTCATCATAATTTGCCTTTAACAGTATTGTTTTCCAAGGTATGATTGACAAGCAAAATATAGTAAGCTAAAGTAAAAAGACCTGACCTACTGTGAAGATACTTTGATTAATAAAAACTCCATATAGGGCTTGTTACTTAGGTTTTCTGATGTTTAAAAGAACAATATTAACTGAACTGTTCCAGTACCCTTCATTATATAATTTGGGGGGAAAAAAATAAGTTATTTTCTCAGCAGAGGAGCATAATGAAAAAGGATGCAGTTTTTATCTAATGTCATATAGAATATATCAGACATCATCTAGTATGTAATTTTAAGGTAATTTCACTGTTTTGCTTTGTTTGCTGACTGACAATTTAAGCACTGTAGAATATTCCCTCTGTAATTAAGTCTCAGAAATCAATTAATTTTGATATACAGTCACATACTTAATTGCTCTCAACTACACAAGAAATAGATAGGCATATATTTCCAAAATAAGATGGCAGTATGAGAAGATTTTAAGTGCAGAAATGGAAAGGGCCTGCAAGATGAAGTTGCACCCCTCAAGGCAGGGAGTGCTGGTTCCCTCCAGTGAGTTTTTTGCTGGCCCCTCCAGGCATGCAGTGCCCTTCTCCACAGGGGATGTGCCATGGCCAATAATACCTCAAGGTCAGGAAGTTTTTCCAGGGATTTCAGCCAGTGTTGTTTCCTTTTTAAATTTCATCCTCTACCTCATAATTTAGAACTGTCACTTGTGGAAATGCTCTAGCTGGTCTCTTCTCTTCCCTTAAGCTTTCCAGAAATATCTGGCAGTCTTTGCATTTTTTGCTTAGAAAAGCTGCATGTTTTTAGCACTTTCACAGTTCCCATTTAATTCACACCTTACAGCTTGCATTGTTTTATTCTGAGCTTTCTGTTTTCGATTTCTGCCTGCCCTGTCAGGAGCCTGGCTGCTGTTTTGTGGCTGTCCTTATCAAGCCTGTGCCTGAAAAGGAGAATGGTGCTCCCACATCTCCACTCTGTGGGCAGACAGTGCACATCCAGTTCGAGTTTGAGCCTCCCTGGACTTCCCTGTCTGCACTTCTCCTTAGGCTTGGGTACCCCTCACTGATCCCTCAGCTCTCAGTGTTGCCTGTGGTCACATTTTAAGTTGCCTATGGGACAGGTTTCATATTTGCTTTTTAGCAGAAAGATGAGTTTATCGTGGGTATCAGCAGATAGGGTGTGCAACCAGATCCCCTTCAAAAGGATGCTTCTGGAAGTTTTGGTTGGTAAGTGGTAATAAATAACATTTTCAGAAATTCGAGAGATCTTTTGTCTTTTGTATTGGCTTTCCAGTAGCCTGAAAGTTCAGTTAAACTAATGGAAGTTACTGTGAAGTCTGGAGGAAATTTAAATTTCCTTGCAGCCGCTTGTTAGTGTGTAGGTAGCAGTCAGAAAATTCAAATGACAGGTCTAGTTTAAATTTTCAGTTGAAAGGAAACATGGAAAGCAGCCTATAAAAAGCACTTTTTGTTTAAAAGGCAAGTTCACTCAAGACGTTTTTTTCTGTATGAAGCATGGCACTAGTCAGATCAGCTGCAAAATTTTAGTTGTATTTTCTTTTGTGTTCCTCTTTGTTTTGAACAAACAAACAAACCCAGCTGTGAGTGTGTGCTCTAAACGTCAAGCCATGGCTCAGTTAATACTGAAATTATCTTTGATTTTGGGGGGGGTTGTTTTGTTTTTGGTTTTTTGTTTTTTGTTTTGGAGTATGTCTGAAAGAGTTGCATAAAAGTGAAAGTTGAAAATAGAAATGGGAGACAGGCTTCTACAAAGGCAGTAAAATCTAAAGTGACAGCTGAAGTGTTTTGGGGAATGTAGTGTCAGCCAGCAAAACAGATGGCACTGATCCTGTCAACAAATAAAAGTTCTGGCTGGCTTGAAACAGTAGTATTTTTTAAAGCTTGATTATTGTGTCTATGTTGAAATTCAGCTGTGCAGATCTGATGCAAGACAGTCAACATCTTGGCTCTGTAGTAATGCAGGATCAACCCCCACCCACAGAAAGGAGGCTCAGGTTGAAGTGATAGAAATAATTGAAATAGATAGAAACAATTTGCTGAAATAATTTGAAACTTAGGACAGAATTAAGGCCTGGGTTTGGACCAGGAGTTACCACTCTGCTAATGGTACTTTTTGTGTTGTGTCTTGCTAAAAACAAGTGTCCCAGTGTCCACTGGTTGGTCACAGTTTTTATTGGTTGCCTGAGTATTTCACCCTTACTGATACCTGGGGTCTTGGTTTTGGTGGGCCTTCAAGGCAAGAAGCTGTTGGGGTCCCATATCTCAAACAGCAATTATATTTCTGCCAGGGTAGGGGAGTGATATCTGAATACCCCACAAGGTGTTGGTTGGAGGTGAGAGGGAGAATTAATTTCACTTGTGAAACGATGGAGAGGCATTAGTGCTGTATATGATGGCACTTGTCTCTGGAGCAACTTGAGCATCTCATGGAATTTGCCACTGATCTTGGCACCTGTTTGACAGGAAACTTCTGCCTGCTTGAGTCTCATCCTTACTCGTGCACCTGTTTAAAAAACCTGTGAAATTCTTAAAAAGAGAGATAACAAATTGCAATCTATTTTTTGGGCCATGTTATGGACTTGAAATGGGCTGTAGGTAGAAGCTCTTGTACTACCTTCTACCTGACTATTTGGGGTTTTTTAAATTACTATTTTTTTAAATGCCCTGTGCACATTTCATTTAGGTGAGGAAAAGTTTTGCCACCTTTTTAAGAGTGTTAAAGCCACAATTTTTAGTCCTTGCAAGGCAAAAGAATGACTGGAAAACATACTGGAAGTCAGAAGACAGGAGTGAGTTCAGGTTTGGGCTGTGCTCTTTGCTGTGGTGCAATGGTTCTGTGTCCCAGCCCCTTGTTATAAACCAGGGATGTATTTTGTGAGTGGGTTTGTACATTCCATGTGGAGCTGCATGCTGCTCTCATCCGAGTCCCATGCTCACCCCTCTTAGATCATGAGGCAGGACTAATGAGGGGAGAAAACAAGTGAGCCAGTGGGGAAGATGGTGTGGTGCACACCCTCAGGTGAGTTGAAAGCATTTCCCTTGCCTTTGTGATTATGCCACCACACACCTTGTAAGGAGCGAAGCAACTCGTGTTGGTTTACTCGGGTTCTGCAGATCAGAACTATGGGTGATTGCCATTTCAAAAATGACAGAGCCTTTCAGCACCCCTGCAGGACTTGGCATAGTTCTGATGTGGTACCTGGCCTCTCTGCCAGCTACAGGTGCTGTCTGGACTGTTGTCCTGACTGGGGTAGCTACTTCCAGAGCTGGTTCACATGCTCTGTGCTTTCAGCTATGCTGGAAACCATGCTAGGATATGGAGAAAAGTCCATCTTTAGCTTAAGCCCTTCCTTAAGCCCTTATTAACACAATTTGACAGATACAGCTTGAAGCTCTCTGGGAAAGCTTAGTTATGGATCCTGAAACAACTACTGAGCACAGCCTGCTCTAGAGAGAGCTGGGCTGGGCAGTAGCCAAAACGAGCAAGCAGGTGAAGCTTTTCCCTTTTCCCTTCTCCCTGTCACCAGGGCCTAGCTGCCTGTAGTTTCCATGGCAGTACTGTCAGTGTACAATAATGATGCTGGTGTTCCCAGTGGAACAGCACCTCAGCTCCAGGGTGCTGTTCACATTTATGATTTCCTTCCAATGAACCTTCGCTCATGAGACTCAGATGAGGTTTGATGTTTGTCTATAAGGAAACTGGAGAAAATTGTATTTGCCCCATTGGATGCCATCCAGCTCTGCAATGTACTTTGTTTTTGCACAGGGCCTCCATAATCTGTGCCATTTTAAAGCTTGCCTATGTGAAGATGGTTAATGATTCCCCAAACCCCATGTCTCCAAGTAAATCGTGATGTTGAAAATAACAGATAGCCAGGGAAAGAAAAAATAGATCAGTAAGCATGAATAAACAAGAATAACTGAAAATTAGTAGTAAATTCTGCAGATGTGCTCTGGGAGGTAACCACAACTAAAAGGGAGTTTTGGGAGACTGTTTCGAAACAAGTATTTATGCAAAAGCTGAGACTCTTTAAAAAGAGAGGAAGATTATTCCTTTTCTTCTGGAGGACCTTTGCCTTATGTCATGGAGAAATTTGTACTCTGGAACTCCTTTATCAACCCAGGTTTCCTGTCACTCTTCAAGAGCAGAAAATGGGAACAGCTGGCAGGGGATAACTCATCTATTTTGGAATATATTTAATTTGGTCCACATGCTTTTGTGGAAATATTTTTTCAGTCATTAAGAGAAAATCCCAAACATGCCAAAATATTTCAAGCTCAACCTCTTTGCTGAATTAGTACTACAAAGAATTGCAAGAATAGAGTCAAGGAAAAAGCAGCTGTCTGGTGACCCACCAGCAATGAAAATTAAATATCCTGGTTGCCTCTCTCCTCAATCCTTTCTGTTCTGGATGCAAAATTCCTGCAGCTGGATTTTATCCTGATGAATCTGAAAAAATTATGTCTTGTAGCATAACCTCTTAAATATTTACTGGTCAGATTCCAAGATGCAAGATGTAAGCAAGTATTTTAAAAGGATGAGCTACCATGTCTAACATTATCTACCTCCTTAAGACACAACACACAAGATTAAATATTTAGAGGAATACTTGTATTGCTGGATATATCCACATAAGGATGTCCTGTAGAGAGAACACTAATGACCACAAAGATGATTACAAAGACTCAGGGAGAAAAACCTGAATTCACAAGCTTTCTTTTAAAACATTCATGAGAGAAATATCAGAATGGGTTACACTCCTCATGGGAATCCTCTTACTGTCATCTAGATGTTGAAGACTATAAGAATTTTAATTTTCTGACTTGAATGTTTTTTTCTTGTGGTTTGGATGATGATTTCCTTATTTACACTCGTGAAGGAACAGCACTTTAGAATCAAGACTTTCTTTTGCCCCCTTGCATCTGTTCACTAGGACAACACATTGCAATGGTCAGAGAATGAGCTTAGAAATTCCAAAAAACTTCAATTGTCTTAATAGCAGGTTAATGTGTTCACCTATTGGGATTTCTTTACTTGAAGCAGAGGGATCGCTTACTCTGATTTAAAATGCTTTTTAACAGTAGATTGATGCATGCATCTGAAATAAAATCTCTTGTATAGATGCCATCACTGAATACAAACTGTTATATAATAAATTAGTTACCACTCATACAGGGAAAAGAACTGTTATGAACAACCTTCTATCTCGCCATGCTTCTTTTCATATGCCTGGCATACTTTTTATTTTCTCCTCTTAAGAGCTTTTGTCATGAAAGTGACAGGGATTTAGTGACAAAGAATTCAATTGTGACAAGTTCAATGCATCTGTCCTTAAAGAGATTGAGGAATGCGAGAAAGAGTAGTCAGAAAGTACAGAAAAGGAGCATGTACAGTTTGCACAGGAGACTCTTTTTATTTCAGTGAGGTTTTCTGGTCAGTTGTATGCAGTTACATTTCTCAGAAAGCTGTGAGACTTATAAGACTAGCTGGTTCCATAATGAAAGGGACTGAGTGTACATGTCTGAAGTTTAGTGTGGATTGTGAGTTGTTGCTACCTTAAAACATGATGACTTATAGGTGAGTTGGACTGAAGAAGATCCTGGAGTACTTCAGACTGGATCATGGAAAGTATTAGAAGTGAATCATTCAGCTTCTTGGGGTTTTTTTCTTTCATTTGCCTTGTAGGCTTATTCACAATTTCTCTCTAAAACATACCTAACACAGACCTTGGGTTTTGGAGAGGGACTTGTTGTTTGTTTTGGGGGTTTTTTGTGTTATTTTGGGGGCAGGGCTATTTGGAACATAGATGAGTGAACCCAAATCACCTAGCCCTACAATTCATTTTACAGTGAGCTGGTAAAATTACAGGGTTCTTACTTGTTGAGGGGTTTTTTGTCCGGTTTTTAGCTGGGTTTTCAATAAGTTTTCTTTATTTCATCCAATTTAATTTATTCAGAGTTCCTATGAGTTTATGCAGGAAGGTTGGGTCAGAGGACACATGTCCATGCAGCCACATGTTGCTCTACAATTTTAGCCAGCCAACCTGCCTGCAATAGCAGACTGGGGTGAAAGACAAATTGACAAGTAGCAGTTCTCTGCAGAAAGGGTGTGGAAAAGCACTAAGGCTTGAAGTAGCAGTATTGATCAGGCATAGGCCATCTTTAACCACTGGAGACAACACTGAAGCAATTTGTTTCTCCTTCTTCCTGTTGTTCCCATTGCTGTACTGCCTATGATTGCCTTTGATCCTATCCTTTCCTCTCCTCTCTGGCATGATCATCTATGAGATGTGTTGTATATAAGTCTTTGGTTTTTTGCTATTTCTTTGCCCTGAAATCAGTTCTACCAGATCTAAAGATGGATTTCTTTTTCTGGCCCGTGTTGATCACTTATGGTCAATGTTCATACCGTGTGTTCTCTGCTGACATCCCATCTCTGCCTTTGGAGACAGTGTCATACATCAATTCTTTCTACTGCTATCCTTCACAATTGCCAGAAGTCCTCCAGAACTGACCCAAGCATTGCCCCTGCATCATCAAGCCCCAAATCAGTCCTCCTTTGTATTTGGGCTGACCCCAAATTTGTTCATAGCATGTATGCAGAGGCCAAGTTGGGCAGTAGGCAAAGACCAGATGTTGCACTTGTTTTCTCTGGAAACAGGATGTTAAGAATTCAGCCAGACTGCAGCTGATGTGCCTCTGGTGTCTGTGCTGGGGCTGTCTGCAGAGAAGTATGAACCAAGTCCCAGCCCCTGTGGTTAAATGAGGATGAGCAGCAGGAGCTTGGGTTCTGTTCCCAGCCGTGCCGCTGGCTGCTCTGCAGCAAACAGATGTGGAGCCAGCCACAGACCTTGCACTTGGCTTGCAAAGTCATGAACCTTTCCCCCTTCTAGAAGAACTTGCCTTGATTCACTCATAGAAAACCCTGTATGAGAAATTCCTCATTCGCATCTCTTTTCTCATTCTCATTCAAATTACTTTTTGTGAATTAAATGGACTTCACCAATGCACAGCCTGAGACGTCAGCAAACTTAACCCCACAGCTGCAAAACATGTAATGCCTCTCATTGCTGAAAGTGATATTTCCTGTTAAGACTGCACATTTTGGAGGGAGCCAGTTTGGTGGGATCTTAGCACTTCCTATGCTATAAATAGACCAGATGAGTATCACTTTCAATCTCAAAGGAATACATTTCTAATTTCTTGAGGCGTGTAACAGTATCTCCGGCAGGATTCTCAGGGAGTTTTATCCTGGCTGATGATGTCTCCTCACACTCGAGGTTTGACTTGCTGGTTGATGAATGAGCTTGCTTGTAGCAGTGTGTAGACATTTAGAGAGCTGTTTATAGCTTCAGAGGCACTGCAGCTAAGGTCAGAGAAGTCCTTGCTGCTTTGGATGGCTAGGTGGGCAGAAAAGGCAAGTGTGAAACAAGGTGGCAGACCGTGGGCTGAATGTTAAATGGGCAGCAGGGTTTGTGAGGAGGGGAACCACCAGTTTATTCACAGTTTTCCTTCCATGTTGGAAGTCGGGCTGATTCAGGAAATGGGGCTTCTTGGGGACAGTGTTCTGGAGGTGACCTCGCAGGAGCTGCATGCTTCTCCCTTATTGTGCAGCTCCCTCGTGCTAAATCCTCTGTATTCCTGATCCCTGCTGCTGCTGTTGTTAAGACAGAGTTAAGTACAAGAAGTTTAGGTCATAGAATATGCTGGTTCGGTTGCTCATTTTCACAAGCTTAATAAAATGTATTTGTGTTCAGCATATTGTTCATCTGATTGTATGAGCTGAGAAGCTGCACGTGCAAATGAACATAATGGAGCCGGGACTCTGGTTGACATTGGACTCGAATAAAAATTCTTCCTGTTGTTTTTAGATAGTGGGAAAACTGAATCCCAACGCCTGATCCCACTCAGATTTAGAGATAAAATAATAAAGAAAGCAGGCAGCTAATACATGTTCATTGCTATTCCTCTGCCATGCATAAGAGTTTGAGAAACTTGTGAGGCACAGCAAAGAGGAAGTTTTCCCACAGTTTGAAATGGCATGTACTGTATGCTGAAAGACATTCCTTCTCTGTGGCAAAGGGGATGCAATGTCCAATCATACAGCACCTGCTGCACCACACATTTGATCTCAAAATTAAATAATAGCTGGGATTGGAAAGAGTGGGAATGAGTAGATGCTGTGACAGAATTCAGCTGTTCTTGGAGTAATCAGAATACTGCTAATTTTTGAGTATTAAGGAGAGCTAGAGACCATCTGGAAGGAAATGCATTACCACAGAACAAGAAGTAGGAAAGGAGAGCTATACAGGTGTGATACTAGAATATAGCAGAGAGCCTGGCTTCAGGGACTTACTGGATTATTTATGCCTGGCATATCAGGCAAATTTTTTTTTCCCAGTTATTAATTGCTGAATTGTAGAAAATGCATCTGCCATGTCGGCCAGTGTAGAAAGACATTGGAAAAACGCTCTGTGCTCTGATTTATTGGTTCCCAAACTTTGGTCCACAGATAAATAACAGTCTAGAGGCAAGCTTTAAATGATGTACAGCCAGTCTTTGGAGCAGTGTTGCACAGGAAATCATGTAGTATTTGATTACAAAGATTAAAAGGCCAAAGGCTTTGGGGGGGTGAGAAGAAGGAGTGTGCTGAGTACTGTTGCTTGAGTGGAACAAAAGGAAAGCTGAACTAGTTAAGAAGATCAGGGGAACTGTCCCCAGTGATCCCCACAAACAGGTTACAGTTCCTATATCATCCTGAAGCAAATTTGCTGGATCACTTGATGTTTCTGCTGCAACAGGATTGCCTGCCCCAGAGTTATTTCTTTATAATGCTCTGTCTCATTCTGGCTTTTCACTGCTTGCTAAATGTACTTACCTGTACAGAGCCACACAGGCTTGAAATTCATTCTCTTGGGAAGGTCCATTTCTCCCTCACTGCCAAACTGCAGTCATTTTCCATCCACTTTGCTTTCTAAAAGCCACTCTTTCTCTCTCAGCTTCATTAGTTACCTCACTAACATGGCTACAGTTCCCTTATTTTTATTTTTTTTTACATTAGGTGAGACAAGTGTTTGGGTGGGTGGCTTTAGCAGCATCATCCAGGTACAGATCCAAAGCTGAGTGCTGAGGGAGAGAATTAATCACCCCACTAAAATGATGAATATTTTGTTTTGATCCTTTTGCATCCCACCATTGCATTTCAACTAACGAGGTTTCTGTCTCTGACCTGTGTGCTTCAACTGTTCAGGAAGGTTTTGCCACACGCTGTCATAATCACTAACAACTGCTTCGGTTTGAAGGTAATTGTCTTTATTTTCTGGTTCATGCTTCAGGAAAAATTAAAACTTGATGCTGAGAGGGAAAAACTAGAGAGGCTTCAGGAGCTTTACTCCGAGCAGAAGACGCAGCTTGATAATTGCCCTGAGTCCATGAGGGAACAGTTACAGCAGCAGCTGAAGAGGGTCAGTAGCAAGTTTCAAGATTGCACTAATTTTTTTTTTTTTTATTGACTTTTTTTTTTTTGGTAGTTAAGTGTAACATTTTCTTTTTTAAGTATTCAGTGTCTGAACATATTTGCAACTTAGAATTGTAATAGCCATGAGGGTTATGGATTTGGGGGTTTTTTTTATGGAATGCTTGTAATAGATAACGTGCATGATGGCAAACGAGTAATGTGCAAATGTGTGGATTAGAAATCATTTGGTGTTGAATATTTCTAAAGCTTTGGGTCACTCACTCACTGTAATTAGCCATTTAGGCCTGCTGGGTGATGTAGAATCTGTTGTGATGTTTAGATGGATGGTGGAACATCATTCTTTACCTGTGTGAGCAAAGACAGGAATTGACCATCTTGGTGAAACCATGGATAACTTCTTTTTTTCAATATATAACTTAGCTGTTAGCCTGAACTGTACTTGGAAAAATTAATTTTGAAGATTTTACCACTCACTAAAACGGCTTTATTTTGTTTTATATTTTCAACAGTGTCACGCTGGTATATACAAACTTTTCATAAAGTCTAACTGCAGCTTGATTTTAGTTTGTATTATTTGTAAGCAAAAAAACTGCAATATTTTCAGTGAAAGAAGCCTTAGTTTCTGTGGAAAAATCTTAGTATTCATTAGCCTTAAGTGGGTTACACAGCACATATAGTTAGCTTTAGTGGGTGGGGAAAATAATTTTAAAAGCATCGGTATGGGAAGCTCAAGAGGCCGTCTAAAAGTTAAATCTTTTTTTTCTGTCTTGTGTGTTCATATCAGGAATAAAGGCTGTAATAGCAGTAAGAAAAAAAGGCTTTTCTGCTTTATGGGAAATACTCTTTAGATGCTGTTTTATTTGCAGAATTGTTTTTTGTTTTTTCAAAGAGCAAAAAATTTAAAAGCCCAACTTTGGAAACAACAATGTTAAATTCTCAGTTGCTAGAGAAGAAGTGTGCTGGTTTTTAGACACTTAAAGATTTTCATATGTTACCTTAAAAAAATGGGGGACTATTATGTAAGGTCTCATACATATTAAAAGGAAAGGAAGCTCTTTCTCTGCAGTCACATGCTTGAATGTATTAATTCATGAGATGCTGCAGTCTTGTTGCTCTGGGATGGTAGTAGATCTCTTTACATTATGGACCACAAAGAGGCTTCTAGAAATATGTTTGGTTAAATGTATTGTTTAATATTTTAAAATTTTTTTTTTTGTTCCTTGAAAGTTGCCTTAATAATGATTCTGGATTTGAAAGTGGGACAAAACTTGAAACGTGGGGGTGTAGTTAAGTGTCCAGTCAGTTGTATTGCATATTATTCCAGGCCAGTTGTAGTGGGAGTTTGCTGTGGCTGCTTTATCAGTGAATTAGTGCCCAGTAGATCTCAAACTGATCTCAAGTGTGAGAGCAGTCATGAAATGATTGTAAGCATTGTACCCAAAATATAGAGAATATCTTCCCCAAAAATAACTGTGGCTCCCAACAAAAGAAAGGCATGGACCTGTGGGGGTGAGTTCAGAGGAGGCCACAAAGATGAGCAGAGGGCTGGAGCACTGCTCCTGTGAGGAATGGCTGAGAGAGCTGGGAAAGAGAAGGCTCCAGGGAGCCCTTACAGCACCTTCCACTACCTAGAGGGGCCTTCTAGGAAATTGGAGAGGCACCTTTTAAAAGAGCAGGTAGTGATAACCCAAGGGGTAATGGCTTTAAACTGAAAGAGGGGAGGTTCATATTAGATGTTAGGAAGAAATTTTTTACTCAGAGGTCAGTAAGGCACCAGAACAGGTGGCCCAGAAATCCTGTAGACTCCTCATCCCTGAAAGTGTTAAAGGCTAGGTTGGATAGGACTTTGAGCAACTTGGTCTAGTGTAAGGTTCCCTGCCCATGGCAGGGCTTTGGAATGAGCTGATCTTTAAGGTCCCCTCCAACCCAAACCATCCTGTGAAATACCCGAGTCTGCAACAAGATTTGTTGTGCTACTTTACTGGCAACGAGGAAGGCATGAAGGAGACAAATTGCCTGGTGGTTCTCTGGTGACTTGTTATTTGTGCCCAGTAGCAGCAGGCTGCAGGATGGGTCTGGAGTTTGGGTTGGGGTGGGCAGCTGGCAAATTCTTGCTTCCCTGTGTCTGAAATGCATATACACTCTCCCTGTTAGGCAGGAAGTGTATTTTAAATACCCCAGTTGGCTTTTTCATTATTAGTTGCCTTCTCTGTGAAGTCTGTTCTGCTGTCTCAGTAGCAATTGTTGCTGTGTACAATAGGCTGAATTTACTGACTTTCATGGCCCAAGGGAAGCCCCTTTGGATTTTTGGGGATGCTGAAGATATCTGACCAGTCTGTACTGTAGGGTAACTGCTTTCCCGTAAATTTTAGCCCACACCTTTGCTTTTCATCTCTTCACTACCTCCGGCAAGTGAAAAGCACGTCTTAGGAGAGTAAGGGTAAGATGCTAGTATTCCATGTAGGAACTTGGATTCTTCAGTTTCTGCATCCTGTGTCTTTCTCTGGTACACTGAAACCTGGTTTTGAATTCATTTTATAGAGACCTACCTTAGTAGTGGCATATCTTGGCCACTAACCTTTGCCTTAGGTTGAAATAAGAAAAGGAACAATTTTGCATTCCTTCCAGGATGTAGGTTTTCTTGTGTAGCAAGTCATGTGCAATGTGCTTATTTTAGACAGCCTTACTGTTTACTAATGCTTCAATTATTAAACACACCCTTTTCTTCAGGATTCTGAAACTTGTAAGCAGGAATTCATATTATGAATGCACAGATGTTGCAGGAGGAAGATTAACATTGATTTCTTGTGCTGAAAAGCACTATGAGTTTTATCTCAGCATCCCTAAGCGGAAGGCACGTGTGTTCTTATTTCTTGGCTTATTTCTGCAGCATTCAACTTCTTCATTTTCTGACAAAACATGGTATCAGTTCAGGGGAATGCATAAAAGTGGGCTGATACTTTTTCTGAAGTACTGTACCTACTGGCTAGGGTGGAAGACTAGAGCCCTTAATTGCACAGAGAGCAACTTTCAGCAGTTAATTCCATGTGCAGTTCTCCTGGGTACTGGTGTGATACTTTGTCCATTTTGGTTGGAAAGCAAATGCCCTTTGAGTTTGGCATGTGACAGCCTCACCAGGTGGGTTCAGGCTTTGGTGGTGTCCCAGCCAGCTTGGGAGGCTCAGCTTGCTCTGAGTGCTGCAGAGCAGCTGCACTGTGCAGGTGCCTCTTAGCAAGGGGCACAGCAGGAGTGATGGAGAAAGCAACATCACAATAATAATTAGCCCTGTTTGCTCTCTCATTATGCAAGTGGGTCATTAAAAGTATTGAGATCCTGGTGAAACATGTTGTAGGAAATACGTAAATATAATTTGAGGTCGATTTTTGTGTTTGTTTGTAAGAACCTCTACTGTGGTATCACTGAAAGCATGATAATGTTTTTTTTTTAATATTACCTTTTTCTTTTTTTCCTTAAGGATGCTGATATTTTGGACATAGAAAGCAAACACTTTGAAGATTTAGAATTTCAGCAGCTTGAACATGAAAGCAGGTTAGATGAAGAGAAGGAAAATCTGACACAACAGCTCCTGCATGAAGTAGCTGAATATCAGCGCAGCATTGTCAGCAGAAAGGTGAGAGCACCAACACTCGATTAAGTTGTTCTCTGTTGCTGAGCATAAAGGCAAGGAAATGGAATCTACAACCTGCTCATCTGCAAGAAATAATGCAAAATGTTCCTCTTTGAGAGAGTTTTTGAAGCAGAGCAAAGACATGGCCCAATGACATCCTACACAGATCAAATAATGCACTTATCCAAGAAGAAAGTAATTAATAAATCCTTAAACCCTTTAATTTGCTCCAAAAATGTACCAAAGATATTTTTTTATCCTCTTTAAGAAAGGAGATTTGTACTCTCTGGACAAAACTACAGTTATTTTAGGCTTGTTCTTGATTTTGCTGTTTTGTTAAAATAATAGTAGAACACCAAATTAAGAAAACACTGTAGTTTAAAAAATTAGTTACAAAGGTCCTTTCACAATCAATTAAGTGCCTTTTTTTTTTCAGAAATCAAAAGTTGGATCCCTAAACCAGTTCTGTTCAGTATATGGATGCTTGTCACTACATTATCAAAGAATATATGCAATTATTCTTTTGTCTCTTGAATAAGTTTTCTTTTTACTGTCTAATTCTTATTTAATTATCTCCTTCAGAGCAGTGAGCTGTCTTATAAAAACTTATTTTCCTGCTGCTTAGTCATGCATATGAATAAGTGAACTTTCATGAATAGGATTTTTGCTGCAGGTTGTCTTGAGATTTGAAAATAAATCATGTAAATTGTGATTTTCTTATATTAGGAAAAGATTTCTGCTCTCAAAAAACAAGCCAATCATATTGTCCAACAAGCACAAAGAGAACAAGATCATTTTGTAAAAGAGAAAAACAACTTAATAATGATGCTGCAAAGGGTAAGTATTTTTTGTCTTTCAAACATTTTTAGCATGCAATAAATAGAGCATTTCGTAGAATAAATGAATGTAGAGCACAAGAAGACCATCAGTTGTGTGGAAGATAGCGAGTTGGTGATAATGTGGCAGACATTCACCTTTAAAGAAAAAGGAAAATCTTTTGCAGTCAATCAGCAGATATTCTTAAGAGAAAACACCACTGGTGTTTGATAATCAAGAGTGGTTTTAGAGGTGCCCTCTTTCCCCAGAAGCACCCACCCATGTGCTGAAGCTGGAGGCCTGTGCTCCCTGTGTGCCTGCTGGGACTGGGCAGAGAGTTCTCAGATTTTTGGCTTGTGATAGCCCCTGAGAGTCCATGAGATGAGCTACTTCACATCAGCTAACATCTGGTTAATGAGAAACTGGCATGAGCCCTTCACGTCTGTTTTATGTTCTGCTTTTAATCATGAGAGAAACCATGTTCAGCTCACTAAACAGAATCATCATTTTCAAAACGCTGGAGGAGCATTTACTTGGTTTGGCTGTGGTTGTTAAATAAAGTCTTTCATTTGTTTTTTGTTGTAAAAGGATAAAGCTGAAAGCTCTGCTGTGCAGTTTCACTCTTCTATCTCAATGTGTTTCTTCACATAGTTGAGGAAATAGCTAACATTTATTTTTCACTACATGGCTCTTGGTATTTAATATAAAATGTCTGGTTTTAACAGGAAAAAGAAAATCTCTGTAATCTGGAAAAGAAATATTCCACACTTTCCGGAGGAAAGGGATTTCCTGTCAGTCCCAATAGTCTGAAAGAGGTAAAGAGTTCCTCTGCTTTTGATATTACCATAACTAACTTTTAATAACACTTCATACAAAAGCACTTCAGTATGTAGTATTTAGTGAACTCTTAGTTATCAAATCTTTGCAAAGTAATTTCATACCATTTTTTAAACTTACTAATAGAAGTCTTAATTCATTAGTGAGCAAAAATAGCTTCTCTTGACGTTCTTCCAAATGCAACTGGTATCGTTTTAATCTCTTGCTGTGGAGAGATGATTGTTTTTATGTTTGTGGAATGTGTGTGTATGTTTAATTTTCTCAAAATAGACAATTAAACCTCATTGAAGTGAAGAAGAATGAGATCTGGGATTAGCTGTTCAAGTAAAAATACAGTTCGGTCTTATTTTTGCACTGTGGATTTTATCATTGCCTCCTCTCCCTATTCTAAGACTTTTTGCTAAAGCATGACAAATGTACATTTTGTTCTTTTTGAAAAGCATTGATTTGAAAACTTTGAGCTATTGTGGTTCTAAGATACATATTGAGCTATTTATTTCACTTTTTTGAACAGTTAGAGGAAGCAGAAAATTTAGCATTTAAAATACACTGACAAGCATCTATAGCTGCTTGATTAATTTCTGCTTAACAGTTCAGACTGGACTTGCTGGATCTGCTTGTATTGAAGCCCTGAACAAGGTCTCCCACATCTAATGATGTAGGTGTCACTCTGGCAAGTTGGGCTCTCAAAGTCTAAAGCAACCACATATCCTTTCAGCACCAGAGAACTGGGGTCTTGCTTATCTGTCTCCAAATTCCCAGTGTGCAGTTTCACATGCCAGTGGGATTGAGCACCCTCCCTTGCTTGGACTTTCAGTGTCCTAGGTTGTGTTCTGACCTGGACATCTGACCTCCCCCCAGGACATCTGGCAAGTCTAAGCTTCATTTTTTTTCCTTTTGAGATGGATCTACCCATTCTCTCACTAGAGAGTGGGTGCCATCTGGTTGGTTTTTTTCACATACACTTCATGGCTTGTTTACTCACATGCTTCAAAAATGCAACTACATTAAGTGAGGCTACACTCTTTTTAACAAAATGGATTATTCAGTGATGTCATTCTGATCACTGCAGTGAAATCAGTCAGGACTTACTCCAAGGCAAATAAGAGAAGGAACAGCAAGGGTTATCTGTTTCATCCTCAATGTTTCCATAGGCTCTGTCCTACAAAAGAAATACCTTTGTCAGATGTCATATTTGTCTTGGTCCAGTTTAATTCTTCTCTGACTGTCCTCGTGCCTTTAAAAATCAGGCACCAAAGTCAGGCTTGGAGAGACTGCTGGCACAGCAGTTCATTTCACCATGGGGTTGCTCATGCCTCAGTCGAGTCTGTGGTCCAGTGTTTGCCAGCCCTCTTCACCAAAGCACACATTTGTAACCCTCTGCCATCCATTGTGAGCTGACTCACAGCCTGCACAGCAAGAGAGTAACACTGCCTCACGTAAAGAAGCAGGATGCTCATCCCAGTACTTAAAGAAGCAAGGAAAATCAATGCTGTTTAAAAGTTCAGCATTGAAAAAATTACTTGGATGACTTATCTGACTTGAAACCATTTATTTAATTAAATGTAACAGGGGTCTGAGCGAGTGTACAGCACAGTCATTTGTTCCTCACTTATTTTTTTATCCCCCTTCTAAATCCTCACTGGCATTGTGAGTCAGAACTGAATGTTGTTCATATAAAGGTGAAAGTGTTTATATCTTTAATATTAATGCAATATTGCGTTACAGAATTGCTGAGTTTTGGTTACTGATAAACTGCCACTACAAGATGGTTACGCAAGTTTTATGTTAATTCATACTGGATTCTATTTTACTGTACAGTTGTCACATGTTTTGAGAGATAGTATCTTAGCCAGTTTCCTCAATTAATGGGTTATCAAATAATATGAGAGTTAAGATCTGCCTCCCATTTGTAGAGTGCTTTGTTCACTGTATGATACATAATTTTCCAGAATTGTCTTCTCTGCTTGAAATAATTGATATCATACATTGAAAATTATGCTAATAGATAGTAATGTTGGCATTTCTTTTCAAGTTGTCTTCTATGATCATTGGTAAATTTAGGCATTTCTAAAAGGAAGAAATACTATAGCAGTCTGTGGCTTCTCTTATGGAATTGCTGAAGTATACACACTGGTATGTCACTATGTTGGTGCAGTAATAGAAACACAGCCCTTGCCACACACTGTCAGTGTGAAAGCAGCTTTACATCTTGATTTCAAAATAAACATATTTCTAGATCATCTTTATGACATTGCTTCAGCAGTGATTTATTCTTCCTTTTGCATAGCCTTGTTTTTCTATGGATAAGAAATTAGGACATTTGATTTTGTACAGCCTAGTATCCTATGCACAGTGGATTAGAATCCATATTTTACTTTTTAAAAAACATTTGTGCAGTTAACACCGAAATACATGCAATAACTACATTTTGCCATCATATCTTCAATCTGCTTGCTTAAATCTTCTCAGCAGGCGGAAGCACACTGATGTTCCTGCCGTCCCTCAGTCCATCACTTTCTGTATGGCTGCTTAATTAAAAATAAAAAAAAAAGAAGCAAATTGTAATGGCTGCAGGGCTAACACTAACAGCATCTTACCTGGTTCTTCTGGTAATGTATAAAAGTTAGAAGTGTCTTCCAGACAATGCAAAAGGAAGATGTGTTAGTGTAATTTTTGGGAATGGCCTGTCCTTATAGATGTTCTTCCCAGTTCTATTAGTCATTTAATTTACTCAAATTAGCCTAATTTGAGCCTAATTAGGCAAGAAACAAATCAGGTTACTTAATCGGAGACAAAAAAAAATTAAGATTTCAGAATAAGATTTATTCTTCCTTTTCGCCCAGCTGCTTTCCTGAGAAAGAGCTACATAATTTCTAAAGGGTATTTGCATTTTAGTAAAATCTTTTGGACACTTAATGTACAAATGCATTTTGATTACACAAATGCTTTTGGAATCAAATTAAGGACAATTTTCAGAATCCAAGTATTTAACATTTGAAAATCTTGATGCTAATTTTATTTTATGTATGATTAAGTAGTTCAATGATAACAAATATTTGGCTGAATCACTCTAAACTAACTTTCATTGTACTGGATACATTAATACTCTTGCATGTCTTTTGGCTTTTGCTCCTTTTAACTTCTGAATTCCTCCTTTTAGGGCTATATCAGTGTAAGTGAAATTAGTGAGCTGTATGGCAATTCCACGAATATATCCCCTTCCACTCAGACCCCCTCAGATGTTGAAGCAGTTGCCACTGAGCCTTCCACGGCTGTGCTGACGAGCCAGCCACAAAACAAAGAGGTTTGTTTGAGAGACATTTCCCTTTGTTTGCATTGTTCTTTCATGGCTGCATTTTTTATTTTCTTTATTTTTTTATATTTTGGTAATTCAACATGTAACAAACTGACCCTAAAGCAAACTGCCCTCTGCCAGTTACCAAGTCAGGTAACAGGTTAATAGTAAAGCTGAAGGACTGCTCCAGCTGTAAAGTGTCTTTGAGGTAGATGGGACTCTGAAGGCCAAAAACCATGAATTCTTAAGACCCAAGCAGCACTAAGTGACAGATTTTGCCTGCCAAACACTATAATGTAATACACCTTTGGGAAACCATCTGTGGACAAGCCTATGACAACTTGATTAGTGGTGTTCAGGTGTTCATTTTGTGTCTTTTGTAACTTCTTATTCTTCCCCCCCTGTAACGTGGTAGAAGTATATCTTGAATCGTTATGGGAGATGAATAGCTTCTACCTATCTTAGCTATTCCATGGAGTCTGTCCAGTCTGTTTTCTAGCTTACTTTCTTTTCTTCATTCTTTGTGAAATTTTTGAATAAGTCCCCTTTTAAAGGAACAGAATAACCTTATAATTGTAAAGCCACGTACTTTTGCACTGCAGTAAGGCAGAAGCTGGTTTAGAATTTGGCATTTGTGTGCTGCTTCTGGTAGCTCAGTATGCCTTGAGAGTTGCAATAGAGTACACCTCCTTTCCTGCTAAACGCTCCAACAAACACAGTGCTAAAACTGCAGCTTTTATGTGCCGTATCTTTTGAGAAATTCCAAAAAGAAAACTCTGTGTGTAATTTCTCTTTTTTCTATAAAGCTAAGATCACCTCTCTGTTCTGGATTTGTGTTTCCTCACTCTCTTTCTCCTCGCTCTATTGCTCAACTTCCATCAGTCCATTGGCCTGAGGTCATGGCTACTCATGTAGATCCTATTCCTTTATCTGATACACCTCCACCTCTGCCAGCTAAGAAACACCGCAGGCAACAACAGGTAACAGATTCAAAGCTGATAACTTGGGATTATTTCGTTTTGTTTGCTTTTGTGATGGTGGCCACAAAGTTGATTTATGTGTGAGGATTTTAGAGTGGTAGGCTGTAAGTTGATTGTGCTTACAGAGTGTTGCACTTAAAGGTATTGTTCATTTAAAAATCAACATGATGCATTATAGAATGTTTCTGAACAAAAATTCACCTTATAATGCAGAGGCAAATATTAATATTCAGGAGCCATTGTAACTGTCAGAGGACTTGCAGCAATAATGCATGTGTGAAATCCTAAATTAATTTTTCATATGCATTTGAACAATGCCTTTCAAAAGCTGTATTGCTTTTAAGCCACCAATTCATTAGAATAACTTCTAAGGAAAAGTTTTTCTTTGTAATTGGGTTCCACTTGTATGCTAGACTTAAATATTTAACACAAAAGAAAAGGTACAGGGAGACGTGCATAAAATGTGCATATGACTTTAATGCATTTATTTAATCAGTATGACTTTAATGTGATGGAGAGCACTGTGAAGCAGGAGGCGCTCTGTATGTTAGATTTTGCTCTTTCCAGACTATCAGTATTTTCCATATAGAGTATAACTGAGCGAGTGCATCACTTCATTTTGTCGAAACTGTAACAAATTCCCCGTGAAGCATTTCAGAAGCCTGGAGGAGCGCAAGAAGCAGCACAGGGAGTGCTCGTACCTGAGCGATACCTTGCCCCGCAAGAAAACCGCGCCGGCCGTGTCTCCCCACTTCAGCAGTGCCACGCTGGGACGCAGCATCGCAAACAAAGTACGTGCCTGCTGCTAGCTACTGTTTCATTTCTGTTCTTTTATTTCCTCCGGCCTCTGCAGGAAATCCTCTGTTGGGTTAGAGGGAAGGCTGGGTAGTGCCCTAAGCATTATGTAACTCCCCCCAAATTCACGCGTGAAGTTGACTTTTTGAAATTACTTTGGGTTTATTAACAAATGGGAATGTATATGCAACCTGCTGTACTTCCAGCCATTCTTCTGACCTCTGGAAATGCAGTGCTGTTGTACATTAATCATAAATATGTGATTTCTGTCTCAAGGGTTGTATTTTTTGGGCTGCTTTAAATTGATTCTAGAGACACAACTTGTTGCTTTCTTTCCTACTGGAGGCCTCCAAATGGTAAAGATAAAGTTATATATAAAGTGAAAATACTCTTTATTTGTGACGTGGTGAATCAACAAACAGCAGGAAGGTGGAGGTACTACTTTGAAACATTTTGGCCTAATAGAGACTGTACATAATTGAAATATCAATGGCTGATTGACATGACATGACATTAATATCCATGGCAAAGCATATTATTTTGCCATTGCTGATAAAAAAAGGTCTTGAAATCAGTTTTAAGCAAGTATTTACAAAATTTCCTGCAGGGACATTTACCATTAGGACAGAGCAACAGCTGTGGCAGCGTTCTTCCTCACTGCCTGGCAACCATGACCAAAGAGTCAGAGTCGAGAAGGATGCACAAAGGTAAGACCTTTTCATTGTTTCATTTCTGTTTAAAATCAGTGTTCAGTTTTTCAGAAATAAGCCTAAAACTGGTGTTGCTATAATCAACAGGTCTGCAAAATAAAAGTTTACTTCTTGGTGACAAAAGCAAGCTCTAGGTGTAACTGATTTTTTTGATACTGGCAAAATAAGAGGTTAATATTATGATGTAGGTGCATGTGTAATTTTTAAGTACATGGTCACCAAATATAATTCAGTAAACAAGAAAAGTATATTGAAAATACATATTGTGTTAACTGGGTAATTTCTGTGAGTGATTTTGAAGCAATATATTACATGTTCTTCCTTTTTTTCCTTCCCTTTTTTTTATGTTGGGATCTTAAAAATTGTTTTTCACAGGCACATGTTTTTGCCTGGATAAACTCCACAGAGAGACATAACTTTGAGAAGCTGTGACTGTGGTATTATAAGTGGTCTTAAATATTTAGGCTACAAAATAGGAAGGAAGAGAGCTGTTCTGTTGTTGATAGATGGCTGTGTTTTTTAATAGGGACACAGCAATTCTGGATGCAAAAGCAAGCTACACCTCTGAAACACGATCTTGTAGGCTATGGAGTTCTGTGTCTGTTGTTTGCTGATTTGAGTCGATACATGCATTTTCTGCTTTAATGAGATGTATTATTCATCGGTGTCCCATCTTCAAAAGGAGGCACTCCTCAGTGCCATCTGTCCGTTTATTTTCTTTCCAGCATCTGCATCACCATTATTGATACCAGTGCAAGAGGTGCTTGTGTAGAACTGCACTAGCTGAGCCTGAGCTGAGCTAGATCCATGCTGCTGTTACAGGACTTGCCAGAGCTCTTAAAGGTCAAAGCGATGACTGAGGTCAGTCATACACACCGAGATGACTCAGGGATGGAACAAGCAAGCTGAAAAAGGATCATGACTTACTACAGCCCCTTTATAGAGCTGATCCACTTGGGATTTGTTGGTTTTGAGCTTTAGTTATGCAGCAGGCCTTACACAAACCTGCTGTGTTGTGGCTAACTTACCTTTACGTATTTCAGGTACAATACTAAAGGAGCTTCATGCTCATCTTGGAAAGTGTCTTCGATGTAATGTGTGTGCAAAGGTGGAATAGCTGGCAATTATGTTCAGACTCATCATTGTGATGATTTCAGTCTGAAAATCAATAGGGATGTTTTGGCTAAACTGCGACAAGAGATCAAGTATTTAAAATTGGAAATAATTCTGTTAAATGGTTGCAAGGAGTGTTAGTGTATGACCTAAAACACAATTTTAAAGTGTTACCAAACCTAACACAGGCAACGGTTTTAAAAATAAATCACTTTTATTGTTCAATTTTTGTCATTGTGCAATTAAGACAATCTAAAAGTAGGGTCAAATTTCTTAAGAGTGAGAAAGAGAGAAACCTCACGAATCAAAATCGAATTATGGTCTGACAAAGAAGAGAGGCAGGGGAGAAGGAGAGAGACGTATTCATTGGGCCAGTTGGCATAGCACTTTTCATATGCTCTTGAGGAATCATGTGCTGTACTGCTTGTCATACTAGTTGGCTGTTATTTTTTGAAAGATCCAGCAATTTGAATGGGAATAAAAAATTATGAAGAGAGCCTTAAGGGATGAATTTGTACTGGGAAAGAGGACAGTTCTACATGTCCTTTTCTAAAACATCAGCTTTGCCATAGGGAAACAGTGCTGCTCACAGGTGCTTTATTTGAACTGTCACAGGATTTTCAAAGTGTTAACAGGAAGATTTAGGAACACAAGGATCATTTGTGGCCTCTCTTAGTAGTTTATTCCCTTTCTGTTCAACCTCAAGCTCCTTGTGGCCTCTCTTAGTAGTTACTAAAGGGTTTATTCCCGTCCTGTTCAAGCTCAAGCTCCTACAATTTATTGCTGTGGGAGGAACTTGAAGAGTGTAACTGCTTTTGCACTGAAGTGCCACGTTTCTAGGTTGGGGAAAGTTCCTTTGTCTGGGTAACACATCACAAAAGTGTTTGCAGGGCTCTTTCTGCACTGCAGTGCAGAACTCAGCAAGCACAGGAATATCCAAGTCAGGTGGCTGGAGTCAGATCCCAGAGTATTTCTATCCAGCTATACAGGAGGGCCAGAGAAACAGCCTTCAGACACCTTTCATTCAGCCTTACAGGTAAAGCCTTAATAGAAGTCCCTTCGTGCTTTGAGCAGGGAAGGGACTGAGTTAAACTTGGTGGGATTTCTGGTTTCCCTTCACACTTCACACCCATACTCAGCACATGGAAGGAGAATAAACTTTCTCCAAAGTCAAAAGTAAAGAAAGTTAATTTCTGTGGAATAGTGAGATTTGGGTAATGTTCTGAACAGGATGTACTGCTTCAATGCACCATACAAGGCCACTGAAATGGAATATCATTGTCCATTAAAATTATGAAATCTTACTTGTCTTGCACTAAAGTAAACAGGACTTGAGTCTGACTAACAACGATTAATTTAATCAGACATTTTTAAATACATCTTTGAAAACCAAGCCAGATGTCATGTCGGTGGACATCCTTGGAGATGTTTTTTTATTCCATCACTCAGTGCTAAATGTTTATATTACAGTAAATACAGTTTGTCTATTTATTGTAAAAGCATTCTCGAGGTAGGTCAGGTTTGCCTTTTCTGAATAAGTGAGTATTTTTCAGAAGATTTACTGACAAATCAGTGGAACTCCGTAAATGTATAGAGATTGATTATAGAGATAAATATGAGCTCTCTAATCTTTTCCTGCTCCAAAAGTTTCACCTAGAAAAGGTGATAAATAGATGAAAAGTGTTCTCTATGTGTCATAGGTAGTGAGTCAGTGCTTGCTTTCCTTGTGTTCCTTTCCCCACTTGACAGGTTTTTCACTGTCAGTTTTCTGAGGCCAGGGTGATCTATTGGAAACGACATGGGAGTCTTGGCTTCCTGATTCCTTGGGCATAGAGCTGCACCCAGTGCACTGGAGCTGGCTTCAGTGCAGAGCCAGGGTCTCACGTGATAAATGCCACTTCATCCACTCAGTCTGGAGCCCTGGCTATCAAGCAGTGACCCACACACTGCTATCCAAAGAGGATGGTGTGCTCCAGATGTGGTGTCAGTAGCTTCTTGTGCTCCTTAGGGCTCGACTTAGACAGCATTGAGCAAAGTTCTAGACCAGATGTTCTGGTGGGTGCATGTGGATCTGAAAGCAACTATATCCAAGGCTGGCTGGAGACAGTAGCAGCTAAGCTGGCTTAAAGATACTGTCTGAGTGTTGTCACTAAGCTAGTCATGGTCTGAAAGGAGTTTTCTCTAATATGCTTTCTTCAGTTTTTCTTATTTCATTCTAAGGGGATAACTGTAAATGTCCGAGCTGAAAAAATAAGGAAAAAGTTAAAAGTTAAATCAGGAAGTTGAGAACAGCCTCTTCGGTCCGAACATGGATTTCATGGATTTTTCTTTATGCAGGAACAAGCAATATCTATGAATAAATTTCAGGCTGGATACAGTAATAAAGATTTTCATGGGTTTTTAAGTACTAAATAGTCTCTATTCCAGGATTACCAAACCGTGTTCAGTCAGTCATATGAGTTCAAGAATTGTTATTGAAAGAAACAGTCACTGTCAGTAACCATAGCCTGAGTTAAGGGCAACTTAAACATTTTAGAGGACACGTATTTGTTATAGATTATTAGTGGAAAAAGGTATTTCTTAGCAGCCATTCATGAGGTATTTTTGAAAGACTGTATTTATAAATTCACCTCCCATGGCCATGCCTTTTTGTAACCAAACCACATGCAAAGACAGGATGAAGAAGCCGCTATTTGTCACAGCCTCGAGACCTCCTCACCCTGTGCTTAGGTGGATGCTTGGGGCTCCCAGGAAGTGCTGGGTGCCAGAAGCTTGCACAAGGACAGGCAGGAGCAAGGAGGGAGGGTTGGCTAAGGCAGTCCCACTGACTGCAGGATGGACTCCAGAAGGGAAGAAGGAATGGTTAGCTGGGAATAAAGGTGTAAGACCAAACAGCACTAGAAACAAAGCTGTTGGGACAGAGAACTTAGGTAGCAGCAAAATGATTATTTGTGTCCTTTCCAAGCTCTGTATAAAAAAACAGCATACTGCAAGCAAGGGATATTTGTACAAACAATCGAGAAACTTTTCAAAGCATTCTGCCTTTTTTGTTTGTTTTTCACTCTTGTCAAACTCAGGAAAAAACAGAAAAGGTATGAAAATATCTCCTTCCCTGGCTGTATTTCTCATGTGATGTTTTTGCAAAAGTACCAGTTGCATCAGCACTGTCAAGTAGTTCCTAGACTCTTGAAAAAGTTTGAAATAATTGTTAAATAATGACAGCATTTCAAAATTTTTTTTCCTGCTGTCAAATAACCTGTCACAACAAAACTTCTGACTTAAGCTAATATCTGCAGAGCTGTGGCTTTGCACATACCTAATTTTTTGCTTCTTTCTCATAGCCACACAAGTAGAGCAGAAAATTTAGAAATCTTTGCAGCTCTGTGGGTGACAATGACAAGGTAGACAGACTTGGGCTTCCTACTTTGGCATGTTTCCACACAGCAAATCTATCTTGACATGTTAATGTCAGTCTTTTAAAAAGGGGGAAAAAAGAGAAAAAAGAAAGAATAGGAATAAAAGAAAAAGAAAAGAGAAATGTAATGGGATCATTTTCATAAAATACTAGTGGGTTTTTTACATACTTGACAGTGCCACTTTTAATAACAGCTTTCACCTTTAGTTCTACTCTCATCATAATTTTGTGGTGGTATACTTGGATTTTGTGATTCTGCAGCAACTCCTTTGGAATATTTTTCTTTGATGACATGGCTTTATGGACTTTTGCAATATTTTTCTGAACAGTATGGCTGTTAACATGGTTAAGTTTACGGGTTTGCTGCAGAGCAGTGGAGCTCTGTAGTTCAAACCAACGCAACAACAAATATTTTAGCTCTTGTATCAGATTAGACTTAACTGATACAAATCTTGGCTTGTGGGAAATTTTAGTTAAGTGCTGGATCTTACAAGGAGTCTAATATTTTTAAGTGCATGTTGTGTGAATAGGTACCTGAGCAGTTAAAAATTCCTTGAACAACAGATTGTGCCTGCCCAGTGTGTAGGTGTGGCTGTAACAGAGGCGGGTTGGTTGTGAAGCCTCGTGGTGTTGGTATGCAGCTGATCCTGAGCTTTGAGCTGCCTGCTGCTTACAGCATGAAGATAAAAGGAGAACTCTGAATTATGCTTTGTTTCTGTGAATGCATCTCATTTTGCAGCCTAACAAATGTTGATTTCTTCGAGTGATTAGTTATATTTGCATGATTGCATAAATTTGACTGGTAAATGTTTTCCTCAAAAATGGGTTCTTTATTTTAAGGGGTAGAGTGTTTGTAGCACTACTGCGCTGCTCTATGCCTTTTAGATGGGTTTATTTTTCAGTGAAATATGAAATATGGAATTAAGGTTTCTGAGTAGGCAAGGATTTGTAGAGGGCTCAAAAGAAAAACATGCTTTTGAATAAAGTGCTTTCAGTAATTAATTTTCTTCTCTCTTTCCCTAATGAATCATTGATAACCATTTTACAGGAGCAATTAGTCATTCCAAAGGTTCGAGTATGAAAGGTAATTGCTTATCTGCAATAACAGAAGCATTCGCCAAAATAAGGGGGAAAAAGCAAACCACACATGTGAATCAGTAACACCTGTGTTGTGTGATGCTATTACTTATGACTGCAGAGGTGTATTTGTGTCCCTTTTGTCTCTTTTACTAATCAATGTGATTGAATTTTTGATTGAAATGTGGTGTTCTTTTAAATGGCAAGTGAGTCCTCTTAGTTCCTTAGAAACCAGCTTTAACTGTCTCCAAGAAAGCTTTGTATGGTAGAGAGGGAGGTGAGGAAAAAACTACCTTGGAAATGCTTGTAGGGCACAGTTTCTTTAATGACATGCTTTAATTATTCAGCTGAAGACACATCTTTCAGATAACTGCAGTTGTTGCTCTCTGAATCGGGATTCTCCCAGCTCTGGCATGGCAAAAAATACCAGAGAGTAACCTTGTATGCACAGATAAGGAATGAGAATAAGGCAGAAAAGTACTGCACTTTAAGCATGCTTTCTTAACATCAGTGTCTTGATGGCATCTAGTAAAAATTTTTATCTGGACCTTGCTGCATTTGTACATTTGTCCGCATTTTTCCCATGTCTGTTTATCTTAAACATGTAGAATGTCAGTAGCTGCCTTCCTGTAAGAATATGAGGTTTTCATGTAGTCTATCAGTCTTTCCTAATCTCCAGCTCTGCCAGCAGCTCAGAATTTGGGTCAGAAATGTGCAGAGAATATTATAAACCTATCAGAACTATGAGAAAGTCTCACTTCTTGCACTCGTTGAAGGAAAAGATGAGCAGTGCAGTTGCATTTGTAATCACATAGATGGAACAACCTTAAAAGGGCACTGTGAAATACTTCAGCAGTTAAAATGACAGCTCTTCCTCATCAGGCAAGCTCAACAAGTCAACTAAGTCTGCATTACTTTCAAAGAGCAACGTAGACATGAGATAAAAATAATTGTGAAGAGACATTTTCAAAGGACACATTGCCAAGCAATGTTTTCAAGAAGGATGATTTTTCAGAAGTGTGTTTGTGGAAAAGTAACAGAAGAACCTTTGCATTAACCTTGTTTTTCTTCAGAATCATTGGGCTATAAGATTCTGCTTCAATCTTGTAGGGTGAACTGCAATTTCAAAACTCCAGTAAAGTACCTCTATACTAGTAACTAAGATTTTATAACAAGCAGCCTGTATTATTTCAGCTGAAACTAAGAGTCCAATTGCAGTTACCAGAAAGCAAAGTTTCCCAAATAGACCAAAAAAAAAAAATCCATATTCACTGAAGTAAACCAGACAAGTACTTAAGAATATTGAATATCAGGATGTTTCTCTTTTTTCTCTAATTTAGTCAGTGTCATTTCTTCTACATTTCTGAATTTAACTGCATTACTTTCCAGATTAGGCCAAATTTTCATTTTAAAATGTAAATTTCATTTTTTCAAATTAGATTTTCATAATACACATACAAGAACATCTATTGAAAAGTCAGCTATGCTAATGTGCATGTATTTGAATCCATCATAGATAAAAACAGGTATTTAAAGCTTTTATTTCAGTGTGATTAACTTGTAAAATTAACCGCAGTGCTGTAGTATCTTGGTCACAGTGCAGTAAAGACTGAGGTGATGTTCAAAATGCTTGTGCTGCTAACAAGTTATGCTCCTGTCACATAATTTTGGTGTGAAATCAGTGTTTCCTCTGTGCTTTATAGGGTATAACCATCAGCGCATCTGTGAAAACCAAAGGCAGAAGTCTCCAGAATTCTACAGCAGAACAGCATCGGAATCCAATGTGTATTTGAACAGTTTCCATTACCCAGATCGTAGTTACAAGGACCATGCCTTTGACACATTAAGCTTAGACAGTTCTGACAGTATGGAGACAAGCATATCAGCATGCTCACCAGATAACATTTCCAGGTAAATCTTCTTTCTTTCTGCTCCTCCAATGGTCATAATGAAAAAAGAGAATATGTACATGTTGACACTTTGATAGTGTGGATGCTGCTGAGTGGTTAAGAAAATGTAAGATCATTAGACAGGCATCATATTTGTCTAGCTCCTCATAATCAGGTTTAACTACATCTTACCTGTTCATTGAAAGATGGAAAATAAAAATATGGAAAAGTTAAGTGACAGTGCTGAAGTTTACAGAGCAATCAGTGCTTCCTCACGTGATCACTGCAGGGAAGGAATTTCCTCTGATAGGAAATTTCTCAAGGACATGTGCCATTGATGACGTACACTTGTTCTACAAGTCCAGCATGTTTAAGAGCTAGATGCTTAAGCTGAAACACTGAGGCTTCCTCCAAATGTCTTTTTGCCCTTTCCTCTCCCTTTTCTGGATCAGTAAAAATGAAGATATGACACTGAAAGGCTTGCTTTTCTCCTCTTCAGAGGCTGTCAGTTCAGACACCATTTGTCAGATGAAAGGAATTTCTATGATGTGTTAAAAGTCCAGACGAGTCTCAAAATTGTGTGCAAACAATTTTCTCCCGACAGTCTGTTTTTTATTCCTGACATTATGGTAATGCTTTCATTCCTGCTCACAGTCCTGACCCAGCAGTTTCACAAGCATAAATAGAGGCTGATCATTAAGTACAACTTTGTCACAGCACTATGAATACCTTGTGAACACCAGGACAGCTTTTTTTGGCTAGCACATAGTGTTTTACTTAGCATCTGTTTCCTGTGGCAGGGAAGCCCTCTGATTTCCCCTTCTAGTCATTATCACTTCAGTGTTAAGAGTTTCAGAAAATACCAGTGGCAGTCATTCTGCTGGCTGGTTTGCTTGGGATTTTTTGCATTGGTTGGTGTTGGCTTTGGTTTTTTTAAAGGAGAAACATAAGGACTTGGCTTTTGAGGATGTCTGTTTTAAATGGATAGCCAGTGTGCCATGATAATAGCTAAAGTGCAAGTGATACAAAACCTTTCTCTGTCTCTGACTTCCTGCTCTGACCCTTTGGAAGGAGGATGGTGTTTGTCTGAGCTTACCATCCTGTAAGTCCAGTCTCCAGCCCAGGACTGGGAAGCCCCAACAGCTGTTGAATTTCACTGGTACTGTTTGCTCTTCTGCTTCCTTCTGACTCTCGCAGCCAATGCCAAAAGGGAAACAAAAAAAAAAGCAATACAAAGAAACAAATAGCCCAAATCAATACAAAAGCCAGAAAAGGACCCTTTACAACAGATGTTTCTGTTTCTCACAAGGCAGACTTTGGTGAAAGAAGAAAAGAGTGTGAGCTGATTTTGTTGATAAAATCTGGAAGATGGGTGGTTAATTTTTCTTGACAAAATTTCCCTTAAGCAAAATTAATTCAGACTGTTTTAGATGGTGTTTGAGAATATTTTCTAGCCATATCAGACTTTAGAGGAAAACAGTTTATGATACTTTGTTCTGACCAATTAAAAATGTATAATATATTTTACCATGTTTAAGGCAAGATAAATACTTTTTTTGTAGAAATGCATAAAATTTGTGGGTACTCAAAGTACAGAAGAAACAGAACCGTTGTAGTCATTCATCAGCTCACCACACGTGAGCTTCTTTTTTTTGTTAGTGGCTACTGCAGTGAATTGGATCTGAACACTGTCAACTCCATGCTTAAATTATGTTGGGCTGCAAATTATTTTTTTAAATACCAACTATTACTTTAAATAAGAAATAATGGGGTTTTTTGCAGTGCTAGCACTTCAAACGTTGCAAGAATAGAGGAGATGGAGAGACTTCTCAAACAAGCACATGCTGAAAAGACTCGGCTGCTTGAGACCAGAGTAAGTGTAATTTTAAGTAACTAAGAGTAGGCATGTCAGTTTGGATAATATTCTTCTAATGCAACATAGAAACCTACTCAGCTTATACCTAATAGACACTTAAAAAATACCACTTCCCCCTTGGCTTCACCTCACACTACAACCTTGAGCCCATATGCAATATCTGCTACCTCAAAGGACAAGTTGATGGCAGAATCCCCAGAAACTTGGTCAGCATTGGTTTGACACCTGCTGGGGAAGCTGCTGAAGAAGAACTTTCATTTCTATTTCATTATCTATTTCTTACTCCAAATTTCAGTCCATTGTTCTGGATATAATTTCTGCTTACTTAAGGGACAAAAAGATATTTAGCCCTAGCTTAGAAATGACATTGCCAATTATAGTTTTGCATATAATTGAAGTTCTATGTGTGCTATGGTATTTAGGAACGGGAGATGGAAGCTAAGAAACGAGCTCTGGAAGAAGAAAAACGACGCAGAGAGCAACTGGAGAAAAGACTGGAAGAAGAAACGAGCCAGAGGCAAAAATTAATTGAAAAAGAAGTCAAAATACGTGAGAAACAAAGAGCACAGGTCAGATATGGGAATGTGAAATGGTTTTGAAGTGCAGGACTTCCCCTTCATATACAGAAAAGGACTAAGTGTATTTCTGCCAATGCCAACAGAACTGCCTTCAGCTGAACAGATGGATTTAGTATTTCTGAGGTGCAGTTGTTTTACTAAAAGTATGTTTGGGCTCTTGGAGCCAAGTATTCATTTCAAGTTAGATAATAGCATAGGTATCTATTTAGCATTTTATATATAAAGTATCAATATTAGTCCTATAAAGTTTGTTACTGAATATAGGCAGAGCAGAATTTTTGGCCAGAACAACAGAAATGTGTGGATTTCTTAATTTTATAAACCATTGGTGTGGAGTTGGTGGGGTTTTTGTTTTGTTTTGCTTTTTCTTTGAATACAGAAAATACCTTGAAATGTGAATTTATACTTCCAAACATTTGACCAAAAAGAAAAAAAAAAAATAAGGAAGTTTTTTCAGCTTCACATCTACAGTAGAGAGTAAATATTATTTTTTTCTAAAGTTAATGGGACTGTACAACATGAGAAACATTACTTAATTGAAAAAGTGTTACCTCGAACATATTTTTGCTTCTTCTTTGGGCTTAGAGGTACCTTGAGTTTCCTTTAGGCTTAGGGTCTTACCTATTTGTTTATTCCTCCAAAACCAATAATATCTATAAAGTACAGCAAAGAGACTAGACAGTCATTACTGGTATGCCAGAGCAAGACAATGTCTCCATCTTAATCGATGTATTTGAGTGCAGAAGATTGGAATGTCTTTCTGGTTTCATCTGTGCTACCTTTGCTGATGTTTAACCAGCTGTTTCTAGTTCAATATATTCATTCATTTGTTTTTATCTAAAATATAATCGACAATGTTAAATTTTACTTGCTTGCCTTCTTTTTTTCTAAGAAATTTTGTTGACAACTCAAGTATGGTGTAAACAACAATGCAATGCTGGTATCTTTATCCCAAATTAGAGCATGCATGTGTCATAATAGAATGTCCTGTCAATTACTGCTAATTGTCAGACTTGGCAGAGAGAAGACTGAATTGGCAGGAAGACAAAAAAACATACGTCAAAAATCAGTTAAAAATTACTGATTTTTTTTTTTTCTTTTTTTCTTTCCTTTGTACAGAGAAACCAATTTCTTTTTCCCCAGCATGTTTTGATGTTTAGAAATGTAAACAAGAGGAAGGAACTCCACCTTTGCACTTGCCAGACCTGGTGCCAGTTCGTATCGTACAGGACTGCAGAATTTTAGAAGGGTGCTAAGAGTTCTTGTGAGCAACACAGCTCCTATTGCACCAAGAGGCTCTTAAGAATGCAGTGAGGGAAAGTCCCTTTGATTTGAGACTCACAGTGGGATTTAAAAGGCTAACTTGAGGAATGGAGCAGGGGCAGATTAGTTTCTCCACGTCACCGACTTATCTGGAGTCCAGGGGGAGAGAGAGACAGGGAGATGCTCCTTTCACAGATCCTTGAAAGCATCTAAAATCAGTTTCTGTTCCAAAGTAGCCTCTCTGCCTCAGCTGCAGCAGGAGCCTTCTCTGGGGGAACTGCTTCTGTGTTTAAAATGAGGGGGTGGTCATAGTGCATAGATCCTCCAGGCACAGAAAACAAGAATATTCCCTCAGTTGGCAGAGGTTCCAAATGACTATCTCCTCCTGCTTGTTCTCCCAGCTGACACTATCCAGGCTTGCTGCAGTGTTGAACTGCAGTCAAGAAGGAGGGACTGTCTCCTGCACTGCTTTGCTGTCCTTGCAGAGGGATGCAGCTCTCCATACCATACTGTGAACTAGTTATCACAGTTCATTTATTCAGCCGAAAATAATTCTGTTTGTTCACCACAATCCCTGTGAAACTAACTGGCAATTACAGTTCATTCCCATTATTAATGTTACCTGCAATTGCATGTTCTTATTATTTATATATTATACTCTGCATGCAAATACCTGTAGCAGTAGAATTAAAATTAAAGAGTGACGTGTGCAGTGAGTATTTGATCCAGAAGGGTTTACTTCACATCCTACTTATGAAGTTCTTGGACTTCATCTAAGGCAGCAACACACCCTTACATTTAATTGTCTTAGAATTAAAAAAAAAAAAAGTTTTCTAGAATTTAAAAAATTGTCTAAGACAACTTTTCTGTGCTGTGGCCTCTGTTTTACTAGCTTATCAGCTGTTGATTTCAAGAAAGTTCTATGCTCTATCTGGCTTTTACAAAGTTATCCAACACTGTAAAGTTGGAAGTTTAAAGAATTTTTCTTTTCAAGAAAATTAGAGCTGCAGTAAAAGCTCTTTATTTTTCTTACATTTATTCTTAGACTTTATGAGCAGTTTTCAGTTATGTCCTCGCAACAGAAGGAGCAGGAGATGATAAGGCTTCTCTTAAAAACAATATTATTTTCTTTTCTTTCCTGTAGGCCCGTCCCTTGACTCGCTATTTGCCCGTTAGAAAGGAAGACTTTGACCTACGCAGTCACATTGAGACAGCTGGGCACAACATAGAGACCTGCTACCACATTTCTCTCACTGAGAAGACCTGCCGAGGCTTTCTCATTAAAATGGGAGGAAAAATTAAAACGTGGAAAAAACGGTGGTTTGTTTTTGACAGAAACAAGAGAACTTTTACTTATTATGCAGGTAGGTTGCAGGATTGCTGCTAGGGTATATCTGTTCTTCTATTTTCTTATCAAACTCAGCTGAGTTTTGAACAAGTAGGGAGTCCAGATAAAACTTAGATTTCCATTTCATCCATTCACTTAGAGGTCATGTGAACCCTTCCCTATAGCGTTTGATCCTCATGCCAGGTAAGGCGGAATTGAGCGTACAAAACAAAACCAAGGAGGAGATGCAGATGGGCAAGAGAAAAAATGGAAGATGATCAGTACACAGAATAATGGTTCCACATATTTTAAGTACTTCCCCCAGTGACTGAATGATTTCTTGTACCCTTCATACAATAATATAATTTATTATACTAATGGTGAAAATTGAAGTGAACACTTCCACAGTCCTGTGCTTAATGTGAAGAAAAGGTTTTCAGGATATTAAACGTACAGGGGTAGACTTAGTGAGTTTGCCTTGTTTTGAAAGTGCAAGGAATTTCAGATGAAGAATACGCAGTACTCCAAAGGTGTTTGTGTACACGAAGTTGTGTTACCAATATCTGGAGCCATTATAAGCATTACATTACTCCATTACCTTAGGGTAAACCCAGAAATGAGGGATTTAAGAACATAATTATTTCTCCAAATGCTGTGCAAATATACACGTGGTTTGACTTTGAAATTTCAGTTCAGAGGAAGCCACAAAAATAACATTGTGCTCTGAATATTGTGCAGAGAGGCCAGAAAGAGGCATATGCAGGACGGTCATTGCTAAGATGCAGAAGAAAACACCGAGTACAAAAACCACCCAAACAGTTTCATTTACTTTACTGACATAACTGCTTTCCAGCAACTCATAAGGAAATTAAAATTGAATTAATTACATTCATTCATCACATACCCACTGAATATTTCTTACTAGTTTGCAGTAATACAATGAAGAATGTGACAAACATTTTTTATTTTGTTCTTAACATCTGGTTTATTGGTTAGGAAGGCAACACACAGTACTGTGTTCCCATCTGGTACTGATATTTGTCTTTTTTTAGTAGTTATGTTAACATTTAATGGTTTGACTTTTGAGTGCAGTACTGTTGCCGTAATGTAATATCAATTACCAAAGAAAACTTTTGTTAATGTCTCAAGAACTCCAGCCAACAAGCACAGTTTTATGAGGAGTCTGTACCAGCTGCACTAAAATGCTGCTGCTTGTATGAGTGAGGATCCATTTAGATCTTTAAATACATAGTAGATTTCCAAAATAAATATTGGTCCTGTAAATTCAGAGTTACTGAACTCTAAGTGAATGTACTGAGATAATGCTTTAGTTCTGCCAGTGCACTGAACCAAGAACTTACCCTGAAGTCTGACAGCTTAGTGTGGTGACTGAAGCATCTGCACTTTCTGAACTGGAGCATTCAGGGAACTCTACCAAAATGCTTTTGATGGGAGCTTGTGGGTACCTGAAGTAGTCTGGTAACCAAGGCCCCAAGTAGGGCTTGAAAAGAGAGTGGATCCCCTGCTTACTTGTAGTGCACAGACAGCACACTTTGTATAGTGCTGTGTTTATCTCAGTATAAGTGTGCTGTAATCTCATAATCCTGTACCTCAGTGCTTCAGTACTGCTTCTCTGGGGGCTGGCAGAAAAGCTGCATCGTTTGCTCTCTGGGATTTCATTTTGCCATCATATGAAGCTTTCAGAATTGCCTGCAGGTATACGTAGGATGTAAGCTGAGTGTTCCCCAAGTGTTTAAATGACGGCAGAATCCCTCATGGGACTGATAAAGATGTTCTGCATGACTGTTCAGTGTTGAGATGACACTATGACTTGGGGGCAGAAAGCATTCTATTCCCCTCATACAAAAGTGCTGGGAATGAAAGGAAGTTTGCCTTTCAGTGTCCACATGCAGTTGGGATACTTTTTAACCATTTATCTCTCCACTGCAGGAAAATGGAGGGTGGATGCTGCCCTGCCCCTTTTTCTTCTAAAAAATTATAGTGGTGACTCTTAAGTTCACATGTGAAAAAGCATGTTTTTTAAAAAGTACATGCACAAACTGTGTTCTAATATAAAGGTTTTGCTGTCAGATTGTATGGAAAATTTATCATTACAGTTTTCCCTTGAAGGCAAACTGGAGGTCTTAGCCTTTGTGAAGTCTGGCTGGTTTTCATGGAATTGGAAGAGTGGATATATCTGAGAGACACCTGTCTTTCTGTGGGCTAATACTTTCCATAACATTTAGACACTTCAGTGAAGGGAGTGACTTGCAATTAGATGAGGAAATTATAAAAGCTCTTATCCTTGGAAACTAGGTGAAAAAGGAGACATATTAAAATCAAAAATGCAACTGTCAACAAAACAAAAAAACTAGTAAGAAAGGTTGAAGGTTTCCTTGGGATTTCAGAAGGACAACTGTTAAATCAGTTACTTATCAGCTGAACATCTATGGAAATGCAAATTAAGCTCTTGCTTTTTACTGTTCATTTCAGTTCTGAAATCATTCTCTCTTTTCCATTTTAGACAAACACGAAACTAAATTAAAAGGTGTAATATATTTTCAAGCTATTGAAGAAGTCTATTATGATCATCTAAAGAATGCATATAAGGTAAACTTTGCTATTGCTGTTTTAGCCACATATCACATAGAGTACCCAAAGTATGGTTGCTGCTGTAAAATTAAAGGGAGAACTAACATTATTGGGGGAAAAAAAAAACAAATACTAAAAAGAATCCTGGAGTGGAGGAAAAGGAAGAGGAAGCTAATCAGTGATCAGCACTGTTTTGGGGTTTTTTTATATTGATGGAAGCAGAGATAAGTGTCTACCTGCAAAGTGGGGTTTGCTGCAAGGAGTTCCTTAGTCCAGTGGCAAGACCATTGAAATCAGTGGCTTGGACAAGTCAAGGGCTGGCTGCATGTCTCTGTCCCAGGGAGGGAGTTAATTGTGCCAGCACCTCATGGCACCCCCTGCTTCTCATCTGTAATTTAAATAAGCTGTGAACAATATGTGAAAGTCACTGGGCAGAGTGGGGGAGTTGGTTATTTGGGCATGAAACAACAGCTTGGAGCCCTGTAGTACTGTATAATAGTCTACTGGGAAATGCTGTGAAAGGTGTTTATGGTGGCTACAAACACTTTAAATGCATCTCTTCTGCAATATAAGATGCGGTGGTACAGCAATTTATCTTTTTTCTTAATTCTATTCATAAATATCCCTGTAAGCAATTCCACTTCTGGTACCAATAAATGGTGCTGATTTCACTCTTTGGATATGCTCTTTGTGTTTTATCCTAGAGTCCCAACCCCTTGCTGACCTTCAGTGTTAAGACCCATGACCGCATCTACTACATGGTTGCTCCTTCTCCAGAAGCCATGAGGATATGGATGGATGTCATTGTTACAGGAGCAGAAGGCTACACCCACTTCATGTTATAATAAAAGGGGAGCAACAGGGCATCCTGCAATAACAAAACTAATGAAGTTAGCCATAGCTAGTGACAGCTGAAAAGCCAGTGAATAATTCCCTGAAATGTCCTCCTTATGATGTGCACCCAAAACCTCAGATTGACAGGAGGTTACAAATGCATTGAAAAGGGGGCTTGTTACCTGTTGTAGTTGATCTTTATAGGAATGAACCAGCTAAAGCTGTTGAGAGAATCATAGTGCTCCAAAATGGATAATCAGGCAATTTTAATTACTTGATTGAATGATAAGTTTCTACAAATTCTCTTACACAAATTCTCTTTATGAGAATGTCTTCATAAATTTATACTGAACAGTTTACAAGTGTGTATGTTCTCACTGGTATGCAAAAATTCTAGTAGTGAAACGAAAAGGTGTAATAAGCATATATTTTAATATGCAACATTGGACATTTATAGATGATTAGGTGACTTTTTAAAACTTTTAGTCAAGTATTTTATAAAAATACAAACAAAAAAACAGCCCTAAGGTACACACAGTTCTTGCCTTAGTAGTTAAGTGTTACAACAGAGCCAAAGAGTTACAGGATTCCCTTACGTTTTTCATATTGTTCCTTGTACCTAAGTTTCTGTAAGGGGACAGTGCCAAAACTCTTAATGACTTTTAATGTAATTAAATTGTTATATTCTGTGTGTTCAAACACTTCGTGGCAACAACTGTATGTTTAAAGTTTCCATCTATGGAGCTCAACAACAAAAAAAAATAATTTAAAATAGCTTTATAAAGATGCATTTTTTTCCACTATGATGAGAAATAGAAACACATGTATTAACTTCCTCATAAAGAGAGATTTTTTTTAATCTTCCCTGTTAAACAGAATAAGCTGGTTCTGGACCCTACAGCAATTTTCTTTAATGTAGTAAGATCCCAGTGTGGTTCTAATCTTACTCTGTGCCAAGTGAATGCTCTATTGAAATCTCTCAAGCATTGCCTGCCTTGAAGCCAGCACCAAAATCTCTGCCTATCTGAATTCTTTGGAGCCAAGCTTTCAGTCCCAGAGAGTTGTTTTGTTGTTTAATGTATATCTGCACAGAATAATGCTGTCAAATAGAATAAAAAGAGAGAGTTGAGTTCTAAGAGTTTACACTAAGCAGTGTATGAATAAAAACCCCTGAAAGTTTCAAGCCGTAGGGATTGAGATTCCTAAAACAGCAAAGATACTGAGGGTGCAGCGGTCTCCCATTTTAAAATCACCTCCAAGTCTTTGAGTAATATTGCAAAAATATAAATTATTTAATTGAAATGAACTTCAAGAAAGTGTCATGACTTTGAAGAGGTTCTATTTCAGTAACTGAAACTTACACGTTCTGTGGCTTGTGTACTAGAAGAAAGCACATTTGCCTTTTTTTTCCTTGATGAAAAGTTAATGGCTTTTGATTGAACAAATAAACTGAAAACAGAATAGAAGTATGCTGGCAGAATATTTTTGTTATACTTTTTAAACCCTGTAACTTGTAATGAACAGGTTTGTGGTATACACAGGTGATGTGGTTGTTCTAGCATGACAAATATCAGTTTCGACTTGAAGCATAAAAGAAGAGACTGTTGTTGTGAGATAATTGTTATCATCTGTGCAGATCACAACCTGTAATCTATAATTTAAAACACTATCAAGTAAATTGCTTTTGTTTATACAGTTATTATTTTTCCCTGATGTATCTTGATTTTACTCCTAAGTATAGTTATAAAGGTTTTCTAATAATTTTTATATCCTGCATGATGCAATGAAGGCATTTCAATAAACATTTTTAAAAATACATTTGTTTCAAATATTTTCTTGCTGCATTATCGTAACACATTTCTGCTTGTCTTTTAAACAGTTGTATACAGTTGTGCAAACAATACTGTATTTCTCAGTAACACTTAATTGAACTATTCCATGTATTTTCTCATTGAAGAGCTATTGAAAATAATCTTTCAGAGGGCAGTGAAATTAGGAGTGTAGTCTGTTTTCTGCTTGTACATAATATAATACATTTTTCATTTTTTATTAATGTGTTTGAAAAATTTATCACCAGCTTTGGATATTGGCAAATTTTTTTGTTGTTTAACTGCAAACCAGAAATTGCTGGAGTTTAAGGATTTCGAAGTTTTCCCAATATTTGATTTAGACATGACCTGAATGAGAGCATTAACTCACTGTGGAAATGAAAACCAGTGTGGTTTTATGACTGATTTGTTTTCACTGGGTTTGCCATCATCATCATGAAGTGGGGTGGGTTGTGTCGTGGTGTGCATCAAGACGAGGTCAGTAGAGCATGGTGGTAGGCACCCCCTTTTATGATCAGTCTGCACTGCTCATGAAAGCCCTTCAAGCTTTCCTGCCTGGGAGTCAAATACCTGCTTACCCTAAAGGCTCTCGGGCAATTGCAAACCACAAATCTGAGCCTTAAAAACCTCCTCTGCTGTGTCCTATGACCTATGGCCCGGTGCTTGGGTGGGAAAACATCCTTACCTTGGCAGGCACTGGCCTTTCCTAGCATTTATTTTCATGTGCCAGGGGAGGTTGGACATCAGGAAGAATTTCTTCACAAAAGGGGTTGTCAAGCATTGGAATGGGCTGCCCAGGGAGGTGGTGGAGGGACATCTCTGGAGGCATTCACGAAATGACTGGATGGTGGCAGAGTGGTCTAGGTGACGTGGTGGTATTTAGTCAAAGGTTGGACTAGATGATATTTGAGATCTCCTATCTAAATGATTTGGTGATTCTATGATTATTTTCTTGTCTTTGTGGCTGCTATGGCCTGTATATAAAAGGAAATGAAGATGTAATTCTGGTTCCTCACATAGCTGAGAGAAGGTGAGGAGGTGTGAGCCCGGTGCTGAGGTCCCTTCTCAGGCGCCTGTTCTCCAGGCTGAACAGGCCCAGGCCTTTCCCTCGTTCTCCTCCGAAGGGAGGTGCTCCGATCCCCCTCATTGCCTGCCACAGGAGCTCCGTGTCCTTCCTGTCCCGAGGAGCTCAGAATGGACACAGCACTCCAGAGTGTTGTGGTCTCTCTCACCAGGGCTGAGCAGAGGGGCAAGATCACCTCCCTCGACCTGCAGGCAACGCTTCTCCCAGTGCACACCTTTGGCCTTGGCTGCAAGGTACAGCTGGCTCGGAAGAACCCCGCACGCTAGAAAACGCATGCTCCACGTTTAGGCTTTTTTATTGACAAATCTGGAGTTTGGCAGGGAAGCTGGGCCCTGACCGTGGCCCGCCCCGCCCCGCCCCGGCCGCCGCTCCCCAGGCGGGGGCGGCGCGCGGCGCGTGCGCGGGCGGCGGCCATGGCGGCCATGGCGGGAGCGCTGGTGCGGGCCGGCCGCGCCTCGGCCCTGCGGGGATCGCTGCCACCGCTGAGGGCGGCCCGGGCGCTCCTGGGTAAGGGAAGGGCCGCGGGAAGCTCGGAGCCGAAGGGGTGCCAGTCGGAGGGGACAGGATGTGTGTCTGTGCTGGCTGTGACGGGCAGCTGCGGGTGGCACCCTTTGCTCCCCTTCAGCGCCGTCTCCATCGGGAGGGGCCGGGGCGCGGCCCCTGGTGCGGATGGGCTTCTTAAATAAATTCGGTTCCCTTGCTGCCGGGTTCCTGACAGGCTTCTGCTCCCCGCTAGGCTCGCCAGGTGTCTGTGGCAGCTGTTTTTCGCACGTGTGTTTTGTTGGCACTAAACTCTTGCCCCTGGTGGATTTTGAGGAGCTGGGAATCGTGCGCCAGTTCGCTTGGTCGGGTGTGGAATGTGCCTGCCCTGTTAAGCTCCGCCAGGCATAGAAAAGCTTTGCTGGCATCCACTTCTGAGTGAGATCGGTCTGTGCCCAAACACGCAGTGTCCCTTCTTGATGTGCCAGACGCCGTCCTTGTCTGACCTGTTGAGTTTATTATTTGCCTTTAATTGGACAGGTAAATCTCACCTGAGGTTGCTCAGTGGATAAAACTTACTTGCCAGTAGGAGTGCATATTTTGTAGCTGCATAAAAGCTTGAATACAGGGGGATTTTTTTGCTGTGTTTTCCCCCCCTTCTCCGTGTTTATAACAGTAACATTATCAGAGTATTTGTTTATTTGAGTGTGTCTTTAGGTGCTTTGGGACCAGTTCCTGCTGGAATGGAAACCAGGTATGGACAGAGTTGAGTCCATTACTTGTCACAGCAGCATTAATCTTCTGCTGCTGGCAGTGGGGAGATCTCAGTGCAGGAACATTCCCAGAGCTGTTCAAGGAACTTCTTTGGCTTGGATGTGTAATGTAACACTGGTCTCAGTCACAGTTTCTGGTGTTCATAAAATGCACAGTGATTCCAATATGAAGAGAATTCCATAGATACCATCAGGCAAGGGTTCTGGGGTCTTCCTGTAGCTATCACCTTCGGTCTGTAGCTTGCTTTTATAAACACTAATACCTGCCTTGCACCCTTCAGAAATGCTTCCCTGCTTTTACCAAGGTCTTTCCTAAGATCAGGAGGAGAAATTACTGGATAGCTGCTGATAGTTTTGTCTGTCTAAAGGAAAATGTGAAAGGCTGACTGCATTAAGCTGTGGTGGTTGCTTTAGGGATTTGCATTATTCAGGTTGGGATTGCTGCTGGTGTTTCCATTAACTTACTAAATGGAAGAATAGTTTGTGAAATAGCTTAGACAGTGGTTGTGTTTTGTAGTTGCAGTTGGAACCCTGCCAGCGTCAAATTTGAGGACACCTCCAGAGTGTTGCAGCATGGAAGACATGCATGGCTTCAGAGATGGCTATCAGGGCTTAAGGGGGAGAAAAATAGTCCCAATTATTTTTCTATTAAATTTAGTGCTTCTTGGTGGGTCTCCTCTTACTGGCACTTGAAGAAGTGATTTTGACTTAGTGAGAGACACGCAAATTAAAAGCCACAGTGTGGATGCATCTGAAAACCTTTACTGTGGAAGTCATTCACCATTATAAACAACTCATGCCTCAGTGGGATAAAGAACTACCTCATTGTTTGAGGAGCAATTTAATGGTTTTAATCTATACAAAGTACAAATGATAGAATTTCTGTTGGACTGTAGGAGAGTGTTGAATGCTAGCTCTGCACCCTGTTGTATGTGTTATGTATCCATACTTACTCATGCACATCCAAGTTAAACTAACCCCCAAAAACCCCTCGAATGTAATCTCTCTGATACTGGTAAAACAGAACTCAAGGCTGCAGGACAACAAGGTAGTGTGATGCTGTCAGGGCCTGGGTTTTGCACTATTTATCCACCCCTAGGAAGCCCTGATGCTTTATTTTGGGTTGCATAGTTTCTGTACCCACTGTTGAAGAGCCAGTCTAATCTAAGAATTAAGAGTGTCAAAGTCTTAGAAGACTTGACCAAGCTTTCAGTTTAACAAATTACCTTGCTGGGTTGGATAATACAGTGGATTAAGTCTCCTTAACAGTTCTCAGTGAATTACTTGTCCTCACCTGCAGTAGAGGTACAACTGACTGCTAAAGTTAGATTAAATCCTGTAGCAGCTGTTGAGATTTAGCGGAATTATCAATTAGTTAGCATTTCCTCTGTTAATCTTATTTCCTTGTTTGATGTTATTTATTTATTTATTTGGTTCTAACAATGCTAATGTTGTTTAATTCTGGTAATGATGAAAAAGTTAGTCACAAGATTCTTTCCCAGTTCTTGATTATGAACTTGCCCCTATATCTCCATATATTGTGTGGATCCAGGATCCTTCAGTTTTAATTTTAATAAAAAATTTGTCACCTCCTGTGCTTGTAAACTTCCATTGCATAGAGTACTCTAATCTCAAAATTAGGCTTTTTGAAAATAAAAGGTTAAACTAAGTAGATATTAAATGGGAAGGTTTTTTTGTAAAATGAGTGAATGTATTCAAGACGGTATGAAACATGAGGACTGATGAAGTCTAGGAAGCCTTAGTGTTCATTTTCAGTCAACCACTTTGCTAATTGCTGAGTGAACTCTCTATATGGTTGGCGTTTAATGATTTGAGAATGAATCACAATAAACTTTTAGGTTCATCATCATTAAGTTATCAATCATTAAAGAATATAGGAGATGTTTTTTTCTTCTTTCTTGAGCCAGAATACCTTCTTTTCATGTAATATGTCCATATTTGCCAAACCCTGTGTTTATAAAACAAACTTGTGTTTCTGCCAAGGTTATAATGATGATTGTACTAAACGGCTTCTCTTATTAGTTTGCAGGCTGAAGTCATCTGTCAGCTTTCTTACTCGACCAGATCGACCAAATATTGCCTATCAGAAACTTAAAGGGAGGAATCCAGGGGTTATTTTCCTTCCAGGCTTCAATTCAAATATGAATGGTCAGAAAGCAACTGCCCTTGAAGATTTCTGCAAATCCTTAGGCCATGCCTTCGTCAGGTACATAGAGGAGTATTGTTCTTGAGAAAATAAATGAAACTGGTCTCATGGGTTGTGGGAAGGGGTTTTAACACAAATAAGTAAACTTTGGCATTTGGATTGGGATGCTCCCTGTGCTAAGGGAGCTTGTATACGAGATAAGAAGTCTTTCTTCCACTTCCAAATGTAGGATTTCTGTCAGTAGAGAGATTGAAGTAAATCAGGAGAATGTATTCTGAAAGTAATTCAGAAAATTCACTAATTTTCTGTAGTCTAACCAGTGCTACATGTTACAATCAGGCTGCAGGCATAAAACTAAAAATTAAGGAGTTCTGGTTTTTAAGTTATCTCTATAAGCACTGTCCTTACCTGCCAAGTCTGATTAAGTTACTCTGTTTCTTCTATGGGTTTAGAAGAACTTGCCCTTGCTTGGTGCTGCTGTCCTTTGATAGATGAGATTAAATGCTGTGTTTCATAAGTCTTTGTATTTGAGTTTAGTATTTGAAAGAGTTTGTACATTTAAAAAATACTTATAAAATTGAAGTTTCTAAGGTTTGGGGGGGTTTTTTTTGTCTGTAAGGGACGTTTTTTGTCTATTCTTCTAAATCATGGTGCTCTATCAAATGATAGATAATGTTGCATAACTTAGTTGTGTATGTTGCATTTAAACATTTTTTGAGTGGTATCTGGTCATCGTGATAAACAGGACCAAGTAAGAAAATGCTCAGTGTGGTATCTTGTCCCCTGCTGATTTGATTATACAGTAGTATTTAGTTAGGGTCTGTGTTGCTGTTGACAGTACCGTGACTTTCATGTTGATGGTTATTTTTTCAGATTTGACTATACAGGATGTGGAAGTTCAGATGGTAAATTTGAAGAGTGTACAATTGGGAAGTGGAGAAAAGATGTTCTGTCTATATTGGATGAACTTACAGAAGGACCACAGGTTATATTTTATTTTTAAATATAGAATGCTGTTTTTCCCTCAAGGTAGAACTTTGACCAAAAATATGCCATAAGAGCTCTCGTCAACAGTAGCTTTTGCTGAACAGGTGACACCTGCTCTCTTCCAAGCTGAATCATTTGAGAGGTCGTATTCATAGGAGCTCTTTTGCAAGCAGGTAGGTCACAAAATCATGGAAGCATGGGTTGGCAGGACCTCCTGGAGGTTGTTTGTTAGAAACTCCTGCTCACAGCAGGGCTGATGTCCCAGAGAGTCTGAGAAAGCCTCATAGTGGAGGTGCCACCTGACAGGGGACAAGGAATTGTTCCAGTGCAGTGTGGCCCTGTTAATGAAAAGGTGTCACTGTCCCATGCTGATGCATTAATTAAAGGATTTGCAGGAAGATTACAAGATACTCCATGTGATTAAATAGCTTTAAAAAACAGGCAGGAGAAGCAGCATTTGATTTCTTCAGTTACTTTAGAAATTACTGTGAGAAACTGGAATCTCCTACAAACCTAGAAATACCTACTATTTTGTTTAAAACAATTTTGTATTATGAATTGCTTTTGTTGACTTCTTTCACTGCACTGAGCCTTTACCATGTGCATTTATCTTGAGAAGGAAACATAAAAGTATGTATATGATACTGAATTGTTTCAACTCTCATTTTGTTTACAGTGTTTCAGGCTCAGACAGCAATAACCAGCCATGCCAAACAGAATAATAAATACCAGATCTTGTGGTGCTTACTCAGGCAAAATTTCCACTGGAGGTGACAGCGGTTCTGCCTGGGTAAGGACAGCAGGATTATGCCCAAGGTTTAAATAGTTAAACCAACTAGTGAAAACTGATACTTTGTGCAAGAAGAAAAAACCTATTAGCCGTTTCCTGTAAAACACTATACTTTCTTCTCTTTTTTTTTTAAATTTTATTTTCCAGATTCTGGTGGGCTCCAGCATGGGTGGATGGCTGATGCTTCATGCAGCAATAGCACGCCCAGATAAAGTAGCTGCTCTGGTTGGAGTAGCTGTAGCAGCAGATCATGTTGTAACATCTTTTAAGAGGCTTCCCATTGAGGTAAATATTGATGGTTGGCTTTTGTGCAGTCTAAAAATCTTACCAAGAATTTAAGAAATTATGTTATTTAAACTGTACTTTCCTGCAAATTTTAGGGTAAGTTTTCTGTTTGATTAATGCAAGCTTACAGTTATGAGACTAGTTTGAGCATTGGCCAGAGTGTGCTTATATTACTGTGGTTTAGAGGATGTGAAGTCAGATCCCTGCTGTTTGCAGTCCATTAGATTTCAGTATTGAATATCTTATACTTGCATTGGAATTGGATCCTTGTGCTTTGAAGGATAGAGAAGTAGCCACTAAAGTAGTTGAGGTGGCACTGGATGAGATGAGTATGACAGCTTGTGTGCATAGAAAGGAAATTCTTTAGATTAGTTTGTTTGTAAAGACTATAAGGTTTAAATAGTGGGAACTGCCCTTCTGAGATTCTTCCTTGATGGCAATAATGTCTAGTCTTCAGGAAAGTAAATGTGGTGTTACACGGCAATAAATAATGTGTATTTTAGAATAACTTAGGATATTTTCCCAATTAGTTGGGTTTTTTCTAAAGTACTTTGTAGTGTCAGTATTACTATTTAGGACTCAGAATCTGAAAATACTTAAGAATCTGGAAATACAGTATTTAGAGACAGCTATTGTGGAAAAGACTGATCACTGGAAAATATCTTTTCCCTAGGATTTCTCGTTTGAGGATCAGTGAACTGGTTAAAGCCAAGGAGATTTACTGTTCATGGTGGCTATACATCTTTTTCTTTTCTGAGAGATTCTGGCTAAGAAACTTAATTTCATTGGTGAATTTTAACTAGATTAATTTGCAGGAGAGGTTTGGAGAACAGCTTTTGTGACAATGTAGGCAATTTGTCTTCTCTGTTGCTGTGAGGAGAACAGGAATACACTTTTGCTAATAAAAATTAACAAGGTGAAATGTTATGCTTGGGGGAGTTTTACTGCTTTTAGAACAGAAATAACTCGAGGTACTCTTAAGCAGTCCTAACATCTGCCTCATCTGTTCTTTGCTCTCTTTTTTTATAGGCACAAAAAGAAATAGAAGAAAAGGGTGAATGGAAATATCGAACAAAGCACAATGAGGCAGGCTATTACTCCTTGACCTACGACTTTATCAGAGAAGCAGAAAACCACTGTGTGCTGAATAGTCCTATTCCTGTGACGTGTCCTGTACGCCTTATCCATGGCATGGAGGATGGGGATGTCCCCTGGCAGATCTCTATGCAAGTTGCTGACCGTGTTTTGAGCAAGGACGTGGATGTTATCCTCCGCAAAATCGGCCAGCATCGGATGAGTGACAAGGAGGATACAAAGCTCCTTGTGAATACTGTTGATGATCTCATTGACAAGCTGTCAACAGTAGCATAAGCTGAAGAGTAGCATTAGTGCATGAACTCTACACCTGACTCTTTTCCTTGAGTAACAGAAGCCTTGTTCTTACCCAGATGGTGGCAGGCCTTTGACTGTCACAGTAGGAACTGAGCTTTATCTGCTGTTTCCTTACCTCTGTTTCGTAAATACAGGTATTGTATTATTGCTGCATTTGCACACAGTCCAAAGTGTGAAGGAGTGCTGCTACTGTGTTCAGAACCTCTCCTTCACCACTCTAACCATTTTTTTCACAAATTTCCTACAGTTTTGTACTGACATGTTGATTATTTTTTGTTACTATTGGGCTGCACAGTAAAACTTTAATTTCACATCTTTGACACCTGTTATTGTCCTTCTGCTGTAACATCATTGTATCTTATGTCTGAAACCATCTGTGCAAGGCAAAATACAACTTGAGTGTTTACTGAAGTTAGTTATTAGAATAGTGAGTACCATGAAACACAATAAACAGATTTCAGATAAATGGTTATTTTGTTCTGAAATGCTGTTAAAAAGTGGAAGGCACACCCTGATGGTGTGCTTGGGGTACTACATAGGGAAGAATTTGACTTTTAAGAATGCAGGGCCTCAAAGCCTTAAGAGCTCTTTATCTGTGCTTATCAGGAGGATGTGTGTCATCTTCTCCAGACTGTCTGTCGTTGTTCATTTGTGGGCATACTGTTAAGGGAACAATAAATAATCTTGGTGTAAACTGAAACTGGATCAATAAGGTGACTTTATAGTAACTTCTTCAAAGTGGGGAGTACAGTGCCACCGAGCACTGCTGCCTCTTTCCCATGACTTGAGAGCTGTGGATTGCTGGGAACAGTGTCTTCTTCAGCTGAGTCCAACCCTGAGAAGCTGTAAATGAAACTTGAGAGTTGGATAATTCTTAAAATGTAAGTCCATAGAATTTAATAGGAAATGGATTTAATTGCAAATAGGATTGTTAACTGGGTTTTATACAGTGCCATTTGTACACTTGAGAGAGAGGAGCTTAGGTGAGAAGTTGGAATTAGTTCAGGCCGGCCTTAATGTGTAACATCAGTCAAAAGCATGTAAATTGTTTCTGTGTTCGTTATTTGAAGTAGTAAATGGCATCACTACTGTTACCTTAAAAGACTAAAGCTGCTGGGGGTAAGGTATTTCTAGAGAGTTTGTCATTTTCAGTTCTAGCTATGTCACTAGAAGTGTGCTCAATGGGACTTTGCTGAGGTAGTGGGTTTTAATTTTAAAAAAAACACCGCAAACAAGTAAAAAAAAAAAAAAGAAAAAAAACCAGCAACAACAAAACCTAAATTTCAGATGAGTTCCTGTGAAGTACAGTTTTATTTAGGCTTCAATACTGCAAAAAAAACCAAGAACCTATGATGTAAAAAATTTGAATTTTGATATAAGAGGAAAAAAAGATGGCTCTTGTTTAGATGCAAATTTTCTACTTCAGGTGTACCAATTCCCTAAGTCAATTAGTCATAGAATCATAGAATGGTTGGGGTTGGAAGGGACCTTAAAGGTCATCTAGTTCCAGCCACCATAGCAGGGCAGGGATATGTTCCACTAGACCAGGTTGCTCAGAGCCACATCCAACATGGCCTTGAACACTTCCAGAGATGGGGCATCCACAGTTCCTGCAGGCAACCTATTCCAGTGCCTCACAGTAAAGAATTTTTCCCTAATTATCTGATCTAAACCTACCCTCTCCCCCTTGTTCTGTCATGCTCATATAAATAGGCTCTATCCAGCTGAGGATAATCTAGAGTGGGATAATTGCCTGAGGAATTAGAACATTTCATGAACTTCTTCCATAGTATTTCTGGCATAGACTGTTCTGTTTGTATCACTATGCAATTCACTTTAGCTTTAAAACCTCTGAAATATGTTCTTAACTTTTGAGAAAGTTAATGTAGATTGCATTCCTGGAGTTAGAGCTGTGTTCATGTTTATGTTAACTGTTAAGCAGTTGTCATCTTATATATGTTTGTATCACTTGCATCTTGATAAGAGCTGAAAAGCAGATTTTGCAAGTTTTAAAGATGTAGCCGAATCAAAATTATTTCTAAACTGTGCCCTAAGCCATGATGGGGTTTTTTAATCTTGCTTTGTCACATTTTAGATTGGTTTAGCTTGTAATGGAAGAAAAGGCTGAAACCAGAAGACTGCAGTAATTCCAAAGTAATTAAGTTTAATTAATGCCAAGAATTACCAGTTGTAATAGATGTACTTTTACTTCACATATATTAAAGTTACTTCAGTGACTGAAAAGTTTTGAGCCTTTTTTTTTAATAGGGATTTATACCTGTTAACATTCAGTTTAATTCCTCAGGCAAGGAAAAGGCTTTGTGTGCCTGCATAAAGTACAGCTGTGTATTCATCTTGAAAGAGTTGCATTTTATCTGTGCTTCGTGTTAGCCTTTATTAAATAATTGATATTTTGCAGGTAAGGTGTCTGTTGCAATGCCTTAGAGGAAGATAGGTGAAAGCAAAAGTGAAGTGGAGCAGTTGTGTAAATAGTGTTCAGGAGGGTTTTTTCCTTGTTTGCTGTTGATGTTTTGTATTGTTGCACCCTCCATTATTCTGCTGTAATAACGTGAGGTGGGAGAGTTGAGTGTAACAGGGTTGGCACAATTGTTGGGAATACAAAACTGCAGCATCGGTTGGTGAAACCACAGCATTACTGAAAACTTAATCCTAGGGGAAGGGCTTTTTGCTGCCACTTGTTTTTGTAGTTCTGTTTTCCTTCTCTGCTGGCTAAATGGAGACCAGTGGTAGCATTTACAGTACAGGTACATCCAAAGTTTGTTACATATGGCCTAAATGCAAAGGTAGAGATGATAATTTCTTCATAAAGACAATATTCCAGGTAGTGTTTTGAAATTCAGGGAATGCTAGTGTCCTCTCTGTGCTCACTTTTTATTTTTGTAAATGTTAATTTATTTTGTAAATTTATTTCTCTTAAATGTGAAGAGCTGGCTCTGAGGTAGACCTTGTGCAGACAGACCTTTTTCTCTGATTTTGCTGTGGTAGTTCCATTGATATTTATTTGTCATAAGCATTTTCCCTGTGTTCATGCTGGAAATTACCAGAGTTTTGACTGTTGGCAACTTGGCATGTTCAGATGCCTCAAAGAAGGGATAGTAATAACTAGAGAGATTTACATCCTACCTCTGAGCAGCTGTTGACCTACCAGGAAGTTTGGACAATCTGAAATAATGGGATATTCACATATTATGGTGTCATTCCAAATTGGTACTGTTTTGTCCTCTGTGTTAATGCCTCGGGCATTGCTTTTTTTCTTTGCCAGTAGATGCCTACATAGTAATTATTTTCAGTATTAGTCATGTTTAAAAACTAGTATTTCAGTCCTTTGTAGAGATACTGTATTAAAATAAGATACTGCACACTTGGAAAGCTCTGCATGGTGCAGATTTTATAATGAATTACCTTCTGGTTTGGGTTTTTTTTAACAGACTGCTGACTTGTTGACAAATGCAAAGTATACTTTGTTAATATATAATGTACATTTCCTCAACAATAATCTTGATTTGCATGAAATAATCAGTTTCTAAAGCTTATTCAACTTGTTTCCTAATAAACAAGTGCTCTTATTCTGATCTGAGCTATACTTAACCAGTTTCAGCTACATGTATTTTTATCTTGTTAAATATTCTACTTGTTTTGTCTCTCCTCTTGCCTGGCTTTGTATTAGACACCATCTGGTTTGGCTTTTTTGGTTTTGGGGTTTTTTTTAACTTAATTGGTGTTAAATGTTTCATGTAGTTTCAGTTCAGCTAAGCTGTTTTCTCTTGCATCAACACTAAATGCAAACAAGGCAGTGTTCACCAAAAAAAGCCTGGCTGGATAGGCCTTAGAAGAACCACCTCCTGCTGTTTCATTTTTATGTTAATTTTGGTTACATGCTCTCGTGGACATGCTGTTATTCAATGGGGCTAAAAGATTGATGGTACCATACTTTTCATATCAAATTAAACCGTGCTTAGAGAGTAGGACTCAACTGGTGACTTGTCTGCAGCTGCTCCACTATCTTCAGTGCTCCAGTCATGCTGCAATACAGAGTTGCAGCATTTTCTGAACCAGTGCTGTGGTCAGAGTTTCTGCATTAGGTTTGTGCTTGTAATTTCTTTCTCCTCTGTGGCAAGAAAAAACCCAGACAAGTAGGAGGGAAAATCGTGTCCTGGGGAATAATGAGATTTGAACTTGTTCTAAGCTACTCAGTTGTGCTGGTACAAAGAGACCTACCTTACCCTTTCATTTTTTTAAGTTCTGAAAAATTATGTTATACTAAAGGCTTCTGGGGAAATAGAAGAGGGTTCTGTGTTTGACCTGTCTTTGAGATGAGCAATCTCGCTGCTTTGTGTTGATGACCAAATTCATTAAGATGTGTATGAATGTAATACATCAGTGTGCACTCTCACCCTTCTAAGTTTGTTCTCAGGCCAATCAGGGACAGGAAAGGCAGAGGGAACTCAGCCATTGCATTAAATAGCAGCCAGCTTGCCGAGCATGAGGTTTTAATGCCCCTGTCCATGGCACTTTGCTCCTGACAGGTATTTTCTAAGGGAAGATTTTACTGTTGGGAAAGAGAGGCAGAAATGAAGGTCACAAATCCACTGCTCATAGATTTACTGCTTGTTGGTCAATTTTTATAGCTCACATTTGCTTTGTGACTGTAGCACCTCATCTCTGTTCAATATATATTTGCCTGGAACAGAAAAATGCTACAGCCTTGGTCATGTAATGTGTAACTCTAAATTACAGGATTTACTGCAGTCTGGTTGTAGGCTTGACCTTGTATTTCTCTTTCAAGTCCTGCATATGTATGTTATGTGGTCCAGTGGTTCTTTTCCATTAAAGAGAAGTGGGCATCCTCCATGTCATGCAGAAATTGCAGCTCACAGGTAGACACATTTTCAACTTGCTACAGTCTCTTGGTTTGTGTCTGGCAAGGAGCTTCAGTCAGCTCTACATTTATATTTGGAAGGAAAAGCAAATGACAGCTCCTAAAACTTCCAGTCATTTGGTTCTGAAATTAAAACACATATTTGACGTGTTTCTAGGCCAGCACGTGAAAGGCTGTGTTCTTTTTGGGCCTTCTGATCTGCTGTCCCCTTGCCTCCCACGTGGCAACATGAGAAGGTCACTGCTGCCTGCTGGGGTGGAAGCAGGTGCTCGTGCCAGTGGCAAAGGTCTGCTGAACAGTGGCGTGCTTAGGGGTTGGAGTGATGCAAGTGGGCTGCAGAGACTGTAACCTGGGGAAAGCATTCCCTGAAGCTGCCTAGGATCAGGTCTTGTCCTTACAAGAATCCTTAGGTTTGGGGTTTAATTGGTTATGGCTTGCTGGCAAAAAGTGTGCCAGGATGTGCTAGTCCTTGGGACAGTAGGTCTTGAAAAAGTTCCTTAGAGCAAAGCTAAATCCCTAACCATAAGAAACAGCATTTACGTAGTTCCAGGATTTGGCCTTTTAGGGGGGTTTTGTTTGTAAATTTAGCTGTCTGTTTTGGTCTATGTTTCAGTGAAATAAAGATGTTACTTCCTTACTGTTCTACTGTGAATGTCCCTTGCAATATGTGTAATTTTCAAACCAAAGTAGTTCTCAGGAGGTACTGTTTTAGTTGGGGACAGATAAGCAATCAATAGGAAACCTGGGTTTCTTTCAAAGGAGTCTGTTAATCCAGCACAAATCTTAAGAGGTCCTGAGAATTCAAATGCACAATTTACCTCCAAGGTCATCTTGAATACTGGGAATGCTGATAATTATATCCACAGGAATTGGTTTCCAGTGCTAAGTGGTAATTGTTTCTGCTGGCAAGCTGCTTGGAAGGTGGTCAGTGACTTACAAAATCTCCAGAAACAGTGACTCCAGAAACACTCCTGTTCATGGCAGCCTTAGGAGCTGCCTTGTTCTGCAGGGTGGAGTATTGGTGCATTCTCTTTTGTCACACAAATAGAAATGTCCTTATTTCCTGAATTACTTTTCTTTTAAACACAAATTTGAGGTGTTCCAAGTATGCACTTGCTTGGGGCATAGCGTCTTCAGAGCTGGCAAAGAAACCTTTTTGCAGGTGCAAGACACGTGCTTAAGTTAGCACTTTTTGTCTTCGAGGACCTCTAGATTGTAGATTTCAAAGTAATAGGGAAGTTAGAATTTCTAAAATTAATGTTGTCCCCTGGTTCTGATAACTCTTCCACCTGTTTTTGCACAGTTAAAAAGAGGGCAATATTCCAATATTACCTTTTTCCCCTAGTCTGACTAGTTCTCTTGTGTAGAACATCTTGAGGTATCTTGCAACACAGCAAGGCCACACATAAAACCAAGGATCTGCAGAGTATTTCCTGCCTTGAAGCTCCCAGAAAAAGGCCCTGTACTTGAACTGAGCTTGTACTGGACCTGAGCATCCTCTCTGCAACTCTAGAAAACCTGACATCACACATAGACATTCATGCAGGGAAGGTCTTTGAGCATCTCTTCGGATGTTTGCTGTTGAAGGGAGGTGCTGCTAACTTAAAGTTTTGGAAAACACCCTCTTTTTGTTTTGGTTGGGGTTTTTTTGGTTTTTTTTGTAAACTTAATAATGAAAGATCCATTATTGTACAATGGCCTACCAGGGAAATGGAGCCTGGACTTCACAGTTATTGCTGGATAGCTTTGGTGATGGGGATTCAACCCACCATACTTTGTAAGATCGTGCTTGGGATAGCTGAAATACCAGGCTTTTTCTAAGGAATGAATTGCCAAACAGTGAATCTGAAAAAGGTTCATGATTGCTCTGTGGTAGGGTAGGTTTTGCTTTTTCTTCTGTGTTCTAGTTGGAAGACACTGAAAGCTGTTGAGTTACCCTGGATCTACACGTGGGTAGTGAGCTAGTTAATGTCAGTTTTGTTGTTGATTTTGGCAGCATTTGTTTATAGGCTTACAAGGATTTTTTAAATTTATAGGATAATATTGTGATTATCTGGGAGCATAAGGTGAGTCATGGTTCTTACAGGCATGAAATGCTCCTTCAATTACTCAAGCTTCAGCCCTAGTCATAGATTTTTAGTCATAAATTCTAGTCTTGTGTTGCCAAGAAAAATAAGAGGACAAAATCCATTAGAAGCAGTAGGTGAAGTGTTCTAATGGTAGTACCTTGATGCTGTAAACCTGCCCCTTTCTTCCACATCACATTTCTAACCATCATGCTTTAATCTGCCTGTGTCTGACATAAGGAATTTGAGCTGCTTCAGTTTTTCTTTAACTCGTAGGCACACGTGCTTGCCAAACTTCTGGTTTTGGTGAGATAAACAGGTAATCTTTCTGATGTGATTACTGTAAAAGCTCTAATTTTCAATCCTCCAGTTACTAGAATCACTATTTAAATTTACTTTACTCTTCCACTCTTTTTTATGAAGAGTAACTGTCAGAAAACTAGATGTGATATTCCTTCCCACTGCTGTTGGTGCACCTCCCATATTTTATTCAGCCAAGCCCTTCAATCACACTGTCTTACCCAACATCTTCATTATCCTCCGCACTTTTTTTTTTTTTACATCTATTTTGTCGTAGGACAGAGTGCTGCATTCTTAAAAGTACTTTTTCAATGATTGCTGGGCTTGGGCTGCAATAAGACACTTTTTGTCTGCTTTCATGTAGACTGCTTTCAAGGAGGTTTCTTTATCTTTTTTGCTTATTCACACGAGCCAGGATCTTCTTAGGAGCCTGGGGCGGGGGGGGTGACTTCTAATAACATTAAATATTTCAGGCCTGGGAACATATTCCTGTACAAACTGAATAAAATATACACCATCATTAATGATTTTTCAGTTACAGTCATATTACAGGATCTACTAGTTAGCCAGCTTTAATCTCTCTAATGTGTCATGTTGTTTCAGAATTGGTTTAGTTCCCTAATCAACATGTCATGGAGTAGCCAACTGTAATACATTACAGAGCATTTAGCAAATTGCATCAACATTATCACTTAAAAAAAATTATTCCATTGTTTTCCCCAGGATTGATGGCACAGAAAGCAGGCTTATGATTTGTTTAGTGGTACTTTGAAAAATATTGGTGGGGAGCTGGCATTTTTCCAATCTTCTGCAGTTTCCCAGTTTTTCAAAGCCTTATTAAAAATTGATATTGATGGACAAGCTTTTCAGCTCTCCCAGTGTGGAATGGTCCCTCGAGAACAGGTTGCATAGCCAACATCTGTGAAGGGGGAAACCTCTGCTCTGCAGCTTAAGAGAGTTAAATTACTCATCCCTGCCTCCGAGTTAGGAAACAGAGGCTGATGCAAAGTTAGGTGACTTTAGTGAAGTCTTGTTGCCAGTGAGCACTGAGCCCCTTGGTGTGACCAGAAACAGCCAGGCACCCTAGGTACCTTCATTCTGACCACAAAAAGTGAAAGTGCAAAATAAAGCTTATTGGTTGTGGGACTGGCCAAAGAGTATGAAGCCCAGCCCTGAAGAGCTGCTTGAAAGGAAAGGATGTCAAATTCATATTCTGCCTCTCCTTGTTGCAGCTGCAGCCTGTTCCTTCTCTGATCTCCAGGCTGGGCTTGCAGCCTTGGTTCCTGCGCATCCGCTGTGCCTTCAGCCCCGTGCTCACTGAGATGGAAATGCTCAAGTGGTGGCCCTGTCACGTAGCACACTCTGAGTTATGTAATCAACTGCTTCATAGGGGTTTAAAACTACCAATGCAGAGAGGAGAAAGCACTAAATGAAATGCCTGTGGAGGACAACAATGAATTAGGTCATCTATTAAATTTTTCATCTCTTGAGTCTGTTCAAGCCCAGCAGCATCAGAAGCAGTATAAGTCTGAGAATTCAGAATCTTAAAATGAGAAAGTAATGGGTGAAGAGCCCATTATGAAACAGATATAAAAATGAACTGCATTGCTTCTCTCCCTTTCTTTTTGCCTTTCAGAATGCAGCAGAAAGACTTTTGTTGGTCAAACTGACTGTGTGTCCATCTCGAGTTTATTAACCTCCTTGCATATCAAGCTGAACATTAATCATTTGCCAAAAGGAAACTATTTCGTACCAGGATGGATAATGCAGCATGAATGAAAGATATTTCACAAAGTCTTGTGTAACTCAGAAGGAAGCAAAATTATTTTATTTAATATACGATTAAATCAGACCGCAAGAAAAGTCTCGCCTTAACTCTTCTCTCCCCTTCCACATTGTACGAGTGGTATAATCAAAATTTAAACCACTGTACATGGGCATAGCTCCCTTCGTATCACTGGAGGTTAGCTGACTTCTAGCAGCAGAAAGTAAAATCCTTGTGCTTCATAGTAGGTTTGCTGGTTTTTGACTTCCCCTTGGCTTGTTTTTCAGGATACCACTCTACTATTTGATAGCCTAATATATACTGATGAGAGGGTGATAATAATATTCTACCACTTGCCTTCTCTTCCCTCACTTTTCATCATATTGTCCCCTTGTTCAAACTTTTTATCATCATTTGAACAGAGAAGAGGAGAAATCGTCACACTCTCAGCCTGTTATCGAGATGCAGAACAGGGAGAAAAAAGGTTTGTTTCTGGCTTATGGTTGAAAATAAACTAGATGTGTGGCAATTTCTGTCACCCTCATTTGAGGGCCTCTATTTGTGTTTCTGCCTATCTGTCACGGGGATGCTTGGTGCAGTTTGGGTTGATGCAGACTAGGTGGAGTAAATCTGAGCCGGTGGGGTGAGCAGCGCAAGGCTGAGCAAAGATGCATGGAAACAGAGCACAGATGGGCGAGACAAACAGGCTCCCTGGGCTGTGACTGAGGAGGCAGGTCTCTTTAATGGCTCTTAGCAACGCCCCTGCTCTGACCCTCCTCGTATGTGAGGAAAATCAAATCAATACACTGCTCTTCAAACCACGATGCAGCAGCAGCAGCAGGGCATTGTGGCAGCCTTCGTCTCTTAAATTCATCTTCGCTTTTCAGTGTGCTGATCTCTGGATATCCCTCCCTGCATCTCTGCTGAAGAAGACACTGACTGCATCTCTAATCGGATTGCTTAAGCTCCCATGCACAACCTTCTTCTTATTAGCAAGTATTAGGTAGGCAATTTTAAAGTGCTTTTGGATTTGCAGGCAGCTGTAATGTTGATCTGACAACCCTATTGTATTCTCTGTAAACATAGCAGAAGTCTCTCTTAAAAACCGACTGTATTTTAAATCTTGCTTTTCTTCTGTTTTTCTGTGGTTGGGCAGGGGGGGACTGCTGTTTTTTCCTTCTTTTTAAAAAAGATGTTGTAGCTGATTTGTGCTTTTGGAAAAGGATATTCCCTCACTGATCCCTCCCCTGTTCTATGGGGCTATAACCCTGTGCCATACAGTTACTTTCAGTGTTGATGAACATCTGTTCAACTGTTTAACATTTAAGGCAGGCTGCTCACTCTTTTATCCTTTAATTTTCCTGTGCATACTTCAGAGGTGTAGACTGGGACTCTGCCCACTAAGTTCTCCCTTGTTTCCAGAGATGGCTAACAGAGGACCAAGCTATGGCTTAAGCCGAGAAGTTCAGGAGAAGATTGAACAGAAATACGATCCGGAATTAGAGTCTAGGCTGGTGAACTGGATTATTGTACAGTGTGGAGAACAGATAGAGCACCCTCCTCCTGGAAGGCAACATTTTCAGACCTGGTTGATGGATGGAACGGTGAGTGTTTTGTCCAATTGCCCACTTCCATGTTTTTATTACGCACAATGCCCCTGTGTTCTGTCTTCATTTAGATAAATTGTTCAGAGCTCATGGTCAGTGCAGAAATAGATGTCTTAGTATCAGAGTTATTTCCTTTTGACCAAGAGTCTTAATCTTAGAAGATAAATTATTCTACTAGTGCACTGAGATCAGTACAATATTTATGATTCTTATGAGTCATGCATGTTTTATATATAAGCATGACTCATTCCTTCAGCATTTTTTTTTCTCATGCAGTTAAATGAGATATTTTTAAAAATGATAAGTATACTTTTATCTTAAAGAAATAATCAGTTTCGACAAGGAAAGGCAAAGAGATACAGCAAATTTGAAGGATAGGATTGTGTCATAACTGTCTTCTTGGGAATAATTCTGTAGCTAAAACATTGAATTCCATTGGTTTATTGAACAACAGGCAGATGCTGCTGTTTGCAGTGGCTGTAAGACTATGCTAATCATTGAACCTCTGCCAAAGTGACTTTAACAACATTTCAATTGACATTGCTTATTTTTTGGCTTGGGCATGAGGCTTCTTCTCTGTCAGTTGTTATATAAGCTCTACCAGTGATTGCTTTGTTGTTTCTAGCAGATTAGGATTTGTATGGTTAGGCTTTTGCCTCAGTTAATGAAAGCTTTAATGCTTTTCTAATATACTTTGATTATTATCAATCCACTTTTTTTTGTTTTTCACTGAAGAAATTATGTCCCTGACAGAAACTGGCCAGGTCAAAAGCATTATGCAGCATCATTTCATGTGCAGAAATTGCCATTTAGTTTGGTGCCTGCTTTCTAATTTTGTTTCTCTCTTTATCTCTCAGCTGTTATGCAAGTTAATAAACAGTTTGCATCCAAAGGGAAATGAGCCTATTGCAAAGATCTCTGAATCAAAAATGGCTTTCAAGCAGATGGAACAAATTTCTCAGTTCTTAAAAGCTGCTGAAATCTACGGAGTAAGAACAACAGATATTTTCCAGACAGTGGATTTATGGGAAGGTAAAAATAATAAACTGAAAGTCAGTTTACAGTCTTCATTTTACTTTGCTTTGATGTGCATTTTGTCTAGGCATATTCGCTAATGTAATTATCTTTTGTTTCTGTTTGCCTTACCTCATTACCATGTTCTTCCAGTGCTGCATTATTTCCTCTGAGGGATTTATATTACCCTGAGGGCATAACAGAACCTTTCCAAGCTCATGTGTTATCCAAATCCTCATCATTCTGATAGAAATTCACAGACCTAATAAAACAACTGTTCTCTCTGCTAATTATTTAAAAGTAAATAGCTCCTAGTAAAAACATGGGAAACCCTGATTTTCTGATTACAAAATTTTATCGTAATCTTCGAATTATAAGCAAAGCTTAAATTAGAGCTAAGAAATGCATTCCCAGGAGCATTTAAGCCTCTATGAAGCTTATGAGAGTTCATTTATGAGTTGTGAGAAACAAAACTCACTGCTTAATGCCATGTTAGCTGAGCTTCTCTCTCTAAGGAGACAGTCTTTTAGGAGAGGTCACTATGGCAACAGCAAAAAAAACTCAGGGTGCTCCTGTGGTTTTACGTTGAGACAGGTGAAGTCTGTCTCCATCCCATGCTCAAAATGGAAACTGCTTGTTCTAGTTGCTGAAGAGCTGAGTCATTTGTGCATCCATGGGGCTGTTTTTTGCCCACTTCTGTGGTGGTACATCCCATCCTGGTGCTCTAACCAAACGTGCTGTGTCCTGCATCTCCCTGGACAAGGTGATGCGATGCTTTGGCTGAGCACTCAGAGCAAAGACAGCTGCAGGGTAGTGAAAGGCACATATGAAAGGGTCAAAAATCTTCCATGAGAATCAAACAGTGGAAAGAGGAAAACAATCCACTGAGAAAGCTGGCCAGCATAGTTTGTGTAGGAGTACACATCGAGAGAATAAAGTGGGGTGTGTTTTCACAGGCAGTCGGGATATATGTGGAAGAGATCACTCCTCTGAAGGACAGCTGGAGAAATGAAGGACTAGGGAGCTCTTCATGAATGGGTTAGAGGGAAAAGACATACTGACAGCTGGAGTTACTGGGATCTGTAAATGTCTCAGAGTGCCAGATTGGCTTGACAAATCCGTACCTTTGGCACAAAGGCAGGATTGCTTCTTCCAGCTCAGTCTTTAGTGTTTTATGCAATCTATCTTTACATGTCTTAAATGAAAGGATTTTCACTTCCCCGAAGTAGCACCTTCCCACCCCTCAGCCTAGCAAGCTGTTGAGAGAAAAGCTTCATCTATCTTGTAGGGGATGATAATCACTCATTTCAGATGTTGTTCTTTGCAGTCTTTTGCAACTCATAATGGCTTCCCACCATGCATCTGAAAATCTGGAACATTTATCCTTTCCTCCTGAGGAAAAGGACTTGCTTTGAAGACAAAATGCTCTTAATGCTAGTAGTTGTCTCCTAATTTCCTTTCACTCATCACTTTTCTCGACAGGACAGGAAGTCAAAACACAACTTGCAACCTAGGAGGAAAATATACAAGGCTTTTCTTCACTGTTATTTTAAGACTTCCCAAAGCTAATCTGTGACTCCTCACTTTCCCACTCCCTTTTCATCCTTCCTGCTGCTCATTTCAGTGCTGGGATGAAACAGTATGTCTCCACAGCAGTGAGAGCTCTTTGTGTCTCTCCCTAATTCTGACCTCTGGCATCTGTGCTGCTTCAGGGCTGAATTGTCTGAACAGGGACGCATTAGCTGGGCAGAAAGGACAGTCTCTTTTTCATTGTTTCATAATTGCAGCACTCCTACACTTCACACTATAATCTCTTTAGAAAGAGAGATGTCAATGTATGTTCATAGGGAAAGAAAAGCGTGTGACTGAGAAACAGCTTTCCCCTGGCACTAATTGTTTTCTGTGAGCTTTTGCTTTGAAATTCTTAGTAATGATTAATGAAAATATTTTAGGATATGATCTGCTGTTGGCTATTTCAAACTCACTTAGTCCATCTGTTGCATTTTTCTTCATCTCTGAGGCTTCTTGATCCAGGGGAAGTATCACTTCTCTTTTGGCCCCTTCTTACATAAATGTATTGTGCTGAGCAGCTTTCCCTGATCCACACCCAAGACATGTTTGCTACCTTTTACAGCTTCCTCCTTGATATACTTCCAGGCAGGCAAGAGGCAGCTGCACCACTGGATATTTGTTCAACATTTACAAAAAAGCATTTCAGGAGTACTCTGCAAAGCAGTTCTCCATCTTTGTGTTTGAACCTTCTTTCTGGACCTAGAGAGGAGGTCCTTCCAGATAGGTTTCCCCTAAAGAGAAAGGCTTAGCACAAGAAGTGAGCAGAGACCCCTTCCTCCTTGTTTTAAGAACAGTGCCAAGGTCCTCTACAAGGCTGTGCTATTCAAAGCACACTGCAGAGGACACTGAGATGCAGGAGTGTCATCAGTGTGGGTCCCTGCAGAGAGGCTGAAGCTGTGGGCCAGGTGGGAGGCCCATATGGCTGTCAATAAAAAAGTACTGGAGCTGAGGGAAGGCACTGACTACAATTTGCTGCAATACCAGAGTCAAGCCCGGCTTCAGGGAAGGTGTATGATCCCTTCTGTCAGGTGACTGCACTGGAAATTTAATTTTTTCCCCTATAGATTTTTTTTTTTTTTAATGCTGACTACCAAGCCCTTTATATCCTTCGCTGGCAGAGGGCAAATGACACGAGACCACTGGGATTCAGATCTTCCCTCACCCACAGCACTCTGATATGCAGCAAGGAGTCTCTGCAGAGCAGAGCCGTGGCTTTGTTTTGTCACGTGTCATTCAGCTCCCACTCACTCCGTTTCCCCCTGCAGCATCTCCCACTCGGCACCGACAAATAAAGCTGAGCTGAGCACAGAGCGTGGGGGGGCTGCCAGATGGCTCTGCAAGGCTGATCATCATATTTCACTGCCTGCCTTTTGTTCCTTTTGCTTTTTCCCTTCGCTTGCCGTCATTATTCAGCTGATTCACTTTTAAATCCTTCTCCGCATCCCCTTTCATCCCAGGCAGTCACTGCACTCCTGTTATATGGGAGGCATCCCAAGGATGCTGTACGTGGCATCTGTTGCAGCATATGGTGCATCTGCTGTTCGGGGGAGCTCTGAGGCTCCTGCTCAACTCCTCTGGGTGTGCCTGTGGATGGGAGCCTGGGGGATGTCGGCTCTGCAGCCACCCTCCCCAGCAAGGACCCCGTCTGATGCTCTTTGCCTTAAACGCGTTAAAATGTAAAATACAGGATGTAAAATGCGTCCCTTCTGAAGGGCTGACAATTTATTTTCGGAGCAAATGGTCCCCTGCAGATAGGATTTTTATAAACTTTAGTAGTCTGTATGACAGTCACAGTTGGAAGCTGGTAGTGTTTTCAGTTTTAGTGTGCTGTCCTCACTTCAGCCACTGTTACAGAGCCCTGGACTGCATCTGCCTGTAGGCAGGGTGATGCACTACATAAACACAGAGTGTGCACTGCTCCCTTCCCTCTGTGCTCCAGCTCGTCTACAGTGATGTTCATTAATACTGGTCCACTGGAGGTATTTCTGAATTCTGTTATCATCCTGTCTCTGGTGTCTCCTTTTTTCTAAATTGCTTATTTTCACATGTGAAGAACCAGAATCAGATCTGTTAACTAGATATATTACTTTAGGAAAGAGGAAGAACTGGATTGAAAGAGGGGAGGGGAGTAATAGAAAAGCTTATGGAAGGATTTCATAAGGGAGAAGAAAAGGCAGATTTCCAATAACTTACTACCTCACACAATTGAAAATACCTGCTCCAACTTATTTTTGCTAGAAAGCAGCATGTCTGGATTGGGTAATGAGTTATGTAACTTTTATTTGGCTAATGATGAGACAAGCCCTGATTTTTTAAAGTGAGGCATGAAGTGAGATAGCACAGGGAGAATGTGGAAAAATAGTGGGCCAAATGGGAAAAATTAAAGGTATGACACTGAATAGCATTGTAGGAAGGTTTAGGGAGGGGTTTCAATGGTTAATTTGGGAAGGACTAATAGAATTTATCTGCACAGGAGCTCCCAGAACTGCTGTGACCTCTGTTAGCACAGGGATCAAACTTACTCTGAATTAACTGAGACACAGCACTGTTATTTAACACACTATTCTCCTTCAGCCACATTTCACTGACTATATTACCATTATTTGTACACCAAAGTAATCTCTCCTTAGGAGAAAATTTTGTTAAAGGGATTCTATAGACTTAAAATGGTATGAAGGAAGGCATTAAAATAATCAAAGGCCTGGAAATCCAGAAATGTCTGAAAAAGTAAGTTTTGCTTTAGCTCTGTCCCTTTGTTGACTTTTAATAAGCTCTTGCATTAAGTACTTTTATTTCAGCAATGGTAAGATAGCATTTATAATTCTATTAATGCACATCTTCAGGGACCTGAGGGAGTTAGTTAATACATCAGATAAAACTGTTTTTCAGTGTGCCAAGCTATTTGTTGTGCAAGGATTTCCTATGTTAATTCCACTGTCTGGCTTTCTAGGGAAGGACATGGCAGCAGTGCAGAGAACCTTAATGGCTTTGGGCAGTTTGGCAGTCACCAAGGATGATGGCTGCTACAAAGGAGATCCCTCCTGGTTCCACAGGTAAAGTCCAGAGCTCAGCTGCCCAGAGCTGTCTTCCCTGGGAAGCTGATAATACCATCTGCCTTTAGGCTTCAAGGAGATTTATTGGGAAAGGAAGGGAAGAATATTTCCCAAGTTGCCTTGTATTAGGGAGGTTTTTCTCTCTGGAGGCTAGAGAAGGGAAGCAGGAAAAGTGTACATTTGTCATCAGGTTTGCTCTCTCACGTCAGACAGAAAGACTAATGAAGACAAGAATGTTAAGGAAAGGATGTCTGTGAACCCCCAAGTAGTGACCCCTTCATTGAGCAAAGAGAAGGCATGAAGTGTGTTTACTTTTTTAATCAAACCAAAAATTATTTGATTTCCTAGGGTTCTTTTTTCTTGGGGAGCACCACTTGTCTGTGAAGAACTCTCTGTCTTGGCAAAGCTGTTTATTTGTTCTGAAATTCCATTTGTTTTGGCTAGGGAGGCTGTAAAGCAGGAACAGGAAGAAAAGGAAATCCTCCCGCAGTTACTCTCCTGCCCCACAGGCATATTACTGACATGAGTTTCTGCCATCCAAGGGTATCTCTTACACAGAAATGTCAAAGGCAGGTTAGCAAAAAGAGTGCTGACTGCTTGAATTTTCTTTGCTTGAATTTTCTGATGTCTAGGTGAGGCTCAGCAAAAATAAAGCAAACTTCACTTTGTCTTAAACCCCGAGCTGGCTAAACTGAATCTGAGATTTGAATTTTAGGTGAATAGATGCAAACTCCTATGTATTCTTTTTAGGAAATCAGGTTACCTTAACTTAATACACTGCATAAATAGATTTATATTTATGGACTATAATTAGGTTTAAAACTGATTTCAAATCCAGTTGCATTCTTTAATATAAACCAGACATGAAATCACTATGGCCCAGACAGACTTATTTGTTTTATGTAACTAAAACAAAGTCCCACATGGAAAAATTAATTTTCATCTGGACTCTTAATTGTGGGTGGGAACAGTTTTTGTTGGCAGGGATGAAGATGTGATCACCTCCCTTCTCTTCTAGCTGTCTGTCCAGCCCGTACTGCATGGATAGCCAACCCCTATCTATTGCAGTTCCTGTAAATGTCATAGCCACTGCCTTAAGGAAAGCTGGTGCTAGAGCATGTTGCCAGTCAGGAGCTGTTTTCTGAGTAGCTTCCCTATCCCTTTGGGCAGAACAAACCCCCTCCCTCACTGCCACCCAGTGTTACTCATAATTCAGGGCTTTCAGGCTGATTCTTAATCGCCTTAAGTTAAATTGAGAGACCAATGTCAAACGGCACAAGAGTATCCGTGCAGGGATCCACAGTGATTAGGATAATGCCACACTTGAGCTAAGCCATTTAACTTTCCATTGCCAGTGTCTCACACCCCCAGTGCCATCAGACTGATGCCCCCTTCCTTGCATGCCCTAGCAAGGTTCATGGATCCATAGCTCTTTGTTATCCAGTGGCTTGGCAAATACAAGCACTGGTGTAAAGTTGGCACAAAAATTTGACATATCTGGTTTGAGGTACGAGTGATGCCAGACAGGCCAAACAGAACTTGACATAGTGTGACACATTCCAGGTGAGTAAACTTGCCTTCACCTCTTTCCTTAGTCTCAGTTAAGGCCATTTCCACCCCACTAGAAACAAATCTTGTACATGTTATCTGTAAGACCATCATATACTAAATATGGGGCTTGTGTTGGTAAAAATCTATATGATCCAAGCTATGTATATAATCAACTTTTATTAGCATATCCAGGCTGTCCTTTAGTCTATCCTTTTATTTCTTCTTTGCAGTTCTCATTTTTTCCCGTTTAATTACTTTTTTACTTTCTGTGGAAGTACTCATCAACATCGCAAAAAATTCTAGGAGAAAAGAGAAAAGAACAGTAGAAGGCTTTCCTGTTTTTTTAATTAAAAGAGAGGCAGACACAGTGAACCTGAGATTCAATTAGGTAATAGGAGTTGTTCTAAAAACATCCTCTCATGGAGATCTTGGCAGTAGTTTGCTGCCTGTGTAAGTATTCTGGAAAATAAATTAAGCAGCAGTGAGAGGGGCCTGCTTTCTGATCCTCCAAAACAGTGAGCTTTCTGGCAAAGAGCTCTAGTAGGATCTGTACTTCCCCACCTGAGGACTCATGCTGAAAAATGACTGGACCTGTGGATCTTTCTCCCCCTTCTGCTTTGCTGGGCTTTCACATGGACATTAGTTCATCTCCAGCAGTGTCCTGAATGCCCTGGGCCTAGCAGAAAGTTTAAATGCTGTTTTGGACTTGAGGCAGGGTTCTTAGCACAGTGCAGGGTCTGACCCTCACAGAGAGGATCATGTTGATGGTTTTCAATCACAGCAGGTACCTAATCTAGTATTCTCATCTAGTGGAGGGATGGGGAAGAAAAGGGGGACTGTAACTCGTTGTCATATCGCAGCATAACCTGTAACCTGATCACGGGACAAACAGACACAGCAGGGAAATCGATTCTACCCTCATGGGAGTAGGGTCTGGTAGATGGAAAACTCCCTCAGCCTGGGACTCTGCTGATTCATATGGCTCATTTGATAGCAACACACTGATCCTTCTCCATCGTAAATCACTTGTTTTCCCTTCCTAGTAGATGAATCCAAGATGAAGAATTTCTTGCGAGGCAGCAGTGTGCAAACTTTGTCCCTCTTCTTAGCTGCCACTTTGGCCTTCAGTAGTATTTTCAGGGAGAAAAAGGCTCCTTTTATGCTCCAACAAAGGTTCATTGATCCAAAGGGCTTTTGAGACCAGGGACTCTGAACAAAAGTGGTCAGTATGTTTTGACAGAGGATAAAGGACTGTCATACAGTTAAGACACAGGTGCAAAGGGCAAAATATATTGCTTAGGAGGTGAGAGATCTGGAAATGGCAACAAAGCAAACATTCTATCCTGCAGACAGCCAAGGTCCCCTCTGCAAAAATGAGCAAGTCCCTTCTCTGACCCATTGCTGCTCTGGGTACGCTCAGCTTTTCTTTACTCCACTGAGTGAAATTATACCAGTTTTTACTGTTGTTCTAGACAGGTATCAACTTGTAGTACAGCACAGGTAAGTGTCTCATGGATCAGATCCCATGGACTACAGCTGTTAAGAGCTACAGGGCTCAATGCAAATTAACCCTATTTTATGTTTTATATACAGCACTGCATAAATAGTTTACCTGTCACAGCTTCTGGGGAAGTCCCTTGGGATTCTGGAGTAACGGACAGTGAAAGTCTAAAATGTTGTAGGTTTGAGTAGAGCACTTCTATCTGCAGGAAAGCAATTAGCCCAGCCAGTATTGTCCAGCACTGATGGTGAAAATGTCTTATTGCATTACAAGGGATATGAGCCAATTTCAGATCGATTTTCATGATCACAATCCCCGTGTGGTTTCACGATCATGCACAGAATGATGGTATGTATGTATGTTGCTTTTTTTCTGTGTGTATCTGGACAGGAAAGCACAGCAGAATCGACGAGGATTTTCAGAAGAGCAGCTCCGGCAGGGACAGAACGTAATAGGCCTTCAGATGGGCAGCAACAAGGGAGCATCACAGTCGGGTATGACAGGCTATGGGATGCCAAGGCAGATCATCTAAAAGCATCTCTGTCTGTGGAGAAAACACTCTTTCTGCAGCATGGTCTGTTAAGGGGAAAAAAAAAAAAAAAAGAAAAAAATGCTTATTAGTTCCCTTTCTGCCTGGTTTTTAATAGTTAGTGCTCTCTAAGGTTTGGGGTATTTTTGGTTTGGTTTGTTTTCTTTGCAGCTGCAAGAGCTCGCCTAGGAACTTGGGTTTTTGTGGTGGTGTGTGTCAGTTCACAGCACGTGCGCACTGCTGCCTCCTACTTTTCACTTCTGAACTATGCAAAGACAATTATTCTGTATTAATTTATTTGCAAAGTGTTATCTTCCATATTTGTCTCACACTGCACTTGTATTTCAACCTCGTTCTTCAATTCAGTGATGATATTGTTTGACTGAAGAATAAAGACAAATTAAAGACACCTCAAAGACTCGTTATTTAAAGGAGGTAAAAGCCAAAACCAACGACCACATGGTACAGTGCAGATGAGTTAAATATTTTCAATGGTCAATCCCTCTTATCTCTACCCCAGAGCCCTCTCTGAGTGACTCTCTGCTATAGTGTTAACAGTCTGTGTTACATGTTCAATTTAGTGTTTGTCTGAAGGCACACCCAAAGTATTTTCCTAAAAAGAAGAAAAGATTTATTATCCACTGAGTCTGATTCATGTAGTCCCAGCCAATTTAGCTCAAATTTTTCTCGACCTAGTGTGCTGGGTCATCTGCAGCCCACGAACTTGTGGATCGAGCTAAATCAGTTTTGTAGGGAAAGCAAAAGCTGTGTGTGAAAACAAAGGAAAACCAGGATTAATTCACAATTTCCCTTCAGCAGGCAGACATTTAGCCACTTCCTGGAAAGCATGGCCTCAGCATGCATGATGGTTACTTGTCACCATAGTTATTCCCTTCCTCCCCTGAGCTCTTGCTGCTGACCTTGACACAATATGTGTGGGATATCCTTTGGCCAGGTGGGGTCAGCTGTCCCAGCTGTGCATCTCCCAGCTTCTTGCCCACTCCCAGCTGTGTGAGAAAGAGAAAAGACCTTGGCACTGTGCAGGCAGTTTAGCAGTAGCCACTACAGGTGAGTTATCAACTTCTTTAGTCCCCAGTCCAAAGCACATCACCCAGCCAGACTCAGTATACCCAGTAGCAGGTGAGTCTTCAAACTTAGGGAATTCTCCACTGTGAATGAACAGTCTGTCAGACAGAGACTTCATCTTGTGATAGTTGATACTATACCAAGCAAAGCACAAAACAAGCTGTGTTTTAAATGCAAAGTAGAAAATAGAACAAAAGTACCAGAATGCTTCTAACCTGAAAAACACCCACAGTTCAAATTCAAATAATCTCTTATGCTCATCTATGAACGGCCGTAAATGTGGCTAGTGGTTCATTTGGAGACAGTTTGCTGGAGTGTGAATAGAAGGGGCTGGCACAGTCACCTGGCCACCAAAGATTACCAGAGCATTCTCTGAGTCCTTGGCTTGCCAGCGAGCACAGCTGCCTTGGGGCTGTGCCCCACACACATTTGAGGGGTGCACACAATTTTCCCTGCAGAGGTTCCCTGCTATTGACTGTCTCTGGGCTTTCACTCACAAAGCTTATTCACTTCTTCCCCACAAACAAGAGGGAAGGGAAACATGATAGTGGAACTCTGTGGGTTCTTTGGGTTTTTTTCTTTTTAATTCCTGACAGACTTCCATGAAGGCCTAAAAACATAATATCTAGGCAGGCAACAAATAAAGATGAATCTGTTCTGACAGCTCTCTGAGTGCCTACATACATAGATGGGGTGATTTCTGTCTGGCTTTGAACCCAGTGACACATGCTGACAGCGAGGTGTTTACCAAGAAGCTCTAGCCACACACAGGTTCATGTGGCTTCAAAGATTTCTACCGTTGAGTAAACTGAAAGGATAGTTCATTTAGCTCATGGGAAGCTCTAACTTCCCTGTCAGGAGAAGAGAATAACATCTCCCCACTTCAGCCAAGCACTACAGAGAAAGTCATGTTATATTTGTGGATCTGCAGTAGCTGCCACTGAAAAGGTCCTGTCCCCACTTGTACCTCTTCTTATAGCTGCCAAGGCATCTTGGCTCCTCCACTGTCCTACTGTCACACTGGTTTGTGTTTACTACCTGTTCTGGGCTATTCTTCTGTTACTTAGGTGAATTAGCTCAGCAGAGGAGCAGATGACAACTCCAGATGGTGCATCTCAGGTAGGGGAGCTCACATTTCAGCTGTGGTAGGGCAGTAGCTCAGTGCAAAGTACAGCACATAACTTCCCCCTAGATATGCCATTAGTTGTAGCATGAAGAGACTAGAAGGTTTTCTTACTAAAGACAGATAAGCTGATTAAAGAAATCTGGGCTGATGGCAAGACAAATGCCTGCCACCACAAATTTCACCTTGGTGAATGTGAACAGCAGCCACCTTCCTCTAATGGAAACTACAAAGTCATAGCCACAGAGGGTGAAATGGCTGGATGGGAGGAGCTGGAAGAACTGCCTTGCAGGTAGGTAAGAGGTCTGAGAAGTCCCAGCCTGACCCTTTGCCCCACACCACCCTCACAGGGGACACAGCCTGCAGGATCCATCCTGAATTCGGTGACCTTGACCTCCTCTCTCTGGCTGCAAAATTTTCATTCCATTTTCCATTCATACATCCTCTCTGAAAATATCCATTTTTAAGAGCCACATGACAATTATATTCCGAGGGTACATTGCTTTCTCTATTTCTGATGCTAACAGCCTCATTAAAGTTATAGAAAACATTGTGTGCTTGCATTAAAAAAAAAAAA